ACGCTCTGACATCTAACGTTGGTTTCATAAATTCTATTTAAGAAGTTGTGTTGCGACATCTTTCAGAACTAGGTGTAATTAAAATAATGGTAATAATAAAGTATCCTGCATTTATCGATAAAATGTTAGTGTTCATTAATAATGATAGATGTCAACACCATGCTTTTTGCTTTGAATATTTAATTATTTACAAAAAAAACTCATGCAAATCTATAATTTTTTTGGGTTTTGTGCCCACCCCTGTCATTGGAGTAAAGCCCTGAAACTCGAAAACTAAACAAATCTGTATTACAGCCTGATTATTATGTGTCATAGCGTTTTTGGACTGTCATTGAAAAGGCCGGATGACGGACTGCATCCCTACAAATTTTTTGACGATTTTAGTCAACTCACAATACACGAACTAAATCGCCATAAGAGTATGCCGCAATAAATAATTATTTTAAATGAGGGTTAAGTTTCATGTGAGTTAGGTTAGATCTTGTGAGGGAAGGTAAAGTTCCCTGATAGTGAGGTTAGACATTGCTTGAATCACCTCCTCGAATATCATATTCTCCTGATACAAGTTTTGTAAAAATTTTAAACGCCCAAACTAATCTGACCTAACCTAACTAGGACTCTAACCTAACCTAACCTAACCTTCATTCATATCCTCGCACATTATATTCTCCTGATACCAAATTTTTGAGCTAGCCTAACTACTACCCTAACCTAACCTCACTAAAATTTTATTTTAACTTTCAATCTCCTCGCACATCCTATTCTCCTGATACCAGATTTTTGAGCTAACCTAACTACCACCCTAACCTAACCTCACTAAAATTTTATTTTAACTTTCAATCTCCTCACACATTATATTCTCCTGATACAGGATTTCTGAGCTAACCTAACTAGCATGCGAACAAAACTTTTTTCCCGGTCGATCTGAGACAATTTTTTTTCAGGCCTCAAAAAAAGGCAGTGTATACACTACCAATTTCTTTGCATAAGTTTATCGACAAGTAACAGGTGTAGTATTAGGAAAGGAAACACCTTCTCGCACTCATATGATCCTGATACAGAATTGGCAAATTTTTAAATCGAATGAAAGCTTTGAAATAATTCTGACAAGGCTAGAAAAAGAACTCTTCGTATATTATGTTCTCCTAGTAGCACAACACCTTTTGCATAAGTTTGTCGACAAGTAACAGGTGTAGTATTAGGAAAATAAACACCTCTTCGCACTCATATGATCCTGATACAGAATTGGCAAATTTTTAAATCGAATGAAAGCTTTGAAATAACTCTGACCGAGCTAGAAACAGACCTCTTCGTATATTATGTTCTCCTAGTAGCACGACACCATTTGCATAAATTTGTCGACAAGTAACAGGTGTAGTATTAGGAAAATAAATACCTCTTCGCACTCATATGGTCCTGATACAGAATTGGTAAGTTTTTAAATCGAATGAAAGCTTTGAAATAATTCTGACCGAGCTAGAAAAAGACCTCTTCGCATATTATGTTCTCCTAGTAGCACGACACCTTTTGCATAAGTTTGTCGACAAGTAACAGGTGTAGTATTAGGAAAATAAATACCTCTTCGCACTCATATGATCCTGATACAGAATTGGCAAAGTTTTAAATAGAATCAAAGCTTTGAAATAATTCTGACAGTGCTAGAAAAAGACCTCTTCGTACATTATGTTCTCCTAGTAGCACGACACCTTTTGCGTAAGTTTTTCGATAAGTAACAGGTGTAGTATTAGGAAAAGAAACACCTCCTCGCACTCATATGATCCTGATACAGATTTGGCAAATTTTTAAATCGAATGAAAGCTTTGAAATAAATCAGACAGTGCTAGAAAAAGACCTCTTCGTACATTATGTTCTCCTAGTAGCAAGACACCCTTTGTATAAGTTTGTCAACAAGTAACAGGTGTAGTACTAGGAAAATAAACACCTCTTCACACTCATATGATCCTGATACAGAATTGGCAAATTTTTAAATCGAATGAAAGCTTTGAAATAATTCTGACAGAGCTACAAAAAGACCTCTTCGTATATTATGTTCTCATAGTAGCAAGACACCCTTTGCATAACTTTGTCGTCAAGTAACAGGTGTAGTATTAGGAAAATAAACACCTCTTCACACTCATATGATCCTGATACAGAATTGGCAAATTTTTAAATCGAATGAAAGCTTTGAAATAATTCTGACAGGGTTAGCAAAGGACCTCTTATTATATTATGTTCTCCTAGTAGCACGACACCTTTTGCATAAGTTTGTCGACAAGTAACAGGTGTAGTATTAGGAAAATAAACACCTCTTCACACTCATATGATCCTGATACAGAATTGGCAAATGTTTATATCGAATGAAAGCTTTGAAAGAATTCTGACAGGGCAAGAAAAAGATCTCTAATCTGAGAATTTCCCGTTCGATCTGAGACAATTTTTTTTTCAGGCCTCAAAAAAAGGCAGTATATACACTTCCTTTTTTAACAAAAACGACTGCACCAAAATTTCTCGGGAAAACACTTTTTAGTACTAATTTTGGTCCGTAGGTAGATACCAAAACGAGTCGTACTTTTTCGATTAGGGTGGTAGTTAGGTTAGCTCAAAAATCTGGTATCAGGAGAATATAATGTGCGAGGAGATTGAAAGTTAAAATAAAATTTTAGTGAGGTTAGGTTAGGGTGGTAGTTAGGTTAGCTCAAATATCTGGTATCAGGAGAATATAATGTGCGAGGAGATTGGAAGTAAAATAAATTTTTAGTGAGGTTAGGTTTAGTGAGGTTAGGTTAGGGTGGTAGTTAGGTTAGCTCAAAAATCTGGTATCAGGAGAATATGATGTGCGAGGAGATTGAAAGTTAAAATAAAATTTTAGTGAGGTTAGGTTAGAGTGGTAGTTAGGTTAGCTCAAAAATCTGGTATCAGGAGAATATGATGTGCGAAGAGATTGAAAGTTAAAATAAAATTTTAGTGAGGTTAGGTTAGGGTGGTAGTTAGGTTAGCTCAAAAATCTGGTATCAGGAGAATATAATGTGCGAGGAGATTGAAAGTTAAAATAAAATTTTAGTGAGGTTAGGTTAGAGTGGTAGTTAGGTTAGCTCAAAAATCTGGTATCAGGAGAATATGATGTGCGAAGAGATTGAAAGTTAAAATAAAATTTGAGTGAGGTTAGGTTAGAGTGGTAGTTAGGTTAGCTCAAAAATCTGGTATCAGGAGAATATGATGTGCGAGGAGGTTGAAAGTTAAAATAAAATTCTAGTGAGGTTAGGTTAGAGTGCTAGTTAGGTTAGGTCAGATTAGTTTGGGCGTTTTAAATTTTTTCAATCTTGTATCTAACCTAACTCACATGAAACTTAACTCTCAAAAGTCTTTAAAATGAACACCGATTTAAAATTCTTATTTATTGCGGCGTATTCTTATGGCGATTTAACTCGTATATTGCGAACAGATACCTACTTTATTAAAATCGTCAAAAAATCTATACGTTCATTCGCCCTGTCCTATGGCAATCCAAAAACGCTGACCCAAAGGAATAGGCTATAATACAGGAGCGAAAAGTTTAATTTTGCGAGTTTCGTGGTTTACTCCTTTGACAGGGAAAGGCACAAATCCCAAAATGTTTATAGCCTTGCCTGAGTTTTTGGTAATATTAAAATAATCCAAGCAGAATATACTGTTGTGACATCTGTCTTTATTATTGTGGACTAACATATTATCGATAAATGCAGGACACTTTGTTACCAACATTATTTTAGTTGCAACCTACACCTCAAAGATGTCGCCACACTACTTGTTTTGTATACTTAATGAAACTAACGTTAGATGTCAGAGCGCTCTTTTTCAAAACCATAGACGCTTCCATAGATATATGAAGTTTTAACCTCAAATGCATAAATGAATGTTTGTTTATTTTATAGTCAAAAATTAAACTTTGTTATCATTCCTTTCTCGTTTACAGGTTTAAATTGTGGACCTGGCAACTGGAAGTGACAGTAAAGCAGCAGACTCGGGCAGTGCTGAAAATGATACTGATCGCTCTGTGTCGTCCGATCGGAAGACTGGTAGTTCTTGATGGGTGAGAAAAGTTAGCATTGAATTCGGACAACACAAATTGAAAAGAGAAAGGCTTTGTAACCAAAACAGGCGGACACGTTGAAGCACTCGTAGAAAACCCATTCAAACTTTTCAACTTTAAAATCGGAACGATTACATGACTGCAGCAGCTGCCGATGGTGCGAAGGTATTCGTTAAACAATTGAGCCTTGAGTTAATTCGACAGAACTAAAGTTATAAAAACAGTAGTGAAATTGGCAGCGAAACGGAGTGAAAGTGTTACGCAGTTTGCAATCACGAAAAAATGTGTTGTTTGTGCGATCTTCGTGTGAAAGTTTTTGTAAAACGGTTCAGTTTAATGTACCTGTTATTGAAATTGTTCTTCCAAGGGCTTTAAATAAACTCCTATGCATAAGAAGTTACGATTTCCAAAGACAAATGTTCGTTTTATTGTTCAATGAGCATGATGTGTTGCCTACAAACCAGGCTACACAAATATCGAGTACCCATATTCAAATTTCGGGATTTGCATGATTATCCCCAATTAAGTACATGAAGGACACCGTAATGAGATAAGTGCTATTGCTACCCACTTTGAATAATCCGGGAATTATGTGTTATCTAGGTCGATTTGTAACAAGTGGCGGCATCTGTGAAAATCAGATTCAACTAAAAAATGATGCCTTGCATTTATCGACTATATGTCCGAAGTATTTACGACAGATGTCAGGACGATAGCTTTTTGGTTTTGAACTAAACTACACCAATCTGAGCGGTTAGAAGAGCCTCTGCAAAGACTCTGTAATTTCCGATGAATCTCTTTAGAGAATAACTTTTTATTTAGCACAGAATGGAGTATACAGATCCAGTAAAAACTGCACTATAGTTACAAAGTGAAACACAAATTTTGCGATAAACCTAATTGCATGTTGTTCTAAACTTATACGAAGATAAAAAAATTAATATTCTTTATATACAAAACCAACTTACATAAGAATTGGGAGGCTACAAGTATAACACTTTTATGTTGTTGAGGAGGTCCGAAAAACCGCCCCGTTTCCAAGCAAGATTGTGCTACCTTCTCTTTACGTTTTTTTTTGTCATTCGTTTGCTTGAAAAGGAGAACGTTTAAAGAAAACTTAGCCTAAACTTAACGATAAATTCCTTCACTTCTTTTTGTTTTTATTCGTAGCGCCGCGAGGGGGCGTCACCGGTCGCCCCGCGTTCAAGCCGCCGTACTGGAATTTCCTCTTGTCTGCCGGTTTCAAAATTTGAAAACTGCACATTAAAGTCTCGTCGACCGACATCATGGCGCCGGCGTTGTCAAATTCCCCTAAAATTTAAAATGGATTTCCCCCGTCCGTATAACCGCTTCCACTTACCGCAATAATTGGGGGCACTGAACAGCGTGACCAGCTGGCGTTTCGCGAAGAACTCGTAACCATCCTCGACCACCTGATGCGCCCTACAGATGAGGTCGAAGTCGTGTTTGTGTAAGAATTTCCCGACGACCTCCGCCCCGAACGTGAAGCTGACGCCGCGATCGTTCTCGCCCCAGCCCATCGTGTCCTTATCGGGATCGGACCACAGCAAATCGCAGAGCAGACCCTGATCGGGCACGTCAGTCGGCCTCATTATCCGCCTGATCTGTTCCATCGACTGTAGGTCCGGACTGAGACCGCCGTGACAGCAGAAGATTTTCTCGTCGACGATCGCGGCGACCGGCAGGCAATTGAAGCAGTCGGTGAACGTCTTCCACAGCTTAATGTTATACCTCCGTTTGCACTCATCGTAGAAGCCGTAGATGCGATTGATCGACGCGCACTCGTGATTCCCTCGGAGGAGGAAGAAGTTTTCGGGATACTTAATCTTGTACGCTAAGAGTAGACAGATCGTCTCGAGCGATTGTTTGCCGCGATCTACGTAGTCGCCGAGAAAGAGATAGTTCGATTCGGGCGGAAAGCCTCCGTATTCGAATAGACGTAACAAATCGTAGTACTGGCCGTGTATGTCGCCTGTAACACATCGAAATTAGTCGAGTTGCCCGGGAGGAGTCGTGGCACGAACCGCATATTTTAAGTGGAGCTTCTAATTCTAATAAAATCGGCTGGGAAAGAAAGATTTCTCGAGATTTCAGGCACAGGCCCCTGATTTCTCCTTCTGTGAGTTGTACATTTTTGCCAGGTCGCGCTCCTCGCACTTGAAAAGAAGTAGAAATTATTAAGGAAGGCGTATCCGAGTGACGCCATTGAAATGACAACACAAGTTGACCTTCAATTCCGGGTCATATTTACCTTCCAAAAGACGGGCTATAATACTGTCGATATTTAACTTATCAGCTTCTGCCATTTGATTTTTATCACTTTTAAGCACTTTATTTTACTTAAAGCTAAAGGATGGCTCGGAATTTAATGGAAATACGCCGAACCAAATTTACTACAATATTTTGGCTCCAGAGACCGTCGCGATCTGTTTTTCTGGTGACTTTCGCGCTACCACCATAAAATATTTACTACGCCTTTTGGAAATAACTCGAATTGCAAGGCGAAAAGGCATTAAACGAACTTACGCACTTCAGTATTTTTCAATATTTCGAAAGTTGTAAATGAGAAACTACGCACTTTGTCGAAACGCACAAACTCAATGGCCACCACAATCCCCTAAAAACGCAGTACACTGTTGCATGATGTGTTGCCTACGCACCCTCGGTTTTGAAGTTGGTTCTTTTTTACTAGACGACCACCGAAACTACCACCACCACCCTGTTCCTGTTGAGTAGTCTTTAAGATAACAATGTTTTAGAAAATGCGACAACAAATAACCAAGCAAATAATAAAATTAGTGGCGGAACCGTATGGGCAGTATAATAAACGCCACTGTATAGTTTTTGCATCTTACCATATTTATGTTGGTAACAAAAATCTAGTTCCTTTTAGGAAGTCCCCCAGATTTCCAACAATTCACAATTGTAACAAGTTACATCACCAATTGTGCTCCCGAATTACCTTTTCCAAGCAAAATGGGCTTCGCAACCACCATAAATAACATGGTATTCAAGCGTACATCCACGTTCATTCTGGCAATCGCCGGCTGCACCTTCTTCTTCGAAAGGACCTTCGACTTGGGCACGGAGAAGCTTTTCGAGAGACTAAACGAAGGGGTTCGTATCGCTTCATCGGAGCCATCCGAATCTCACAGCCTTCTCTTTGCAGAAACTATGGAAGCACATCAAGCACAAGTACGAACAGTAACATTTATTGTAATTTATGTAGTAGCTAATAAACGCCTTATTCGGTTATATCCCAAGGTTTCGGTGGTCTTTCCCTTGTCCATGGCAATATAGTTTTGTACTGCTCGGGCTCCGACAATTTCAGGCCGAAGTCTTGCAGCACGTTTAGAAACTTCGCAATCTTACTGTTGTTGTGTTCCGACTCGAGATCGCACATAAATTCGATCAGACCGCTTTCGAGGCATCTTTGCGCGAAGACCTAAAATTTAGAATTAGGAAAGAAAAGCTAACGCAAGAACGTACGCGTGCGACGTTCATGTAGGCCGACGAGTCGGTGGTCTTGTACAGCTGCTTTTTAATGGCCCACTCCTTCGTGCTCGCCACGAGTACCGGGCCGTTGATGTGGTGCACCAACGACGCGGTCACGTGGCGGCCGGTTTGTGTCAATTGCAATCTAAAATCGGGCGGTCTTAGTGGAAGCGGGAGGAACATAAACTTTGTATACTTATGCCAGTAGGAGCGTCCTGGCTTGTCGACATAGTAGCCGTCCGGCTTATTTGCGATTCGAAGATATTCCAAGCTTCTTGGGTTGCGATTAGTGAATATCGGGTTAATACTATCGTTTTCTGAAGGAAGTGTGCTTGCGAATCTGGAATTTAAAGCGAATTTTAAACTGCGGTAGCGATACATGACTCTTTTTATAACATAACCTCAAACTCTTTAAGTTCAAATGTACAAAAAACTACTGTAAATAGTTTTGGTTTATTTTCAAAAGTGAAAAGGGGCCTCAGTTACTTACGGTTTAGAAAAGCGCTTGTTTGGAAATTCTGGTTAATTTTTGAGTAGCGGATAGTTCAAATGATCCTATTGTAGTTCAAAGGTACCGCTGACGCCATTTTGGGGCAGTATTCTAACTTTTACTCACCCTTTGGTTCCTAGAGATAAAGCAAAAAGGGTTAATCATTCTTTCAACCACTTAAGTCCCTGTAAGAACAGTTCAATGTTGTTCAGGCCCCTTCTTAAGGCTTTCGTAACCTATTTTAGAAAGCTCTTCTGATTTCCTAGAGCTTTCCACAGGTCTTGGTTTTTTTGATCACTCAGTATAATACATTAAGGCTCGTGAGGTTCAATATATCCCAATTATGATGTGATCTTTTTATACCAATCAATTAACTGATTTCCTAAATACCCACAGGAGGTTGCTATGAATCTGTTCACAAATATAAAATGCAAGTTACACTTTTTGCAAACAGTAAGGGGGCTAAAACAGCTGTACCAAATAAATTTTCAACACTGCAGTGTGTCTACTTTAACCCTACATAACTTGGAAAACATTTCAACATGCTACCCTTTCACTTACAGCATAAAAGACACGTTATAAATATACATTTATTGTCACTACAAAAACTATTCGTTCTCTTGGCTGCGGAGACGTGCGTGTCCATTTGTCAAACGAATCGACAGTTGTGCAGCTCGTTCGACAATAATTTTCCTTTTCTTCGACGAAACGCCGTGAGCAATTTCGCCGCAGAATTTACGATTTTGCATCATTAAAACTTCCAATTCCTACAAAGAATCGATTTAAGCACGTACAACGATCCCACTTAACCTTAAAGCACTTAGAGACTTATCAGCGCTAATATTTGGCAACACATTTGCTTCAGTCGCAAATTACCCTTAACTAAATCATCATTTATGGCCGTATGCACCGAAAAAGTTTAAGTTTAATATCCATGGTAACGATTATTGGGTCAATGTTTGCCAATGATTATAAGCTAAGCTCAGCTTAAATTTTTTCGGTGCATACAGCCATAAGTCTTTGGTCTTGGAGAAAATCGGAAGTAAACTCACCTTAAGATTGTGGATGAGAACTTTCTTAAACCCGGTCGGTAGCATATGACGCGTTCTGGCATTGGAACCGTAACCGATATTGGGCATTAAGTATTGCCCCTTAAACCTCCTGCGCACTCTGTTGTCAATACCCTTCGGTTTACGCCAGTTTCGCTGCAAACAACTTGTAAGTAAGCGGCCTCCGGAAACGAAGAGAACAAACCTTTAGCTTGCAATAGCGATCTGACTGATGTCGGACGAACTTCTTAGTTCGCTTCTTGACGATTTTCGGACGAACCACCGGTCGAATGGACATCTTTAACCTACAAAACAAAATTCGGGGTCAATTTCGAAAATATCGACGCGAGACGAATTGGGGAAATAAAAATTGGGGGGCAAGTTCGCAAATTATGCAAAATACAAACCGATGCCTAAGAATTAAGTAGAAAAATCTAAACGTGTAGAACTATAAACTTTACGTACCAGTAGCTTGACGTTAGAGAATGTTATTTAGTGCTGCCAACCTACAAACTTCATAAAAGTCCCCAAAAGCTAATTGGTTGCGTTCTACTATTTCGAATTTATTATGTAACTGTAGGTTATGCAACTTATGCAACAGTAATGTCTAAAATAAGCCGATCTAATTCTGAAAGGCATAGAAGGCTCTCGAAATTTGTCAAATAGGCACTTTGGAAAGATCTTCAAAATGGCTTACCGAGCATTTCAAATCTTAAAACGCTCTACAAATGATGGCGCAAGTGCTAAAAAAAATAAATATTTTGGTTAAGGTTCTTGGACCGGGAGGAGAATGATCCCCAGACCTACCGGTGCTACGTTCTTCCCTACAAAAGGTCCTCAGGATTCCCGTAACAGTTATTGGGAAGATCATAAGATGCTCTTCTCCTAAGAAGTGTTGTTGTTGTTGGTAGGAGTGAATTTTACAAAAGCTCGCTAACAGGGCAGAAACACCTCGTTTTTGGATTACTGTACAATATAGATATAAATAATAGACATTTATTCATAAAATACTTTTAAAAGGTTAAACAACAAGTAACATACAACCACAAATATATTCTTAATATAACACTAAATTACCTAATTGTACCTTAACCACCAAACAGCCGAATCAAAAGAAACATATTTTTGGTGCTTTGGTTATTACCAAGTTTTTTTCGGAAGAATCCATTCCAATTGTACGTTTTCTTCTTGAGATCCATTATCAACAGCGAAAACAAACAGAGGGAGAAACGTTTGGCACTTTTGTCTGCGTATAATAAATATAGAAAAATGTAATTAACTCGTTAACCCTGTAGACGGTGAGTAGGTGCGCTAGTCACAGACGTCTCGACGCGAATCTCTCGCTTGACAGAGAAAACGAAAAAAACGGCACTTGATACTCTGGAGGTCTGTGAATACCTGGGGGGTTTATTGCCTTTTTCTTTTTTTGACATGAACCTTATTTACTATTACTTCGTGCCCTGTCGACCGTCACGTAGACGGGCTTGTAGAGGACGATCGGCTCGCGATTCACCTCGTTGCCGTCGTAAACTTGGCCCATCAGAAATTCGGGCCCGATGTATTGTCCACCTTCGACGTGAGAACACGCTTGCTCTGCAATATTAACTACAATTATTTTTTATTATAATGAATGCCCAAATATAATTTATTGTATTTTAGGCATGTTTTTGAAACAATTTTGTTTGTAATATTTTAATATTGTAACCTTTTGTTAAATTCATAAATAAAATATTTTTATATTAAAAAAAAAATATTATTATTATTATTATTTTTTGCACAAGCCATTTTTTGCCTTACCGTATTTTACTGCCGGCGTTGTATTCGAGTTAGGAATGCGAAACGGAACGGTGCCAATCGTAATCGGAAAGTGCAACTCGACAATATCCAAATCCTTGTCGGTGTCCAGACTTACGGACAGTACGTAGTAAATTTGCGTAAGTCTACAAATTCCGACCAAGGTCGTGGGCATCGTCGGAATGACCAGGCTACTCGCGCTGTCCCATTTCGTACGCGAGTTCGGTTTAACGCAGCTTCCCCTGCGGGGAGACGGTGAGAAACGGGGGGGGAGTCGGGAGTTGTACCTACCGGTATTCGAAGACGAGATGCTTCGACTCCTTGTTGACGCCGAGGACGCCGCGATCGATGAAGAACTCGCAGACCTGCATTAGGCGCACTTTCAGCTTGACCTCGTCGGTGCCCTGATTATCGATGGTCGCCTTCAGCTTGAGGCTTTCGTTGCAAACGTACGCGGAACGTTCGAGGACGCAACGTAACGTGACCGTCCCCTTTTTGCAGCACCAGCAGCACGTGCTTCGCTTGTCTTGGCCTACCATCGGCTTCTGTAACGCGACGCGATTACTTTGGAACGATTCGGCTCACATTACCAAATACTGCTCGTCCATACAGTCGATGTGCGGTCCTATCACCGTGAAGTACTTCATCCCCTGAGGCGGACTCGCGTACGGAATGTCGATAGTCACCTTAATATAGTAGCGAATACAGCACGGCTTACTTTCAAAGGAACACGGAAGGCTCGATTCGGGCAGAACGAAACTGAAACAATCAGAAATGCCACGCATGTCACTTTTTAAAATGTAGGGTTCCAGATTGCGAACCCCCCCCCCCCCAACATCTCTCTATCGCACGCAATGCTATTATAATTGGAAAAGGAACACAGATTCTTTCTTTTACCCCCCAGCCATTCCCTATAGCACACGAAAATCTTGCGAGGATTGTAAGAAAAGGAACACACTCTTTCTTTTTCCTGGGGGGTAATCCATACCCCCCAGACCCCCCGGTTCCTAGTTCTTTCCCGAAATACTTCCCACTTGTATCATACTTTTGAGAAAAGGGCCACTTTTATGGAAAAGTATCACAGGAGGCCTTTGGGCTGGTTGTTTTGAGGAAGAACGTGGAACCGGGGGGTCTGGAATACCCCCCAGCCATTCCCTATAGCACACGAAATTCTTGGGATGATTGTAAGAAAAGAAACACACTATCTTTTTCCTGGGGGGTATTCCATACCCCCCGGTTGCCAGTTCCTTCCCGAAATATTTGCCACTTGTATCATACCTTTGAGGAAAGGGCCACTTTTATGGAAAAGTATCACAGGAGGCCTTTGGGCTGGTTATTTTGAGGAAGAACGTGGAACCGGGGGGTCTGGAATACCCCCCAGCCATTCCCTATAGCACACGAAAATCTTGGGATGATTGTAAGAAAAGAAACACACTATCTTTTTCCTGGGGGGTATTCCATACCCCCCGGTTGCCAGTTCCTTCCCGAAATATTTGCCACTTGTATCATACCTTTGAGGAAAGGGCCACTTTTATGGAAAAGTATCACAGGAGGCCTTTGGGCTGGTTATTTTGAGGAAGAACGTGGAACCGGGGGGTCTGGAATACCCCCCAGCCATTCCCTATAGCACACGAAAATCTTGGGATGATTGTAAGAAAAGAAACACACTATCTTTTTCCTGGGGGGTATTCCATACCTCCCAGACCCCCCGGTTGCCAGTTCCTTCCCGAAATATTTGCCACTTGTATCATACCTTTGAGAAAAGGGCCACTTTTATGGAAAAGTATCACAGGAGGCCTTTGGGCTGGTTATTATGAGGAAGAACGTGGAACCGGGGGGTCTGGAATACCCCCCCAGCCATTCCCTATAGCACACGAAAATCTTGGGAGGATTGTAAGAAAAGGAACACACTCTTTCTTGTTCCTATACCCCCCAGACCCCCCGGTTGCCAGTTCCTTCCCAAAATATTTAGTGCTTATGGCACTTGTATCATACTTTTGAGTAAAGGGGCCACCTATAGTTTATCAAAAACCATCCCGAGAGGATATAGGGCTAGATGTTTTCGGGAAGAATCAAGAATGTAACAATGAAGGCTCTTGGGGGTATATCCCCCGCCATTCCTTCTAGGGCACGAAAAGTTAAAAAGGATTTTTGATTTTTCAAATGCCATTGAAAATATTCACGGTCTGATTAAGAGTGTTGTATAGCCCCTTAGTCTTTCAAGATGGGACTCCAAAAGGCTAGTATTCACCCGCCCCAAAAAAAACATACAAAATGATATGCATATTTTCTATGTTATACTTCCCGTTTATACTGTGAACCCAAAGCAATTCAATTCAATATTGCATAGTTGCATACAGGAAAGTGGCATGGATTATTATTGCTTAGTATTAATTAATAAATAGACAGTGGTAACCTAGGATCGATCCTATTTACACCAAAATGTAGTTATTATTATTTTAAATAAAGATTTAAATAAACCCAATACGAAACCAATAAAATATTACCCACATACCGAAAAGGAAACTTATGCACGCCGCGCGGAAGTATGGGAACTGTAGTTTCGACATTCTTTTCACCCCAAATGATCTGCCTCTCATCGATGAAGTACTGATCGTCCTTCACCTGTAACGCAACGCATTACGGGCTGCGAACCCACCACCGACTTACCGTTCTTCTGTCACCGGACAGAATAACCTTCCACTCGGCGTGCGCCTTCCCTCGCAAGATCACCCGAACCACTGCAACAGAACGATTAAAGTACGCCTATGACACCGCCCACTCTCACTTTTCAACTTAAAATTTTCGGTCGTGTCGAGGAAGACCGTGCCGCGAATTTCTTCGCCGGCATAATAAAACTCCTTATCTAATTTTATATCAAATTCCTTAATGTAATCCATTATTAAAATATTTCGGTATTTGTGTATACGTTAGGCATTACAACACACAACATTTTAAACGAAATAATAACAAAGCTTCAAAAAAGGCGCCTAGCTAGCTAAGTTTGACTAACGTTCCCGCACAAAAATGTAAAAAAAGGAGGACACTTCTCGTAAAAATTACATGGCAAGCCTTATTTTTTTCGATATGGATTTTGGGATCAGCTGTTTCCGATCAATAAACTCGAGCATGCTCAGTTCGGTTCAGATGCAGTGTGGGATGAGAAACATGAATGAATTACAACAAAAAAAAACGTTGTAGAAAGTGAGAGGTCTGTAGTCTTCGTTGTGAACACCTGAAAATTGGCCATTGGTGAAATTTGTGAGAAAGTCATTGTGTTACCGTTTTAATGCGCTCACTTCCATTAGTCGGAAGTTTGGACAACTTGGAACGGAGTGGTTTGTGAGCTACATTATCTTTGTGGTGATGCGAACCGAAGTTTTCCCAGAGGTTATGGGTTAACCTACAAAAATTATTTGCACCTATTTGAATCAAATCCATCTACACTCATTCGCATTTAAATATACAAGTTATTATTAATTAGATTATAATTAATATTAAATATTAATCTGCTTCCTTCACATATTTGTTAGGTTAAGTACATAGTTGATCATTTGAACTACTTCTAGTACAGTATAGCTATTACTATCATCTCACCACTTTTTCCTTTTCTAAGACTCTTTCCAACATAAACTTTGACTTATAACTTTGTATATTCATAAACGTAAGTTTTAGTTTATTAATTTTAGCCATAGTTTGGCACATTAGTGATTTTTTGTTAGTAGGTGCAAATTGACGATGTACAGTAGTTGTAATGTTATTTCAATAGTTCAAACATTAACACAAAATATATACAATGTGTTTACAATTTTGTGCCCCCTTGTTTTCGCTCTGTAGGAAGAAGGGAAGTATAGTGGGAACTGGGTCAGGGATTTTATAAATGGGTAAAAGCAGTTATAACTAAGGAAATTACAACTGATATTTATTTAAAACAAAAACAACTTGGAAAAGCCACACCAATCAGATGATCGATTATGAACCTCACAGTAATATGGGAAATGTTAAAAATTCAATTATTAATACAAATTACAAATAGACAAACGCATTGCGGACGACAAGGTTGATTCAAACGATCGTACCATTGTCAAGTAAGATCATGACATCTCCGATCCGAAAAGATTTTATCACCATAAAGTCCAATCCAATATTTATCTCATAATCACGATTACCTACCACATTCAAAAACTTTAGACTCTTTTATGTCTTAAAATGTGTCTTTTAAGAATGGATTTATAATTCGTCTTGAAATCACAATGAGCACATTTCAAATCCTTAGAAGCTTTATGTTTTAAAAGGTGAACTTTGAAGTACTTTTTAATGTTTGTCGCATAATCACACTGATCACATTTGAAATCCTTCGAAACCTTATGTTTTAAAAGGTGTTGGTTAAAGTAGTACTTACTGTTAGTCTCAAAATCACAATCACCACATTTAAAAGCCTTTGAAACATTATGTTTTAAAAAGTGCTGTTTAAGATCGGATTTATAATTTGTCTCGTAATCGCAATCGGCGCATTTAAACTCCTTCGAATCGTTATGTGTTAAAAGATGTCGTTTCAAGTGGTATTTATTATTCGTCTCGTAAACACACTTTTCACATTTAATTAAATCGCCAACAACTTTATGTGTTAACTGATGCCGTTTGAAGTCGTCTTTATCATTTGTCCCATAAACACAATCAGTACACTTAAAACGGTTCGACACTTGATGCGTTAAAAGATGTAGGTGGAAGTAGCGTTTATAACCCGTCTCATAAACACACTCGGCACATTTAAAACGGTTAGAAACCTGATGTGTTAAACGATGCAGTTTAAAGTACCGTTTGTAACTTGTCCCGTAATCACAATCGGCACATTTAAACTCCTTAGTTACAATTGTATACTTGGTTGAAACGGGACCTCGAAAACCGGAGTGTTGCGGTACTTCATTAGAAAAGGATACAGAACGGGGTGTACCAATGCTAATTTCGTTTGTTACTGTAAACAATGCCTCGTTGCTTACCAAAATGTTATCTTGAAGATCAGAATTAATTTTTTCTTCGTGTTCTGGTTCGATTTTAATGGGTAGTGTGTCATCTTCTCCTTCCATACCTAACAACAATAGTGTGTTAAAAATCTGTTTTGGTATTAAACAGTGCAGAGATACTAGGGCATTACTTACTTTTAAAGTAAAGTAAAAAAGGTTTGAAATGTTGCTTTTAGTCATATATATAAGAGAAGTATATATATGCTTTTAGTCCTATGATGGTCTGTGTCTCTGTGATAAGCGTCAGAGTAATCGTGCGTCATGCTACCACTTCCACTCCACCAGTGGCGTCCGCTCGGGTTTTATACTAGCAGATTGCAATGTATTTGCAGTTTTTTATTTGGATTAAAATACAAAAAGATGCGTTAAACAATTATTTCCTGTGTACAAAATCTTCTCGCGTTTCTGTTATACCTACTGAACAGGTATTTTTTGTGCATTACCTAGTACCAGGAAACCATTTAAGAAAACTTTTCACGATTTCTGTGGAGGATCCTTCTTAGGTTTCTGTTGTCCTGGTACACCCTGGAATACCACCCAGTATTGTACAATTGGTCCATTGCCAATTTTTAAAAAAACCATGAGAATTATAGGTACCACAGGCTATAGGGTAAACAGAGTTATCGAGTTCTTCTTTGCTGGGTTGTTTGTGATTTTCCGGAAATTGTTATAGAATTTTCCTTCGCTAGGGGTATTCCATACCGTTCTCCGCAATAATTCTTAGAAGAGAATCTGATAATTTTTTCAAAAACTATCGAGTCCTAGGCGTGTTGTGGGGTACAGTAGTAACGCAATACCCCCCAGCCAGCAGTGTACTCTCAGCATATTTTACTTCGTTTACTGGGGGGTATTCTATGTCCCCCAGGTGCAATATACTTCTTAAGAGATGATATAATTTTCGCAAAAACTATGAAATTTCTGAAGGGTAAACGTCTTCCAGGGGTCGTAGTACCGAGGGGTTCCTATAATATTCACAATAGTCGTTGGGAAAAGGCTGTGGAAAAGGTAATCGCTGACATTTTGACCAGAATTAAAAAAACCCGAAAAGGATGTAAAAAAATGATTACAGAAACACCTCCAATTATACTACCAATTGTTGGGGACAGACTCTTTTTAATAGATATATATTTGGAACACATCTTGAAGCTCAACCTCCTCCAAGATCGGCATTGAACCCCCCCCCCCCCCCCCCGTGCTCCAGTAAATCTTCTTTCCCACACATATACAATGGCTAAAGATTATGAAACGGTTCAGGAACGCCGATATACAGTTATTGGTTGGCCCCCACCCCCGGTGATCAAATTTCAATTTCGTGTTATTTTGTTTGGTATGGCAATGGGTGAATAATTACCTACTAAACAAAGTGCCATGTTTATTTGGGTACCCATATTTTTGCCTTCCTTCCAAAGTTCCCTGCAGGCGAGGGAGTTTATCAAGAACTTTTGAGATAAGGGTTACCTTTATAAAAAACTATCATGGGAATCCTTTGGGTGGATTGTTTTCAGGAAGAATGTGGAACTGGGGGGTATTATGGAATACACCCGCCCCCAACCATTCCCTCTAGCACACGAAAATCTTGTGATAATTGTAGGAAAAAATTTCTTCCTGTTCGTGGGGGTATAAATACCCCCCAGACCGCCCGGTTACACATCTTTCCCCCCAATATTCAGTGCTTTTGGCACTTGTATCATACTTTATAGACTTTGAGTGAGAATATAACACCGGGGGGTGGGGTTTCGGAATACCCCCCAACCATTCCCTTTAGTGCACCAAATTTCTTTGCACACTGTTTTTTAGCGTATTTTCCAACAAAGTTGGATGGGCTATTGCAGACACTTTTTTTGTTCAAAGCCTTAACTAAAACAGTTTTCAATATATTTACTTGACGATCCACAGAAAAAAAAGTGTCGTCACACGGACTGCTACTGTTGAAGAACAGAAGACTCCGTGTTTTTGTAGAGCTGTAATTAAATCGAAATAAAACAATAGAAAAATACTTTTTTTGTATACACAAACAGTAAACTTAGGCCGCAGTTCGAACGCCCCACTTATCTTTGTGCTGCTCCAATCCGAAACCGCTATCGTAATTGCCTTTTGTGATAAACAAGCGCTTGAAATGCGTAGTGCAATACAACAGGCCTCGATTGTACGAGTACGAGTTCATTCTAGACGAAAATCTGTTTATTTTCGAATGTCGTCTCGGGCGACTTACCGCAATATCATCTTACACTCGTTACAGCGGAAGCAGTTTTTGTGGAACGTTAATCCGTGCACGGCGATCATTTCCAACGGGTAGACAGTGCCCTCGCAGCTCTTGCACGTCGCGTTCGAGACCTGCGCAATAGTTATTAGAGAGAGGGAGAGGGTGTTATCCCCAATAAAGACAGAGAATTAGCTTATGACATCTGTTTATTTAATCACCCAAAGAACATATAAAGATTGGCACAGTTACAGATTCCTTCTTCTTTTTTTTAAAAATAAAAAACAAAAAAGTAAATTTAAAATTTTCGACAATAAAATTCGAACAACAAATATAATAGTAATTGTATAATAAAAATATGCACCACGACTGGTTAAACGATAACACTTTTTTCTCAATGAAGATACAACAACGTAAAAAGTTCGCTTTTGTGCATTATTACTTATCGTTAATTACCCACATTTATTCTATATAAATAATTAGAAATCTAAAAATATTGAAGTTGTGGCATTTTCCATTTACTGCAAAGAAAGTATTTCAAATCAGAGAGAGAGAGCACATCACTACCTACAACAGATCACATGCAAAATACTACGCAGTGCGACAAGTGTGGCAGGTGCCGAAAGCTAATTCGCAAACGCTAAGATTAATTGGGAATAACACAAGAGAACGAGGTTATAGGGGCGCGCATGCTCGACTTACCACGAATCGATTCACTTTCACGCGATTTGTGTGCTGCTGGACGTTATTGGAATCACGCAGTGATTCGAATTTGGCACATAAACTCCTTGCCGTCTCGATCTGCCCCTGCTCGTCGCCGATGACGCTCACGGAATTCTCGCGCTTAATCTCGTTCTCCTCCCAGCGTTCGAATTTGGCGCGCAACTTCTGCGCGCGGGCCGCCTTCTGCGCCTCGACCAGATCCTGCTCCATCACTCGCACGTTATCGACCTCCGTCTCGCTCTCCTCCTCGCTGCCGGACTCGCGCTCGCTGCTGCTCTCGCGCCGCGCCGGCTCGCGCGGCGGCGTGAAGCGCTTCAAAGGTTTCGGACCTACGAAAACACAACCCGTTCACTTTCCCCACTAGGTAAAACACGTAACCCACCTGCAGATTCTTGCCCTTTCATCAGATTCTCCTCCATCTGACGAAACTTGCTCAGCATCTTCGTAGCCGTATGCGCCGATTTGGCTACGACCGAATCCTCGACGGTCTCGTCCGATCTGACGATGTCGGGATCGACGTACACGTCGCGCTCGGGCGTCTTCGACTGTCACAAACAAAGGGTAAGTTAGCACCGCGGTTAAGCGCGCCGACGTAGCAACAACAACAACAACAACAAAAGTCTAAGGGAATTAGTTTAAGAGGCGAGAAATGTGCAAAATTAGTAACAAGGCAAAACACCTCTCCCTGCAAGCTATTAACCTTAGTCTGTCCCTCACGCGGCGGGGTCATTCGAAACTCCCTGCGCTTCTGTTCCGGCTCTTTATAAGTCTCAAAAAATTTAAACCGGTCGTGGATATCGGCCGTCCGAACTGAGATCTCGTCCATGCGCTCGAATGACCTAACGGTATCCTCAGAGGCCTGCTTGGCAATGTATGCCTAACGGATAACAAGGTTTTACAATCCTCTCACCCACAATAAGAAAGAGAGAGAAGAGAGAAAGGGGGGCGGGGTTACAAAAAAAGTTGCGGTGCGTACCTCTCGCGCGTTGCGAACCGATGTGCTCAGCTTGACGGGCGACGTCGGCGACAGTTTCGGTGGTTTCGTGGTTTCCGCGTCCAATTCCAGGAAGATCGATCTCGACTTTTTGCCGATACCTGAAACACAAACGCGACTTGAAATATACGTCAAAATCGGGAACTCAAAGTCGCGGTGACGCTAGAGATCTTAAAAATTCCGAGGTCCAAAGAGATCCAGGAAGTCACCAAGATCCAGTACAATTAACCGTTGCTAACTAAATGAGTTGCAGTAAACAGCATCCGATTAAGTCATGAGCGGTGTCATTAGAAGCGCAATTAATTAACGAAGTTTTAATTTTTGAACAGTATCCGGCAGAATTTCCGACGCCCCCTCCCCGTATTTTGGGAATTCTATTTAAGGTATGCTGTGAGATCCAATTTTTTTTCATAACAGGAACATAATAGGCAAAAGCTGTTCTTCAAAAACTTTAAGAGGGCATAATATGTTAAAGGATCAATCCAAATCTATAATTTTTACGCTACCTTTCCGCATGCCTGCTATCCTGATGCAATTAAAGAAAATTAATTACAATGGACATCAGGCAGACATAATACGTGAGAGGATGCCGCCAAATATGTCTTACGATCTATTTCTAGGCAGGATTCGCCTCAGAAAGTGTAATTTATGTACCTCCTTGCATTCCTGTGATCCCGCAAATTTATATCAGGAGAACATAATATGTAACAAGGTGTCACTTAAAGGCTTAAGGCCTTCTTGCGTTTAATTATTCGACCAAATGTGTATCAGAACAACATTAAATGTAAGATGTCATTAATTTGTGATTGATTGTTAGACATTTGCATCAGGGGAGCATTCCTGTACTTTCTTGTATTGCTGCGATTCCGTTACTAAAATGCTTTAAAGTAGAATTTGTATCATGTGGGCATGATACGTAAGGTGTCCCTTTCTGTATGGAATACCCCCAGGCAAACACACATCCCAGGAGGACAGCATCTCTAAGGCTCTGTACATTGTGGTGTACCGCTGGAAAGTCTGAAATACCCCCTAGGCACTAGAAATCCGGTTCCCTTTAATAAAAAAATGAAAGTACTAATTGCCCTACACGGTTTGGGGGAGAACTTAGCACCGAATACCTCCCAGGCAAACACACGTCCCAGGAGGACAGCATCTAAGGCTCTATACATTGTAGTATACCGCTGGAAAGTCTGGAATACCCCCTAGGCACTAGAAATTCGGTTCCCTTTAATAAAAAAATGAAAGTACTAATTGCCCTACACGGTTTGGGGGAGAACTTAGCACCGAATACCTCCCAGGCAAACACACGTCCCAGGAGGACAGCATCTAAGGCTCTATACATTGTAGTATACCGCTGGAAAGTCTGGAATACCCCCTAGGCACTAGAAATTCGGTTCCCTTTAATAAAAAAATGAAAGTACTAATTGCCCTACACGGTTTCGGTTCCCTTTAATAAAAAAATGAAAGTACTAATTGCCTTACACGGCTTGGGGAAGAACGTAGCACCGGGGGGTATGGAATACCCCCCCAGGCAAACACACGTCCCAGGAGGAAAAGAGTATGACAGCATCTAAGGCTCTATACATTGTGGTGTAACCCTGGAAAGTCTGGAATACCCCCTAGGCACTAGAAATTCGGTTCCCTTTAATAAAAAAATGAAAGTACTAATTGCCTTACACGGCTTGGGGAAGAACGTAGCACCGGGGGGTCTGGAATACCCCCCAGGCAAACACACGTCCCAGGAGGAAAAGAGTATGACAGCATCTAAGGCTCTATACATTGTGGTGTACTCCTGGAAAATCTGGAATAACCCCTAGGCACTAGAAATTCGGTTCCCTTTAATAAAAAAATGAAAGTACTAATTGCCTTACACGGCTTGGGGAAGAACGTAGCACGGGGGGTTCTGGAATCTCTCTCTCTCTCTGGAACTCAAAAAATAAAGGAAAGTGTATCGATTACCAAGGAGATGGCGCACTTGTACCTTTTGTTTTTAAACTAACAATTCAAAAACCGGGGCCATTGAACAACAATTGCTGTACACATCTTGCAAGATTCCACTCTAATTTTCGGCTGCGCTGTGTAACCCGAAAATCCAACAATCCCTGAGGTCCACGACCTTTCGCGGGACATTCAAGGCGGGTCCCAAGCTAGCCTAACCGAACAAGCCACACAGGCGCCGGCGTCCACCGTGGAGATTGATTACCTCTTATACTATTCAACCCCCACAACCGCCTCTCACAATGCAGACCGCCGGCAATCGGCTTAGCTGGTGCAATGTCAAATTGCCAAATGAAGCTATTATGTCACTTCCGCCGCAACAATCACATCGCGGTTACGATAATTCTGTCGGAAAAGATAAATTCTTTCAAGTATCTCTCGAAACGGAAATCTACGGACGATAACGTTATCAATGTTGGGGCTTGAGTCGTAAATTTCTTAGTCAAAAAAACCAAACTGCGCGCCTTGTTCCTTTAGAAATTGCGCGATACTTACGTGCCTGTTAAATAATGAAACGTCAATAGGCCTCTTTCTAGACCCGTCTACTTTGGAGAAGAATGTAGATTGCTCTGGAAAGGGTTTGTAACCGTTCCAGAGCAATCTAGATCTCTGAAAAACATTTATGGAGACCGTAAGACGTAGAACACGACGGAAAACCGCGCAAGCATCGTGGAAGTGCTTTCCAGAGTGTTCCAAAAAGGGGCAAGAGACTCTAGAAGGCACCCAAAAGCGCTAGATGGTCATGAATGCTTCTCCTTCGGCTCGCCTAGCACTGAAATAAATAATAGAGCGCGGAAAAGGTTTGAATCTCTGAAACACAGATACGGAAACCCGGAATTTCAGAGCAATTGATAGTTTTCCAAGATGCATTCAAAGACAATCTCATAGGATCGATTTGCGCACATTTTTTAATTAAAGAACAACTCGATCGACTTACCGCTTTCAAAAATAGACATGTCCTCAGTTTCCCTCCTAATTTCGCTATTGACAACGTCTCCCCTCTCAAATCTGTCCTTGATCGAGCGCGTATCGGGCGTGTCGATCGGCACCTCCTTCTTCAGCGCGGCGCCCGACTCCGACTCGACGACCGCCTGCTGGTACGCCTCCTTCATCTTCCCCTGCTTGCCGAGGAATAGCCGACTGCGAATGTTCTGTATCTCCTGCTTGCGCTCCTCGCGTATGTCGTCGCGCTTCTGCGAGTTGCCCTGCTCCCATCTGCTCTTCACGTCGGACATTTGCAGAAAGTGAAACGGCTTCTCCTTCTGGACGCGCTTCGCGCGAATCAGATCGGCGTCCTCGCCCTCCGCTTCCGCCTCCTCCTCGGACGAGCTCGCCTCGATCGGTATGCCGTCGAGGCACTCGTCGTTGACGCCGACGTCCATGCCTTTCGCTTGGAATCGCGCCAGCTTCGAGAGGATGGAGGGCGATCGTTCCATTTTGACAGAATTTTTCTCGTGGTGATCGTGCGCGCTGTCCTTTATGTTCTCGAACACTTGAAAGCGCTCCTTAACGTTCAAACTGTGCAACTCCTCGAGGCCCAGATCGGGTTTATCGCTCGCTAAAAAAAGACCGCGATTAGTACGTGCCGAGAGTGCGCGAACGAGGGGTGTGTTATCAAAACAAAGCGGCGGAGACGTGTTAAGTTTTAGGTTGTGACATAAAACGTTTCTGTACCTCTAGCCACATCTGGCGGCAATTCCACCGGTTGATTTTCACGAATTATAAGTTCATGCTTTCGAGGTTTCGCTGCAATCATTTTTTTTTATGAGGGCCGATCGATTGTCCAAAGTATTGGATGATCATCGTCGTCGATACTTACTCGGTAACTCGTCCTCGACCGCCTTCGGCTGGAACAGCAGCTTAAAGTGGGACTTGCAATAAACTGTGCCTTCGTGGCTCTCGAAATTGTCGACTCTAGAAAAGACGAATTATAGCGTGCGAGGTGCAACAGGGGGGGAGGAGCGTACAATAATTGTTTACTACACTCGGCGCATCTGAAACAGTTCCGATGCCAGACGCATCGCTCCGCGATGACGCGCTCCATTTGAAACACGGGACGTCCGCATTTCTTACAATTGCTTGTGTCTGTCTATAACAGGAGAGAAGGGGTTATCGTGCGATAAAGGTGTCGGCGCGTTTACTCACATCATTTTGGTCTACCTGCTGAAGGTTCAATTGGTTTTTCTTTTGTAAGGCGTCAAACTTGCTGAAACTGGATTTCTAAAATAAAACGAGTGTTAGGGGATTTGTGCCGCTGTAAAATGTGGATAGGGGCAGATGGGGTGCAATGTGCTACAAAGTGCTATTTAAGTATTAAAGTTTATGTGTCGGAAAGTTTTGCCAAACAGTGAACGAGTCTCGGAGAGCTAGCTCCGAAAGTATGCGCGCTAAGCGAGACTTCCTTTGTCTTGGAAGATGTGCCTTGGTCCCCTAAATAGTACCACCAAGGAATCCGGAATACAAAAAGTATGAAAGTACCAATTGCCTAAAACGGATTGAGGGAGAACCTACCCCCGTGGCGTGTGGGAGACATTCTATACCCCCTAAAGCTACACTATCAACAATTCTCATAATATTAAATATATAAGTACTGGGGGATAAAGAGGATCTGATAAACACAAAAAGGGTTATGAGAGAACGTGGTACCGGGGGGGGTCTGGAATAGCCCCCAGGCTACACTCAGCAGCAAAAAAAGATTCAATGAGAGTTCTCACAAAAACACAAACCTGGTAGGGCTTCACAATTTCAATCACAATTATAACATGTACACTTGGGGGGTGTTCCATACCCCCCCAACCCCCCGGTGCTACATTATTGTCATTTCTCCTTAGAAGAGGATGTGATAATCTTCTCAAAAACAAAAAGGATTATGAGAGACTTGAGAACTAAACAGTTTGTGGGGGAGAACGTGGTACCGGGGGGGTCTGAGGGGGTATGGGAATACCCCCAGCCTATACTCAGTAGCAAAAAAAGATTCAATGACAGTTCCCACAACAACACAAACTTGGTAGGGCTTCACAATTTCAATCATAATTATAACATATACACTATACCCCCCAAACCCCCCTGTGCTACATTATTGTCAATTCTCTTTAGAAGAGGATCTGATAATCTTTTCAAAAACAAAGAGTTATGAGAGACTTGAGGACTAACAGTTTGTGGGGGAGAACGTGATACCGGGGGGTTTGAGGGGGTATGGAATACCCCCCCCCCATACTCAGTAGCAAAAAAAAGATTCAATGACAATTCCCACAACAACAAAAACTTGGTAGGGCTTCACAATTTCAATCATAATTATAACATATACCCTTGGGGGGTATTCCAAACCCCCCGGTGCTACATTATTGTCAATTCTCTTTAGAAGAGGATCTGATAATCCCTTCAAAAACAAAAAGGGTTATGAGAGACTTGAGAAGTAAACAGTTTGTGGGGGAGAACGTGGTACCGGGGGGTCTGGGGGGTATGGAATACCCCCCAGCCTATACTCAGTAGCAAAAAAAGATTCAATGACAGTTCCCACAACAACACAAACTTGGTAGGGCTTCACAATTTCAATCATAATTATAACATATACACTTGGGGGGTATTCCATACCCCCCAAACCCCCCTGTGCTACATTATTGTCAATTCTCTTTAGAAGAGGATCTGATAATCTTTTCAAAAACAAAGAGTTATGAGAGACTTGAGGACTAACAGTTTGTGGGGGAGAACGTGATACCGGGGGGTTTGAGGGGGTATGGAATACCCCCCCCCCATACTCAGTAGCAAAAAAAAGATTCAATGACAATTCCCACAACAACAAAAACTTGGTAGGGCTTCACAATTTCAATCATAATTATAACATATACCCTTGGGGGGTATTCCAAACCCCCCGGTGCTACATTATTGTCAATTCTCTTTAGAAGATCTGATAATCTCTTCAAAAACAAAAAGGGTTATGAGAGACTTGAGAAGTAAACAGTTTGTGGGGGAGAACGTGGTACCGGGGGATCTGGGGGGTATGGAATACCCCCCAGCCTATACTCAGTAGCAAAAAAAGATTCAATGACAGTTCCCACAACAACAAAAACTTGGTAGGGCTTCACAATTTCAATCATAATTATAACATATACCCTTGGGGGGTATTCCAAACCCCCCAAACCCCCCGGTGCTACATTATTGTCAATTCTCTTTGTCAATTCTCTTTAGAGGAGGATCTGATAATCTTCTCAAAAACAAAAAGGGTCATGAGAGGTTTGAGAAGTAAACAGTTTGTGGGGGAGAAAGTGGTACCGGGGGGTCTGGGGGGTATGGAATACCCCCCAGCCTATACTCAGCAACAAAAAAAGATTCAATGACAGTTCCCACAAAAACACAAACCTGGTAGGGCTTCATAATTACGATCACAATTATAACATGTACACTTGGGGGGTATATACCCCCCAAACCCCCCGGTGCTACATTATTGTCAATTCTCATTAGATGAGGATCTGATAAGCTTCTCAAAAACAAAAAGGGTGATGAGAGACTTGAGGACTAAACAGTTTGTGGGGGAGAAAGTGGCACCGGGGGGTCTGAAATACCCCCCAGCAAAGAAAGTTCAATGTCAGTTAACACAAAACCACAAACCTAGGAGGACTTGATCCTTTCCATCAGAATATTAAATGTCTACTGAGGGGTATTCCGTATCCCCCTCTTCCAGACCTCCCCGGTGTTACATTATCTACAGTTCTCCTTAGAAGAGTATGTGATAATTTCCCCAAAAACGCCCCCAAGCAGACACAGACCTCTTTAAGGAAAAGAAGTATCACAGCAACTAGGACTCCATACATTTTGGTGTAGCACTGAGGGGTCCGGAATATTAAAGGACAATTCAGTACGTGTTGTCATATGGCTGGCGTAGTCTCCCCTCCCCGAATTTAGTCAATTGTCAACTGTCGTGGGGACAGGAACTAACAGGGGTACATCTCCACCACTTATGTTGCATTGCGCTGGGCTGCAACATATGCCAAACAATGTGGTGGATTTTGTGGATTGGGGAACTTGTGGAAGGGAGGGAGGGGGGATAAAGGTTAATCGAAAACCATCATTATAGTATGTTTCACCGTTTTAAAGGAGAACAAAGTAGCGACGGAGGTAGCGACCAAAAGAGAAGAGAGAATCAACTTCTAGATGGAGGTTTTTTGGGGTTCTTGGAGACTTTTACGACCCTTAAAGCCAATAAAAGCTGCTTTTCAATGGATTTCTAAAAAGTACCCAATGCCCAGACGCTGTTGTAGCGATATCTTCCTGAAATTGTAACCAAAAAGGCTAAGACACCTGCTTTGAAATGTAAAATCGCGCATATGCGCACCCAAGTTACCATATGTAGAAATGGGCGCATGCGCAGAATGCACTTTCCTATAAGCAACGTACAATACCTAGCTATCGGAGAGTTAATAACAAAAACTTTAACACTCTGTATGTCAAAGGTCAATTTTCGTCAATTCTGTGCCCCATCCACCCCTAAGTATGATCATTTGACAACACTTACCAACATCTTTGACTTAGTAATGTTATTAAGCAACACGTGATTAGTAGAGACGTTACTAAATCTCTCTCGCTACAATTTGTTAGTTACGCCATGCAAAAAAAAAACATTCTTAATTCTGCTAGGGACGTGTTACAGCGGGGTCTTACCAATTCCTTTACAGACACGCCCGTAAAGATTCTACCGGTGCGAATCGGCCGAAGATCGCTCATCGACTTTGTACGCTAAAGCAACACAGAGAAAAAAAACAACACAGAAGCTTTTTTCGCATGCACGGGTGGACAATCGGTCGCTTACCGAACGCTCGGTGCACTTCCACCGGTGGTGGCGGTCCGCGTCGATTTTACTGAGGTCACCGAAACTCCTACACTAAAGCGCAAATGCGAACATGCAAAAAAAACAACAACAAAAGCGGCCACACTCACCAAATTCTTCACGTTGACGTTATAGCACGAATCTTCGTTAGTCTCATCACACTAAAATTAGTTTTGAAAAGCGAGCGAGGCGAGGCGGCGCATCCGTACTTACCACCGAGATGTTCTCCTTCTCGTGCTGGCTCTTCGACTTCTTGCTCTTCTTCTTTTTCAGGCCGTTGGTCTCTGTGGTGGTCGTTTCGACGTAGTGCGTCTCTGTGACTGTGCTCTGAAGTGAGAGAAGGCATTAGATTTGGTTGGATTGGAATGTGGAGGTCTATCTTTTTCGATTGTGCTCTCTATAATCCTGGGACTTCTTGCTAGAACATTTTCTAATAATGAGAGCACAGGAATTTGGGGGGAGAGAGGGGGGGGGCGAAAAAAATAGACTGATAATTAGTAAAAAAAACCGCACACTTACAACATCAATGTTAACACACACGTTAGTATCAATTTGTTCGAATTGGGGCTGCTGCTCCGGTTCGACCGGCTCCTCTTCGTCGGCGACATTTGGCGTGCCGTTGCCGTTGCAAAGCGGCGACTCGTTCGAGATCGACTCGCGCTTGAAGCCCTGCAAAAAGTCTATGTTCTCCTCGGAGGGCGTGAGCATCGGCGACGTGACCGTCTGCGTGAACAGCAGACAGGAGGCGTCGTCGGTCGATAGGAACATGCGGTCCTTTACGGATTTCGGTTCGGGCTCGTCTCGGACCGGCGGCGGCGAGTCGGGGCTCTCGCACGTTATTTCGTAGTCGGCGTGACCGTTCGACGTGGTTAGGCTGTCGCGCCGTTCGTTCTCTATAAATAAGTTCGTGGCGGTGGCAAGATCGGGCGGGTTGAGATCATCCTGAAAAGTTAGTGGTAGGGCGAAAACGGCGCATGTGAAGTTAGCTCCTGATTTACAAAATTTTGCAACTGTAATTAAAGTGTGGAACACCCCCCCCCCCTCCCGCCATCCATTCTCTCTAGCGCACGACAATCTTATGATAATTGTAGAGAAAGCAACACCAATCTCTTCTTTTCCCTTCGTCTTACCCCCAATACCCTGTGCCTACGGCACTGGTGTCACACACAAAAGTTCATGGGGAAGGACTGCACGTTTTCAGTAAGAATGTAGTACCGGGGGATCTGGGGGGTAGGGAATACCCCCCAGTTATTCATTCTAGCGCACGAAAATTTTATGATGATTGTAGGAAAAGCAACACCAATCTCTTCGTTTCCCATACCCCCCAGACCCCCCGGTTACACATTCTTGCCCCCAATATCTTGTGCCTACGGCACTGGTGTCACACACAAAAGTTCATGGGGAAGGACTGGACGTTTTCAGTAAGAATGTAGTACCGGGGGGTCTGGGGGGTATGGAATACCCCCCAGCTACTCATTCTAGCGCACGAAAATTTTATGATGATTGTAGGAAAAGCAACACCAATCTCTTCGTTTCCCTGGGGGGTATTCCATACCCCCCCAGACCTCCCGGTTACACATTCTTGCCCCCAAGATCTTGTGCCTACGGCACTGGTGTCACACACAAAAGTTCATGGGGAAGGACTGGACGTTTTCAGTAAGAATGTAGTACCGGGGGGTCTGGGGGGTATGGAATACCCCCCAGCTATTCATTCTAGCGCACGAAAATTTTAGGATGATTGTAAGAAAAGCAACACCTATCCCTTCTTTTTCCTGGGGGGTATTCCATACCCCCAGACCCCCCGGTTACACATTTTTGTGCCGAATATTCAGTGCCCATGGCACTTGTATCACACACAGAAGTTCATGGGGAAGGGCTGAACGTTTTGAGTTTGAATGTGATACCGGGGAGTCGATTCCCTCTAGCGCACGAAAATCTTACGGTCATTGTAGGAAAAGGAAAACTTTTTTTTTCGTGGGGGGGTTTTCTTTTCCCCCCCCCCCCCGGTTCTACATTCTACCCCGTATTTACTGCTTTTGGCATTACTTTTAGACTTTTAGTCAATATTGGGAGTTTCTATTTGGGTAACGAAGTCTTGTCCGTTGGTTTTTCGCGCAGCTATTTTAATGACTTATCAGGAATTTTTGAACTATTAATCCTCTTTTTAGAACGCCCCCCCCCCCAACCCTATATTTTAAAAATTGTCGGAACATTTTATCATGAATTGTAGAACTTACGGGGGAACTGCAGAAGTTGCAAAATTCGATAAACGAGGGGCTACCGTCACATGCGCGCGAAAACGTTAGTGGCAAATACACACTTGACTTAAGCATTTTTTAAGCCTTTGATTAAATTCTTCCAGCAAGCACTCTTCTAAATTTTCATCGGTTTCACTTACAATTCTCGACTTCTTCACTGTGTCTGCCATCTGAAAGCAAACGATCGAAATTTAAGCGCACGGTTTGACGGGAAAGAGCGAGGTTAGGCGCGAGTGTCATTCGTCACCGACATCTAACCTCACTTTCTTTCAAGGTCGCGCTTATACCCGTGTTTACACCGCAACGTGATAGCCCCGGTGTAATACAATCAGCAATGACTAATACACAGGCAGGACGCGAAAATTCGCCTATTAATAGTTTTAAGTCATTTTTGAGCGCGTCAAGGTGGACGGCACTCAAACCTTATTTCCGCAGGTATTTGTACCGTAAAAATATTGTGCACTTGGCTACGTTTCAAAAGATGTATTTCAGGAGAGAATTTGAAATTTTCTACGAGTTTTCGTGGATTCCTTAACTTATTTGTGCCAGAAAAATTCCGTTTTCTATTTCTGTAGCGTTTAATTGCTTCCATAGGCGTATCGATGCATTCGTAAAACGGGTCAACGTCTTATAAGAGCAAAAAATCGGAAATGCCATGTGGTTGATGTTTATATTTCAATTCGCGCGACGAGGGCGACAGCTCCAGATGAATCTAATGACGCAAGTAGCGAGTATTTATCAAAGGAAAAAATTAACACCGCGCGGCTATTAGACGAGGAGCTACTTCTTCTTCCCGCTGACCGTAGTTCCGGTTTTTAATTGCATTTAATTAAATTCCTGAACTACAAACCTTCTTGGCGAACGGAATTTAATAATAATACAACGAGCGACATTGAAGTTACGTACGTGTCTTTAGCCTTCGAACGAATCCGTTGCGAAACGTGCTATTTTTACAATAACAATCAATTGAGAAGACAATTGCTTTATTGAGAATATCTACAAATGTCAAAGGTCACAAATCTCGCACGCCCGAGGAAAAAATACAAGAAAATTCGGACGACCAACGACGAGGAGTTCCTTGCTCCTGGGGCAGGATGTTAATGACCTACAAAAAACGCGGCGGCGGTCTCGAGATCTTTGTGCGAACGGGGAGGCGCTCCCGTTTTTTTCCCCCCCATTATCCTCCCGAAGAGGGTAAACTCGGGGCATCAATTTCGCCACGAACCGGCGGCGGAGTTCATTTGTTTATCTCTCGAAAAGACCGGTTTGCATTCCACGACGCGACCGCCCCGAGGGTGTAAAAAACGGTCGGGGTACAAGTATAAAACGTGAACTTACCACGGGGGAGGTTTTCTCGTATTAACGAATTACATAAACACTATCACTATGGCTATTAAAATCTTACTGAAATTTAATCCGTTGCAGAACCATAGCCAGCCAGCGAGCGAACGCGTTCGGCGCGCATGCGTCCAAGGCGCCAGATGCCGAATGAAAAATTTCGGAAATTTATGATTGATTCCAAGTTCGAAAAAGTGGCGGAAGGGGACACGAGGTCCGCGCTAAATGCATGTGTGTCATCTCATTATCGCGTGCGAAAATTGCACGCACTGTTTATTTAATTGTATAGCGAAACATTTACGGATTTAAATAAACGATAATCCACGCGCATTCTTTTCAATTTCATAGGCATTACGTCAAGAGAGACGGCGATTAAATTCCATTGCTCTGTATGCAGGTGTGTGACTAATTCGTAAATCGTTTGTGAGTCACTTTCCGATTAAAGCTGATCGAACCAAGTCAAACAAAGCAACGCCCCGCATACCCTTTGACACATGAAGTCGGTTTTGCATCCAATCATTGCATTAGAAATAACTTTCAAAGGCGCGAAAACTAAAATTTAAATCAGCGCCATCTGTCGGTTCTATCCGTCACTGGAAAATTGACTAATCCAAAACGGGCCCAGCAAATTCGTTGATGCGTGGGAGCTCGTTTTCTTTATTTAAACAAATTTGCATGCACGCGAGAGAAAACACCCAAATCTCGTACATCAATTTCTAATTGCCCACATTGAAATTTCCATATTTTCACCAAATGAAGAATTTGCATATCAACTGCGAAATTCACTCCCAATTGAATTACTTCATTTTTTCAAAATTTTGAATTACATTCAGCGATTTTGAGATTAGGTGTCCATGGTCTTTAGGATTAGAGGAGAAGGGAATACTCCATGTAAATGGAACATTGGGTAGTTCCGGTAGTTCTTTATGAGAACGTACGTTTTGTGGGAGGCCCCGCAGCGCCCCAAGATTTTATGATATGTGTGTGTAAGCAAATGAACACTGAATCTTCTTTTTTTCCTGTGGGGTTTCCCCCAGACCTCCCAGTTCTACATTCACCAGAAAGAGACCATCAATGTGAGTCCTTAGGGATCTACGTTTTAAGGGAGACCTTAAGTATACCGAAGGGTATGGAATACCCCTCCCACACCCACCCATACCAATTAGATTACCACACCACTACACGGAAATCTTCTGATGACAGAAAAAGGAACACTGTATCTCTCTTTTTCCTGGGGTGGTATCACCAGACCCCCGGTTACACATTCTTGTCCCCGATATTCAGTGCCCATAGCATTTGTATCACACACAGAAGTTCATGGTGAAGGGCTGAACGTTTTGAGTAAGAATGTAGTACCGGGGGGTCAATACCCCCTCAGCCAGTACCTTCTAGCACACGAAAATCTTATGATGATTGTAGGAAAAGGAACACCGAATCTCTCTTCTTCCCCAGACCCCCGGTTACACATAATTCTTGCCCCCAATATTCATTGCCTACTATGGCACTTGAATCGCACACAGAAGTTCGTGAGGAAGGGCTGAATGTTTTGAATAAGAATGTAGTACCGGGGGGTCTGGGGGGTATGGTGTATGGAATAACCCCCAGCCATTCTCTCTAGCGCACGAAAATCTTATGATGATTGTAGGAAAAGCAACACCAATCTCAAATCCGTGTTTTTTATCTTTACACCATCATATTTCGTTTTATAGCAACGATAACTTTATAATTCCTTCGGTGTCTTAAACTAGAATGATATGTTTCTTCAATTATGCGTATATAATGCATTATCTGGTAATACTTTTCCCTGGGGGGTATTCCATACCCCCCAGACCCCCCGGTTACACATTCTTGCCCCCAATATTCATTGTCTATGGCACTTGTATCACACACAGAAGTTCGTGAGGAAGGGCTGAACGTTTTGAATTAGAATGTATGTACCGGGGGTCTGGGGGGTATGGAATACCCCCCAGCCTTTCTCTCTAGCGCACGAAAATCTTATGATGATTGTAGGAAAAGCAACACCAATCTCTTCTTTTCTCTGGGGGGTATTCCATACCCCCCGGTTACACATTCTTACCCCCAATACTCATTGTCTATGGCACTTGTGTCACACACAGAAGTTCATGAGGAAGGGCTGAACGTTTTGAATAAGAAAGTATGTACCGGGGGGTGTGGGGGGTATGGAATACCCCCCAGCCATTCTCTCTAGCGCACGAAAATCTTATGATGATTGTAGGAAAAGGAACACCAAATCTCTTTTCTGGGGGGTATTCCTTAACCCCCCAGACCCCCCGGTTACACATTCTTGCCCCCAGTATTCATTGTCTATGGCACTTGTATCTCACACAGAAGTTCGTGAGGAAGGGCTGAACGTTTTGAATTAGAATGTATGTACCGGGGGTCTGGGGGGTATGGAATACCCCCCAGCCTTTCTCTCTAGCGCACGAAAATCTTATGATGATTGTAGGAAAAGCAACACCAATCTCTTCTTTTCTCTGGGGGGTATTCCATACCCCCCGGTTACACATTCTTACCCCCAATACTCATTGTCTATGGCACTTGTGTCACACACAGAAGTTCATGAGGAAGGGCTGAACGTTTTGAATAAGAAAGTATGTACCGGGGGGTGTGGGGGGTATGGAATACCCCCCAGCCATTCTCTCTAGCGCACGAAAATCTTATGATGATTGTAGGAAAAGGAACACCAAATCTCTTTTCTGGGGGGTATTCCTTAACCCCCCAGACCCCCCGGTTACACATTCTTGCCCCCAGTATTATTCATTGTCTATGGCACTTGTATCTCACACAGAAGTTCGTGAGGAAGGGCTGAACGTTTTGAATTAGAATGTATGTACCGGGGGGTCTGGGGGGTATGGAATACCCTCCAGCCATTCTCTCTAGCGCACGAAAATCTTATGATGATTGTAGGAAAAGGAACACCAAATCTCTTTTCTGGGGGGTATTCCATAACCCCCCAGACCCCCCGGTTACACATTCTTACCCCCAATATTCATTGTCTATGGCACTTGTATCTCACACAGAAGTTTGTGAGGAAGGGCTGAACGTTTTGAATTAGAATGTATGTACCGGGGGGTCTGGGGGGTATGGAATACCCCCCAGCCATTCTCTCTAGCGCACGAAAATCTTATGATGGTTGTAGGAAAAGCAACACCAGCAATCTCTTCTTTTCTCTGGGGGGTATTCCATACCCCCCAGTTACACATTCTTACCCCCAATATTCATTGTCTATGGGACTTGTATCTCACACAGAAGTTCGTGAGGAAGGGCTGAACGTTTTGAATTAGAATGTATGTACCGGGGGGTCTGGGGGGTATGGAATACCCCCCAGCCATTCTCTCTAGCGCACGAAAATCTTATGATTGTAGGAAAAGGAACACCAAATCTCGTTTTGAATGAGAATGTAGTACCGGGGTCCCCAGAAAAAAGAAAAGAGAGAAAAAGAAAAGAGAGCCCCTCCCCCCCCGTTCTATAATATTCTCCACCAAAATATTTAAAGCTGTTAACCACTTACAGTACAACTATCAGAAGGAGACCATCGAATGTGAGTCCTTAGGGGTTGTACCTCTCCAGCCTGTCAGTATTGCTACTGCCACGTTGTTAATTGTTATTGCTTGATCCACGGATTTTTGATCTTATAGGAGGACCAAAATATTCTTCCTTGGTTTGAAAAACAACCAACCTTTTCAGGATAGCGAACTACTACATCAAAAATTATGGCCAAAAAACCGATCTCCAAAGAAAACACACACGCAATTTTTGATGTACGCTCATTGACAAAAGTAATGATCGCGTAATAGGTAAACTCTGCACCATAAGCAACCAACATGTCTATCATGTCGGGCTCCGTTGGTTTCTTCAAGGAGGGAAACCTTAATTTGTTGGTACGCATTTCCAAGATGCACAATATAGAAATGTTGGTTGCATACGCTGCAGGATTTACCTCTTGCCGATTATTACTTTTGTCAATAACTGTACCTAGTGATCTCATCTTTTTTTCTACAAAAAAAGGTCTTTAGTCGGTCGATTTCAGACTATAGCTTTCAGTGAAACACTTGTCTCTAAATTCCTGCCATGCCTATGGTCTCAGAATGTTTCCTGTTGGCTTTCCAATGTTCTCCCCTACCCCTCGGAGCTCTCTAGGCCAGTATTTCCCAAACTGTGGGTCGCGAGCGAATATTGCAATGGACTCTAATGAGCGATTCGTCACTGTGTCAGATATGAATAGAAACAATAGGAAGTGGTAAATTTGAAATTTCACTTAGAACAAATAAGACAGCATTAATTAGTTCCACGACTTGCCACTAGGGCGAGTCTGAGCATTACCAATATTTATACCCTATTTTCTGTAAGGTGGGTCTCAATAATGGTAATTTTTTTAGATGGGTCGGATCCCAGTCAACTTTGGGAACCACTGCTCTATCGTTCCCGAAAGGCTCTTCAGATCTACAATACTAATAAATAAACAAATTAAATGTGATGTTATTTTTTTAAGAAATTAATAAATAATACAATTTCATTCCAATAAATAGAGCAACGATTATAAATTTTTTAAATAGATTACGGTGTATACAATTAACAAAATATAACAACCCAATTAATACTCGATAGAATTTGACACATAAAATTAATATAACGATCTAGATCGGCGTTTGGCACTATTGCACAACTTACTCGCTAATATAAGCATATAAAAATATCTGTCAATATCGTTAAAAGCAAAAAGTACCAAACAGAAGAAGATTCAACGGTACCGAAGCTCGTCGATAGGTGGCAAGATTGTGTTAAATCTCTTTATGCTTAGTACTCTTCGGTTAAAGCTTGTACGTTAAAATGTCTAATTGTAGTGGTACCAAGGTAAACGTCGCACCCATCTGAGACGTCCGTGCGATTGCGAATGTATCTTGATGCTAGCGCCCTCGGCCGCTCGTACCGTCTCCTTGACGCTCTGCATGAGATTCTGCGCGTTGCCCTCGAGCATCTCGGTCGCCTCACGATCCTCCTCGGAACCTACGCACAAATCGAGGTTAGAACGCGAACGTTAACGACAAAGATTATAAACCTCTTCTCGGCGCTCCGATTCCTCGACAAAAAAAAAACGTAAGCGGTACGTGAGGTCAGTGTTATAAAGACAATTGTGATTGCTTACCTTGCGCGCCCAGCATCGTCGCTTTCACCGTACTTAGAATTTTCAGTTGGGTCGCGATCGTTGGTATCCGCTCGCAGACCTGCAGTAGGTTCGTGCGTATCCGCTTGTCGGTGCACTCGCGGGCGAGCTGCTTCGCGATTCCGGTGACGTCGGCGCTCGCCTCGGCGATCGCCTTCGCCGTCGCGATCAGCTCTCGTTTGCTGCCCTTGTCGTCGTTGTGAACGAGCTCGGATAGGCGCGCCATGAGTAGCGCCATCTTGCGGGCGGCGGCGATTAAATCGTTGTCTTTCGATGACCACTGGCGGACCTCGCGGTGCAGGTTGTGCGCGGCGACCTTATCAAGAGTTAATCGCTAGAGATAGTCAGTAAATCGGCGAGTGTTACCATGATCGGTTGACTCGAGTTGGGGGCTCGTTTGAACACGTCGTCTTCGTCGTCGGTTTCTGGAGGTGGCGGTCTCAGAGGAACGTCGTCGCTGGGTAAAGGCGGTCTTGGCGGTGCCATATCTTTAAATAATCACGTCAGTTGGGATTCAAACAGATTACGTCGGCGCAAAAAGTATGCAGATTCGGGTTTGAGAGTGGTAAAGCCGCTACTTCCCCGCGATTGGCTGACCCAAACCCAATTCGCGATTCAAGATCTGTTCTAGCGCACTTTTGACCTCGAGATCTGCGCAAGCGCCAAGTTCGTCGTGGTTCTTTCCTGAACTAAAGCGATTTTATTGATTTGCGATTTCGAGGGCTTCAAGGCCACTGAGATATTGATTATCGGGGCATGAGTCACACTTGAGATCTGCGCGAATGATAACCCCCTCCCCCCCCCGCCGTACGAAGATTCGATTACCTTTTCTCAAAAGCTACAATGAGATAGTTCCAGTAATAGAGCAAGCATTCTAGAGTCCTCCTATGCTAAAGGGGTACTGCTGGGGGGTATTCCACACCCCATAACCCCCGGTTCCCGTTGTTCCCCAAAAACATTTAGGACTATCATACTCCACAAGAAAGCTTTTTCTGTCCTGTTTCAAAAACGAATTATGAGAATATAAGTGCTTTTGTGGGAAAATGTAGTACCGGGGGGTCTGGAATACCCCCCCAGCATATGGAGATTTCTCAAAAGTTAAAATGGGGTTGTTCGGGTAATAAAGAAAGAACTATTGAGTCATACTTTGCTGATTGGGTACTGCTGGGGGGTATTCCATACCCCCCCCCAGACCGCCCGGTGCTATGTTCTCCCCCAAAAACATTTAGCATAAGAAAGAAAGCTTTGTCTGTCTTTTTCCAAAAACAAATTATGAGAATCTAAGTGCTTTTGTGGGAAAACGTAGTACCGGGGGGTCTGGAATACCCCCCAGCATATGGAGATTTCTCAAAAGTTAAAATGGGGTTGTTCGGGTAATAAAGAAACAACTATTGACTCATACTTTGCTGAAGGGGGGTCTGATACGGACTCGTTTCTATTCAATCGACCCATTTCCGTCGACAAATAGAACCGAATCGAATTACCTTGACCTTGGCACATGCGCAGATCTCCAAAATGACTCACCGTCACCTTGGAGCTCTCGAAATCGCTTTTTATTCAGAAAAGAACCATGATAGCCTTCAACTTGGCGCATGCGCAAATCTCAAGGCCACAGTGCGCTAGAACTTGATTACCTACTGGAGGCTGTCGCCAGAACCCTCTTCGCTTGTTTCGAAGGCCTCTGGACAGTTCTGCACAGGACATATAGATGGCTCTCTAAAGTTATAGAATGTGTTTATGGAGTTACTGGAAACACTTCAAGGCATATGGAAAACGTTACAGCTGGTTTTATCAATGCTTTCCAGAGCTACCTCTGGAAACAACAACACATTTTGAGATCTGCACTCTCGAAAAGGGGTATAGAACGCCCGAAAAGCTTGGGGTCTAAGAAGCTAGAATGTTCCATAGAGATGTTAGAAGGCACTTGTATGACTGTGGATGGCAATTAGATGTTGTACAGATGCTTTCCAGATGCCCTAGAGTGATTTTCAAAATATCTTAGGCACTCCAGATCTTCAAAGTTGCATTTCAGGGTACCAGAAAACGTTATGTAGCAATGATAGGCTTTTTGGAGATCTAGTGGGCTGTTCAGAGCGTTCTAGATCATTTCCACAGCATTCTAGGCTGTTTTTAGAGCTTCCAATACTCATCCAGCTTTTGTAACACAATTTTTAATTAACCATTCGCTCATTCATCAATAAGTCACATTCTAAGGAACTTGTGACGCAATAGTTGAAAATCGTTTGAGACTTTGATCAATTAAAAATTGTTTTACAACAAAACAAATGCGAATCTACACACTTTTTGCGCCGACAGTAGAGACATGCAAAGATGCTCACCATCGTCAATAATATACTCGGGTATGAAACTATAATATCCTTAGCAATGCGTGTAAGTAAAACGATTAGACAACAACCCACCCCGGCAGCGGTTAGTTACGTTAACAGTAAGCGGGCGTGCGATCTGTACAAATAAAGACGAATTACCTGGCTCCCTGTAATTGTTAGATATTAGTTCTTGGCAAAGGAGGTCCGAGTTCTCGCCTAAATTACAAAAAAAAACAAAAGAATTTCGAATCGGTTACAGGTCGGTCACTATAATACCTCGGGCCCATTTCGGTAGCGGACTAACGCGGCCTTGAAGGTTAGCAATCGGCGTAAGTCTACCGGCTTCCGTGCTGAAAGTGGGAGTCGGCGTACTACGGAGAGGCTCACCAACTACGTAAGCAAGTTAAAAAGCAGAATTAAAACAAAAATATTGTGCGATACACGAGAGAAGCAGAAGTACCTTTGTCGGCAAAGTAAGTGCCCGGAATTCCGGATTCTGAAATAGTTACACGAAGGTTAGAAAGGACATAATATGTACAAATTGTTCGAGTTCTGTTGTAATAAGCGAGGTGTGTTTTTTACCTAGTTTCAGTGAGGTCATGTTGGGCAGCGGTGGAACCTCTGGTTTGATGACGTCACGAACTTGTGCGACTGCGCCGAGAAGCTGAAATATTAAGAATGTTGTAGGAGCCTAGTCAGCCGGTTAGGAGAACAGTTTGTAGGCACACCAAATGGATACAATTGCGCGATTGTAATTTTTTCCCCCAACTACCATTGTTTTAACGCAGAGAATTTTCAAAAATTTCTAGTATGATAATAAACTTTCTTTTACATATTGAAGAAAATCTCCATTTTTTGGGGGTCACGGTCTTGAATTCAAGACCAACCCATGGCCTTTAATTCTGGGTTAAGATCGTGGGCTGGAGGTTTCCCCGACTACAAGGTCATGACCTTAGTGAACGGGACTTTCCGGTTGCGTTAGGAGTGAACTTGTTTTGGGATTTCCAAGGGCGCGACCTTGCAGAAGATAGCGTTAGCATGCCAATAGGGCACTATTGCATTCATAATATTGTTTTCCATACCCTCCAGACCGGTTCTGGATCAGTACGGTCGCTCGCCAGCTAACGCTGACCTTGGAACGTGGACTGTGGCGAAGTTCAAAGGTCACCTACCACGTGCCAGTGACTTTTAGAAAGCAGGTCAGTGAAGTTCAAAGATGGCTTGCCTCCAAAGGTCAATGACCCTATTTTTGTGGTGTCATGTCGGATTTAATGTTCAAGGTCATCAGAAGTCAATGGCTTTGGCCTTATTTCATTTTCAAGGTCATTAGAGATCAATTTTGTAGGTCACGGTTAGGTTTAAAGGTTACTCGCCTCATGGATCGGTAAAGTGGGTCAAGATTGAACTCGGAGGTCGGTTCGGTCGTTCACTCCTAAACGTTTCCTCCCTCACGGTTGCCACGTGATGACCTCTTCAAATGAATCAGACCAGAGCATGACCTTGCACCTCAAAAAAGGTCACTCCTTAATTACTCAACCAGGAACTCCCCTTCGCCACAGTTTTGACTTTTTTCCTCAGGGAAATTCCAAGGCCACGAGCTTGGGTCAAAGTCCAAAGTTTTGTTTCAAATTCACAGCTACAGCATTGGTCCAGAATTCAAGGTTCGACCCCCAAACCGGGTGGGCAGTTCCCGACCTGAGAAATAGGCCAGTGACTTACTTTCTACACCCCCCAGACCCCCCGGTTCCACATTCTTTCGCAAAATGTGCAGTGCTTTTGGCACTTGTGTCAAACGTTTTGAGAGGGAATGTACCACCAGCGGGTCTATAATGCCCCCCAGTAATTCTCTTTAACGCTTGAAGTTTAATTTTCCCCGGGGTGTATTATTCTCCCCCAAAATGTGCAGTGCTTTTGGCACTTGTATCAAACGTTTTGAGAGGAAATGTAGCACAGGAGGGTCTGGGAGGTATAGAATATTCCCCAGCCATTCCCTCTAGCACGTGAATATTTCATTCCCCTGGGGGGCATTCCAGATCCCCAGGTTCCACATTCATTCTCAAAATGTTTAGTGTTTTTGGCACTTGTATCAAACGGTTTGAGAGGAAATGTAGCGGGGGGAGGGGTGTCTGGGGGGTATAGAATATCCCCCAGCCATTCCCTCTAGTGCATGAATTTTTCTTTTCCCTTGGAGGTATTCCAACCCCCCGGTTCCACATTCTTTCTCAAAATGTTTTGTGCTTTTGGAACTTGTATCAAACGGTTTGAGAGAAAATGTAGCACAGGGGGAATCTGGGGGGTATACAATATCACCCAGCCATTCCCTCTAGCGCATGAATCATTCTTTTTCCTGGGGAATAGCCCCCAGACCCCCCGGTTCCACATTCTTTCTCAAAATGTTTGTACTTTTGGCACTTGTATCAAACGTTTTGAAAGGAAATATAGCACAAAGGGGGTTTGGGGGTATAGAATATCCCCCAGCCATTCCCTCTAACGCATGAATCTTTCTTTTTCCTGGGGGGCATTCCAGACCCACCGGTTCCACATTCTTTCTCAAAATGTTTTGTGCTTTTGGCACTTGTATCAAACGGATTGAGAGGAAATGTAGCGGGGGGAGGGGTGTCTGGGGGGTATAGAATATCCCCCAGCCATTCCCTCTAGGACATGAATTTTTCTTTTCCCTTGGAGGCATTCCAACCCCTCGGTTCCACATTCTTTCTCAAAATGTTTTGTGCTTTTGGAACTTGGATCAAACGGTTTGAGCGAAAATGTAGCACAGGGGGAGTCTGGGGGGTATAGATTATCCCCCAGCCATTCCCTCTAGGGCATGAATTTTTCTTTTCCCTGGGGGGCATTCCAGACCCCCTGGTTCCACATTCATTCTCAAAATGTTTAGTGCTTTTGGCACTTGTATCAAACGGTTTGAGAGGAAATGTAGCGGGGGAAGGGGTGTCTGGGGGGTATAGAATATCCCCCAGCCATTCCCTCTAGGGCATGAATTTTTCTTTTCCCTTGGAGGCATTCCAACCCCCCGGTTCCACATTCTTTCTCAAAATGTTTAGCGCTTTTGGCACTTGTATCAAACGTTCTGAGAGGCAGTGTACCACAGGGGGGTCTGGGGGGTATAGAATATCCCCCAGCCATTCCCTCTAGCGCATGAATCTTTCTTTTCCCTGGGGGGCATTCCAAACCCCCCGGTTTCACATTCTTTCGCAAAATGTTTAGTGCTTTCGGCACTTGTATCAAACGTTTTGAGAGGGAATGTAGAACCGGAGGATCTTGAACACCATTCCCACTAGCGCACGAATTTTTCTTTTTCCTGGGGGGTATTCCTTACCCCCCAGTTCCACATTCTTTCTCAAAATGTAGAAATGGTAGAAATTAATTCCTTTCGTTGAGACCTTTCATTAGAGTACCATGAATGATAAAACTAGGTCCACTCCCCCCTCCCCTTCCTCCCCGAACTTTGATAAGAGGACAAAAAGGAGGGAAGTAGTTGGTAGAATACGGTTCCTTTCAATGAGACCTCTTAATTAGAACACAATGAAAGGTAAAATTAATTTTTACCCCCCCCCCCCCCCTGTCGCTCACTGATCTCGAAAAAGAGTCGCAGGGGAAAGTTAAAGAACCTGAAGGTAATGTAGATAACGTTAAGATCGACAATTGCGCAATTGTAAGTGGATAGCGCTAACCCAAAACTACAAACTGTTCGTTGGTAATCAAAACTTACCGCTTTATTTGATTCTCTCCACTTCGAAATCGAATTCAGATCGGCCGGATTAATCGCGACCTGCTTGGCGTCCTGCACCATCAGCGGAACACCTGCGGCGGACATTTCTAAACCCCGAAAGTAAACCAAAGGTAAAACTTACAGTTTTGCAGTATGTTCGATGCCTGATTGACTTCGTCGATAAAGGCGGGATCCTCCGAGTTGTCCGACTCCTGCTTGGCGACGAGCAGCACGCGATTGGCGAGACGCGCGATCGCCGACGTATTATCGACCATCTTCTGCGATTGCTTGTTCTTGATCGCCTCCTCGCACAGAAACGTGTGCTTCCGCATCTGCTCCTCTGCAATCGGGGCTTTCGATGGACTTTGAAATGACACGACGATACTCACCGGACGCCTTGATGAAGTCGCCGGAGTCCGTCGCCTCGTCGCACAGATTGCGCACCTTCGTAAGCGTGTCGGCGTACTGCTGGCGGAGGTTCTCGAAGTGCTCGTCGGCCGCCTTCGACGTGGGATAGTTGAGTCGAATATTGCCGGCGGAGACGAGCTGCGGCGTTAGGCTTTCGACCTGACCCGAGGCGCTCTGCAAGGATTCGGCCAACTTTTTGTTGCCGCCGCTTCCACCTAAACCAAGACGATATATTGGGCGAGCGAGAAGGTTAGCTCACCTGCCGCCACCATTTTGGCGGTTTTTACGGCGCGATTCGAAAACTGTTGTAGGTTCGCCGCTTTGTCCGAGAAATTCTGATCGCGATTCGGCGTACCCTCCAAGGCCAGTACGGCCTCGGTGAAGTGTTTCAAGGGGGTGACGATATCGATGAAATCTTCGACGACCCGATTCGTGACCGCCTTGTTGATGCGCTCTTTCAGCTCGTGCAGCTTCTGCGATAACTTTCTCGCGACGTCCTGCGCCTGCGCGGAATCGCCGTGGCCCTGCAGGCACAGCTGCTCCAGTTGGCGCGACAGTCCGTCGACGTCGTCGCATAGTTCCAGAATTTCCGTCTTCTGAATGCCCGGCAAGCCGTCGGCCACTTTACGTCCCTCCTGTACGATCAGCGCGATGGCCCGCTGCCCCAGCCCGCGATCGTTCTGCCCCGGATGCGTCAGCCACTTGCGCGCTTGCTCGATTCGGCCCTGCACCGTATGGGCGATCTGTTGCAGGCCGGACTTGTCGACGCCGACCACCGCGTTCAGTACGGCCTGCTGCAAATGGCCCAGCTTTTTCCTGATGCTGTCCGCCAAAGCCTCCGCCTGAGGTGTTGCTCCGTGCCCGTCCTGTCGAAGCTCGCACAGTGCGTCCGTCATCGTCGTGAGCTCGGATACGAGTCGACCGATTGCCTGCGCGTCCGGTGGAAGACACCTGTCCGCCACCTTGCCCGCCGCGTCGATCAGTTGGCGCAAAGACTTCTCCCCGATACCTCCCTTAAACGCAGAGTGATCCAGCAACCAATCGTTCGCGGTGTTGATCTTATTCAAAATCACATTCTGCAACTTCTTCAGAACGGTCAAGTTGTCGAGCTCCGACGTATCCTCATCGTAACTCGTCAATTGCAACACGCGAATGATTTCGATTATTTCATCGGACATGCGAGCGGTTAAATAATTCCGATTTTCGGCCGCCTCCTCCGCCCCCTTGCCCCCTTGCGTGATGATGTGAATGTAAATCTTCATGGAGCAGATGAGGATCGGCGCCAGAGTCTTCACCTGCTCCAGGCAACGCACCAAAGTTTCGGCGTGCACCTGGTGCGTCAACTCCTTCTCGCGCGCGCTCACCTCGCGCGACACCTTGCTCAGACACGGACTGAGATCGCGTAAAAATTGCACCAGCTCCTCCATCGTTTCGATCACCTCGGCGACGGCGAGGTAGTCAAGGACACGTTTGCATTCGTGGATGATCTTTCTCACCTCCGATTCGTCGAAGCAAAGTAGCAAGGCGGAGGTCGCCTGCAAGGAGATAATTGTCAGAGGGAACACTTGTATTGGAGGGGGAAACCACTTATGATAATTGTAGGAAAAGGAACATCTTTCTTTTTCAAGGGGGGATTTCCCATTTCGTGGGTAACACAAATATACCATTTAGATATACTTAAAAGCGCCCTCTAGCAGATAAGTAAGGCAGCTTGAGCACAATTTGACATTGACGTCCGCGCATGTGTCCATATTTACCACATAGTGAATTACTGGTACATTCTCAACCAAAGGAATTGTATTACTGAATTTGAATGCAAAATGAAGTAAAGTAACCAAAATCATGGATTCTTATCAATAAATACCATACAAAATCTGTTTCTGCAAATAATTCTCACAGGCCGATTTCTTTAGGAATATCAAAATTACTTCAAACCAAATTTTTTATGGAAATAATCGACAAAATCCCAATGTCCCGCCGTGTTTGTATTAAATTAAGCTTTTCGTTGCGAGTATACGGGGTTAGGTAATAAAGTTACAGGACCTAACCTCATTTTTTTAAATAGAACACCCGGTATATTTTCATCTAAAATGATAGCATATTAAATCTTCTTTTAAAAAATCCAAAAAGTTCAATTCAAAAAGAGAATTTTTAGATTAAAATATACAGGGTAATGTTAGAAGATACCTAGTAAGTGAAAATCCATGTGAAGTTACCAATAAGTGATTAGCGAGATTTTGCATATTTCTTATGAAGTTAGCAATAAATATGCGTATGAATGGATAAATCCTGTTTAGTGGAAATTTAATATTAATTTCTGTGGCGTTATTGCTAATTTCACGCCGTTAAAGTGTAAGGAAACAAGCTCTATGAAAGATGTTGAACGTTACTACTTAAAAAAAAATGATAAAACTGTGCTGGACGCCCTCTAGTGGCAATCTCATCAGTGAAGTGAGCCGTGACAATAGGCCAACGATGTAAAATATTACAAAACGCTACGGTTATAAGTGGACTCTGTTCTTTCGTAATCCCGTAGTAATAATAACTCGGAACTAATTTTAAGTACGACTTCTCGACGGAAATAATGAGCCCACTATTTTAATTCTTATTGCTCGATGACGTGAGCATGCGATTAGAAACCACGTCATTGTGGTTACGGAGAGATATGACTTACTTGCAAAATGCCGCCACTACCCTCGATGAGGCGCTCCCGGGCCGGCCCCGAGAACGGATCGTGCTTCAGCATGTCGCTCGCCTGCTCGAGCAGTACGGAGGACTTCTCGACCCTCTGCAGGGCGGCGGGCATGTCCTGTCGCAGGATCGGATCGTCCGAGCTGCTGATCGTCTCCTTGCCCACCTTGAGCAGGTTCGAGACGGCGTTGCTGACCACCCGAACGGGCTGCTGAAGATCGGGCATCGCGTTGCCATCTTCGGCCTCCTCGTGCAGTATTACCAGTCGAGACACCTGCGAAACGGTAGCATTTGAGGAAGTTGCCTTTTTTGGACAAGATCGAATTACGCTCTTCCTACTCGCGCGTTCGATGAATTTTAATGAGAAAAAATTAGTAGGTCTTTAGGTGAGCGACACGCCCACCTCTGGCATTTGGAGGTCCCCTCACGAAACAAAAAAAAATGAGATAAACAAATGACTATTTACCTGCTGTGCGACTGGCTCCAAAATGGATTCGATTGTTTTCGTATGAAAGACTGGCATTTTGTTTAAAACGTAATTTTAACACTTTATTTAATAACAATTTTTTAAATTATTGTTAAATACCAAAAATATAAGTGGAAAGATTTGTTTAACTTAAAAAGAGAACTTAACGTCTACTATTTATAGATTATGACATGTCTACTGATGGCGACATCTGGCGGATTACCTTCGCATTCGTGTTAACTTAGACCCCCCATTTACAGAATTTTGCAATTCTAATCAGTCCCCCACTCTTCAAACAGACGAATATTTGAAAAAATGTTTCAAAAATTCATAATATAACAACCGAAAAAAAGGGCTGTATGAATCAGGGTCCTCGGACTTGCCTTGATGAGCTTAAATACTTCATCTACACTTTGAATCGCAAATATATTCTCTAAAGGCTTCCACAAATTTCTAAAAGCCTTTAAAATTTGCTAAAATTGCTTAAAGGGCTTTAACAATCGCTGTAAAAATGTAAAACACTCGCCTTGACAGGACTAAGGCCTGTGAGAGTTCTTAAAGGCTTTTATTGGTCTTTCAGACGTCCCTAACAGTCTCCAAGTGTCCAAGAGCCTTTAAAAACCCTTTAAAATACTGAAGAGGCATTAAGAATATTCTTTACAGCTTTTAGAGTGTAGCTAAGAGCCTTCACACCTTTAAGAATCCTTAGTACCTACTGTAAAAAAAACTTCCTTTAATTAGTCTTTGAGAGCATTCATGAAAGCTTTACAAGCATTTATGAAACATTAAGGGCATTTAATTGTCGCCGACGGTTTTTAAGAGCTCACAAAAGTTTCCAAACAGATTTTAAAGACCCCTGCAATACACCTAATAGCCTTCAGAAGCCTTTAAGGGTTTGTATACGAGTCCATAAAAGCTTTTAATAGCCTTTAAGAGCTTTTAAGAGTCGTTTCTAAGAGTTTCTAAGAGCTTCTGTCTTCAAAACCTTTACAAAGTTGTTGAAAAATCCTAAAATCCTTCGAGAATCCTTAACAGGGATGTTTTAATGGATATATTTGGTTTGTCATGGAGCTTTTATGAACGTTTCAAAGGTTTTATTGGGATTTCAAGGTAAATAAGAGCTGGACCGGTTTCTAAGCACCCCCAAAAGCCTTTAAAGATCTTTAAAATCCCTTAATACTCTTTAAAAGTGACAAAAGTTTTCATACATTTTCGAAAACATTTAATATACCTAGTAGCCAAAGGCTTGAAAGAGCTTCCAAAGGTCTCCAAGATTCTATAAAAGAATTTGAATGGCTTTAAAGGCTATTAAAAAATGTTATTTACGCTTTTAAGGATGTAAAGGGGCTATTCTAACGACCTTTAGGAGCTTTTAGGGGTGCTTAAGCTTTTATTGATCTTTGAGAGCATCCAAAGGTCGTCAACAGTCTCTAAAAAGACTTCCAGAAACATCGAAGAGCCTATTAAAGTTTCTTAAGAGCCTTGAACAATGATAATATACTATAACAGAAGCCTTTAAGGGCTTGTACGAGTCCTTAACAGCTTTTATTAGTCTTTAAGGGGTTTTTATAGAGTCATCATCAGTTTCTATAAGAGCTTCTAAAGGTCTTCAAAATCTTTTCAAAAGTTGTTGAAAGGTCTGTTAAGCATGTCATGATTACCCCATTTAAAGTTTCTATGTGTACTTTAAAGCTTTTATTGAGATTTCAGAGTATTTAAGGTTTCTAAGCCCCCCAAAAACCTTTAAAGGCCTTTAAAAACCCATAATGCAGTTTAAAAGTGAGAAAGGAAAAAAGCTTTCATATATATTTTTTAGAACCACGGCCACGGCTTCTAAGAGCTTCCAAAGGTTTTCAACATTCTTTAAAAGGCTTTAAACGGCTTTAACATTTTTATTACTTTTGTAAGAGTGTAAAAGGGGTTCTCTGACGCACTTTAGAATCTCGCATTGATCTTGCAGAGCAGTTAAAGGTCTTCAACAGAAGGTTCCAAAAGCTTTTAAAAGTGCTGAAAAAGCTGAAGAATAGCTTTTGACCAGGCGTCAAGGTCGCGTATCAGTTCGTAAAAGCTTGTATTGATTTTTAAGGGCTTGAACGAGTCTTTAAAAGCTTTTATTAGCTTTTCAAAACATTCAAGAGTCGCCAACAGTCTCTAACAGCGCCCAGCGAAGCTTCCAAGGGTTTTTGAAAACCTTAAAGAGACTTTAAGAATCCTTACGAGAGTTAAAAAAACGGGTCTTGACGTTCTTTTAGGGAATTGTAGGGGTCCTTGAAGGTTTCTTTGGCCTTTCTCAATTCTCAGAGAATTTGAGAGTAGTCAACAGCTTTTAATGCCTTCAAGAGGCGTTCAAAAGCTTTATAAGCCTTTAAAAATGCTTTAAAAACTCCCAGACACGTCTTAGAGCTTTTAAAACCTTTTAAAGTTGCTGAAGGCTACTCTTGGAGAACATTTTAGGGCTTGTATGAGTCTCCCAAAATGTGCATTGACCTTTCACGGGGTTTATGAGTCGCCAAGAGCCTCTAAGGGTTCCTAAAAGGCTATCAAGAGCTTTTAAAAATTTTTGAAACTACCTATTCAGAATCTTTAAAAATACCTACTCCTTAAGAGTGTATAAGTCTTAGCTGGACCAGCGTTTAAGGCATCCAATTTCAAGTGTAAGAGTGGATATCCCGCACGAGGGACAAGTTACAAGTCTCGGGGGTGGGACCCTAATAACAAAAACTCTTCAGTTGAGAATCCATGTGCGATATTAATTGCGATTTACTAATTTTCACGTATTTTGTAGTGTAGAAGTTAAATTTGCCTTCGAAGGCCATGTTGCTTTTAAGAAAACGGTTTCATTGCACCAAAGATGAGTCCCTTGTTGTACAGTTACGCTGCATTGGGCTTTAAAGGGGAAGAAATAAAGCCGTGGGAAGAATATGAGTGGTTGGTCAGAAAAGGGAGTAAGGAGAGAGTTGGAAAGTGGAATGTTGTGCTCCCGTGTTTCCGAATTTGGGGCGAATGGACCAAATTTTACACTTTAGTTCTCGTTTTTGAGCCGAGGATCTAAAACCTCGGTCAAGATCGTTTCGTGAGTAATGCAACATGTTGCGCAATGTACGAAGGTTGATTTTCTACTGTGGGAACGTTTTTATCAAGTGGCAATGAAGCCATATTCCTAGCTTCGCCCACAGTTCGCGATGTTTGCGCTGTTGGTGCTGTGCACCCTCTCGTGCAGTGGCGTGAGTGCGTCGAAAATTTTAGGAATCAGCCTGACACCCTCCTACAGCCACCAGATCGTATTTCAGCCACTTTGGAGAGAACTGTCGTTACGCGGGCACCAAGTGACGACGATCACACCGAATCCAATTAACGATCTCAAACTGATCAATTTAACCGAGATCGATTTGGGCTTTGTACGACTTTCTAACTTGGAGGTGAAGGGACTGATGAGACAGTCGACCTTTTTGCACGAGATTTATCTCATGTACACCTTCATGGCGACCATGATGGATAAACAATTGGAATATCCACCAGTGAAGCAACTCCTGAACGATCGAAGTGCCAGATTTGATTTGGTGATCGTGGAGTATCTCTGGACTGCTCCCTTGGCGTTTGCCAAGAGATTCGATTGCCCATATATCGGTGTACTGTCCACGGACGGGGTCAATTCGAATCACCGAAAGATTGGAAACCCCGCGCACTCCAGCTTGTATCCCGATCTCTTCCTATCGTACGGCGACAAACTGTCGATATTTGAACGCGTGGTTAGCTTCGTCTACGAGCTCTTCTACGAGGTGTACTTTGAAGGTGTCCTGCACGAGCTGGAACAGAAGGTCGTGCACAAACACTTCGGCGATCACTACCCGTCCGTAGCGGAAATGGCTCGAAACGTCAGCATGCTGTTCGTCAATTCCGACCCCATCTTCCACCACAATCGCCCTTTGGTACCGGGCGTCGTGCAAATCGGCGGCAGCCATTACCCAAAGGAACCCGTCGGTCTTCCGCCGGTAACAACGGATGAACAACGGCGAACCACTCAAGCTCTGATTGCAGGAACTGCACCCTTTGGATGATGCCGAATTCATTTACTTCAGCTTAGGCTCGAACGTCAAAAGCGAATTTCTAAAGCCGCAAACGATCGATATGATGCTCGAGGTCTTCGGGGAGCTACCATACCTAGTGCTGTGGAAGTTCGAGGAGGACTTGCCGAATAAGCCCAGTAACGTTATCATCTCCAGGTGGTTGCCTCAGCGCGAGGTTCTCGGTAAGTCCGCAACTGTTCGGGCGTAGTCTCCCAACCGTTTGCTTTGCAGCCCATCCCAACATTAAACTCTTCATCACCCAGGGAGGCCTGCAGTCGATGGACGAGGCAATCCACGCGCGCGTTCCCATGCTCGGCATTCCCATCTTTTTCGACCAACCGTTCAACGTGAAAAAGATGGTCAACAGAGGCTTCGGGCTTGAGCTGGATCACAGAACGCTAGAGAAAAGCGTCTTCAAGGAGACCATCCTGGAAGTGATCCAGAATCCACGGTGAGCCACCGCGATCGGCGTACCCGATGTGACTCGGCGGCTACTTGCAGGTACCGAAACGTGCTGAGAGAACTGGCGGATTTGGCCGAAGATCAGCCGATGACAGGGATCGAGAAAGCGGTTTGGTGGTCAGAGTACGTGATTCGCCATAAGGGGGCGAGACACCTGAGGAGCCCATTGCTCGACGTAGCATGGTATCAATACCTCCTTGTGGACGTTTTTGCTGTGCTACTCGTGGGGTTCTTTGTTGTAATTTATTTGATTGTAACAGTTTGTAGGCTTGTATTCAAATCATTGAAATCGGTTACTGAGCACAAAAGGAAGAACGATTAAACGGTACCTATAAAATGGCTCTTTATTTATCCATTCTTCATTTTCAGATCTTAGTTGTTAGTCTCCCTCCAATGTCCAATTCCCAAGTACCCTTTGGCATTATTTCTTTTCTTGCCTTTTTAAAAAATTCTCTTGCGATGCTTCCTTGTCTATCATATTCTCGTGGTTAGCCTCGGCATCAGCTTCCCAATTGAGGATCCTGGATATGATAAAATGAGATGAAATCTCTCCCAGATTGTGCTACGTTGTCCCCTACAAAACGTTAATTCCTCAAGACTCTCATAGGTAATACTTTTTGGGTAGATCATCAAACCCTCTTCTTCTATGAAGTATTGCAAAAACATAGTACCCGAGGGTCTCGGCGGTATGGAACCGGGTGGTCTGGGGGGATGAATAGCCCCCAGGACAAAGAAAAATTCGATCTTCCTTTTTCTACTAAGATTTTCGTGTGCTAGAAGGAATGGCTATCCCCCAGACCTCCTGGTGCTACGTTCTCCCCCACAAAACGTTTATTCTTCAGGACTCATATAATAGTTTCTCCTAAGAAGTATTGCAGAACGTAGTGCCGGAGATTGAGTGTGTGTGGGGTATGGAATACTACTAGCAAATGGAAGATTCGATGACCGTTTCCGGAAAAATCCAATCACAGGAAGAATGTGGAACGAAGGGGTTGGGGGGGGGGGTGACAAAGATAGATTCGATGTTTCCTTTTCTAGAAATATCGTAAGACTTTCGTGCGTTAGAAGGAATGGCTGGGGGTATTCCGTACCCTCCAGACCCTCTTCTCTCTATGAAGTATTACAGAACGTAGTGCCGGGGGTGGGCGGGGCGGGGGGTATGGAATACCACCTAGCCAAAGTAAGATTCAATAGCCGTTTCCGAAAAAAAAACCGTGAACCTCGTAGCAAAGAAGAACTATACTTTATAATTTCCATTCAATTCGGGGAATAATGTGGAATCAATGGGTTTGGGGGGGGGGGGGGCGGAATGCCCCCAGGACAAAAAAGATTCGGTGCTCCTTCTTCTACAATTACCACAACATTTTCTTGCGCTAAAGGGAAAGGCTGGGAGGTACACTGGGGGGTATTCATTCCTTCGCAAAATGTATAATACAAGTGCCAAAAGCACCAAACATTTCGGGGAAGAATATGAAACCGGCGGGGGGAGGGGGAGTCTGGGCGGTATGGAATACCATCCAGAACAAAGAAAGATTCAATCCTCCTTTTTTACCATTATCATAAAATTTTCGTGTGCTAAAAGGAATGACGGGGGGGGGGGGATTCCGCCCCCTTCGCACCCCTGGTGCTACTTTCTCCCCCACAAAACGTTGATTCCTCAGAACTCATATTATAGTTTTTGGGTAGATCATCAAATCCTCTTTTGCTATGAAGTATTGCAGAACGTAGTACCGGGAGGGTCTGGGGGCTATGGAAACTCCCCAGGACAAAGAAAGATTCGATCTTCTTTTTATACAATTCTCATTCTCAGATTTTCGTGCGCTAGATGGAATGACTGGGGAGTATTCCATACCCCTAGATCCTCCGGTGCTACATTCTCCCCCTCAAATGGAATACCCTCCGTCCCAATGTTCCTCCTACAGTAAGCGCACTCCTAATAAGGTCACAGAGTGGCCTAGTCGGTACAAGCGGTTTACAAATCCAACCTTGGGGAACAAAAAACCAAAGGTAAGGGTTACCTAATGGTTTAGGCGCCCCCTTGAAGAAGTTGCCTGGGCAGTTGGCAGCTTGCTCCTTTTTAAGCATGAACTCCGGATAACTTTGGCCTGGGCCCCTCTCCGCAATGTTTCGCATACGGAGCGATAACCCCGTTTAAAAGTTGGAAGGTGCGAAAGGAACGGAATCACTTGCTAACAAAAATTGTATTCATACCAATCAATCGTCACAATACGCCAAATTAAAGTTAAGTATCTCGTCGCTCGTCAAAAACCGCACGTCGCTCTGACTGTCGCTCGTGGAGCTCTTCATTTTGTAATCTCGACATCCGACGAACCGACGTCGTCTTATTAGAATCGTTACTAGCACCGCCAGAAGCAGCGTCAACGTTAGTACGGCTGCAACAATGATTATGTTACGATTTTCTACTGGTGGCACCTTCGCCCCCTTGTCAGGGAGATTCTTCTTCACGCTCGAGGTGAATGAAGACGTAAATGGGGTGAAATCGATGACGTCCTCTTCGTCTGGCGAAGTTGGGATGGTTACTATCTCGTCTATTGGTAGCTGAATTGGTTTGCTGGTTGTTGCTTCCGCTTTGAGGGTTATTGCAATAATTTTTGTTGTGTGGTGGATAGTTTGTGTTGTTGTAGTACTTTTGGTTGTTGACGGTGTTTTTGTTGTCCTCTTTGTCGTTGGACTTGTTGCCTTTTTTGTCACCTTCTTTGTTGTTGTACTTGTTGGTCTCTTTGTCGTTGTACTAGTTGTCGTCTTTGTTGTTGTAGTTGTCGGCCTCTTTGTCGTTGTACTAGTTGTCGTCTTTGTTGTTGTACTTGTTGGTCTCTTTGTCGTTGTACTTGTTACCCTCTTCGTCGTTGCGGGTGTCCTTTTCATTGGCGTAGGCAGTTTCGTGGTTCGAAGTGTGGTGGTTGTTTGCAGCGTTGGTCTTGTGGTTGGGGGCGCTTCGGTCGTTTCCAACGTAGAACTCTGCGTACTCGATTCGTCCGTAGGGGTCGCGTCGGTTGTCACGCTCATAGAGCTGTACTCCTCTGTGCCTCCCAACACACAGGTTGCTATGTAATCCAAACAGCATCGATTGTTGTCGATGCAATTTTCGTCGCAATCGCATGGGAGTGAGCTGTTAAAGGTGTCGCACCTGTTCGCGCATGATTGAGTATCGTCGTCCTCCCACGTGTACTCAAAGTCCCTAGAATATCATCGTTAATAACCAAGATCTCTAGGTCTGCAAGTATCGGCCATACTATTCGCGTAAAAAGTATGTAGTTTGGGGCCTAATAAATCAAGGCTCAAAACGCTAAACAAGAGAGCCGCCGTCCTACATACTTTTTGGGCGGACAGTAAGCTCTTGATTTGTGTACTTACCGTTCAGTCGAGGCATCGTCCATGATGCAGTTCGGAATTATATTCACATCATCGATTGCAATATCGCTATAGTAACTCTCACCTCGGATACCTTCGATGACGATCTGAAAGTCATCTCGGTAAACCACGCGAAGCTCACTTGCAATACCCACCTGGAAATCTTCGTCGATCGGCCCAAGAAAGCTCCGGCTCCTAATCCAGTGCTCGCCGTGATTCCCCGACTTCCAAAAGAACGCCTTCGCCGGCTCCAGTTTCCAATTGTCCGATTCCTTTTTGAGGTACACCCGTAGCTGGCCGGTCGTGCTGCCGTACATGTGGAAGTAGAACTCGAAGCAGACGTCGCTGTCGCTGATCCTATCGTAGATCGGGGAGATGAGGCGGGCCGTGTCGTTTATGTTGCGGAACGAGGACTCGATGTACATGTAGTAGCCGGCCTCGTTCGCCCCCTTGGTGTGATCGTAGCTGGGACCCGTGCCCAGATGGCCGCTGGGGGTCCTGAAGTTTTTTCGCTTCCAATCGAAATCGTGGCGAAGGTCGTGGTTCCATCCGCAAAGGTCGACGGTTTCGAAATCGCACTGCAATTTAGGCACGGTGTTGCTCTCTAAAATTCGAGTGAGTTTGTTGCCTAATTCGGGGGAGGCTTACCGATGCACGATGGAAGCTTGTTGTCCCAATGAAGACCGTCGCAATACGTCGCATTCTCACCTCGCAGTACGTAGCCGGGCTTGCAAAAGAAATTCAGTACGCCTCCCCGGTGCGAAGGGTAAATGAGTGCGTTGGCGGGCGGGCTGACCTGAGTGCAGCTCGAACCTGAAGATGATCTAGTTAGAAACTTAGAGGTAGAGGTCTTACGAAACGTACGGACGCATTTGGGGATCAGTCCATCCCATTGCCCATTATCGCACGTGCTGTACCGTTCTCCGGCGATGATGTAGCCAGGATTGCACGTGAACTTCACGAAGCGATTTTTTTGCCGGTACCGCACCCTTCCGTTTCTCAGCTTGAGCGTCGGGCAAGGTAAACGCTTCGGCGTCGCGATCACTTCCAAAACGAACGACAGCAGCACGACGCTAATTAGGTTGAAGTTCATTTTTAGCGCACTTCCAAATACTTTCTGTGTCAATGCGCGCCTTATCCCCCTGCACTTCCTGAGGATGCTGATAAGAAAGGAAGTACCTATCTTCTGGATACGCAGAATGGATCTTTGCCGATCGGAGAATACAACGCAGTTGTTGTTAGATAGTCCGGAGTATGACAAGTTGCCTACATTTTCACAAAAATTGACGGATTTACCATTATCTGGCAATTTGGGATGTGCTGTTTCTGCACGGCAGCCTCTTGAGGACGGTAAAGGCATATCAAATACAGCAGGGGAAGGGCTTTAAAACTTTCAAAAGGCCGTTTAAATACTAAGAAGGCTCTTGGAAACAGTTGAAAACTTTGAAGTGCTTCGAAAGACTCACAAAGCTGAGCGCTGGAAGGTTAAGAAAGACTTTTAAGGGTCTAAAATAATGTAGAAGGCCCTTGGTGCCCTTAGTGACGATGTTTAAAGCACATGAAACCTTTTAAAGCTTCACTAGACTAGAAGACTCGTACCGTGCACTGTACACGACTCTCACGAGCTCTTAAAAACCCTCAAAGATACTTAAAGACTTAAAGAGGAAAGACAATCTTAGGGGCTCTAAAGGTTTCTGAAATCCTGTTGGAAATTCTTTGATGGCCCAGCTCAAATGCTTTCAAAAACCCTTGGAATCTTTGCACCTTTAAAGCTTTTGGAAGCGTTTACTCTTGGTAACTTTTTAATGGATCTTAAAAACCTTCAAAGGCTCTTGGAGACGCTTGAAAGCTTTTACAAGCTTTAGAGATGCTTTTAATGTTCCATGAATGATTTTTCCTGAAGGCTCTCAAAGAGTGCGTGAGGAAGAACGTAGAAGGTGATCTGTGGTGGGAGGGGGGGGGNNNNGGGGGGGGGGAGGGGGAGATATGGAATACACCCTAGCAAAGCAAGCGTCAATGTATCGAGTACCCTCTAGTGCGCAAAAACCTTATGATAGTTGTAGGAAAATGAACATTGAAATTTTTCTCTTGTTGGGAGGTATTCCATATCCCCCCAAACCCCCCGGTTCGGCATTCTCTCTAAAATATTTCAAAAAGCACGGCCGAACGTAACACAAGAAGCTTGTGGGGTAGGGAATACTTTTTAGGCGATGAAGATTCGCTGATATTTTATGGGAACCATCACGAGCGTTGTTAAGGTTGAACATTTTGAAGAAGACCGTAGAACCGGGGGTCTGGGGGTATGGAATACCGCCTAGGAATGCAAGATTAAATGTATGGAATACCCCCAGTGCGCAAAAACCTTATGACCGTTGTAGGAAAATGAACAGTCTACAGTTTACAGTCTACAGTCTACAGTTTACGGTCTACAGTTTACGGTCTACAGTTTACAGTCTACAGTTTATAGTCTACAGTTTACAGTCAACAGTTTACAGTCTACAGTTTACAGTCCACAGTTTACAGTCCACAGTTTACAGTCTACAGTTTACAGTCTACAGTTTACAGTCTACAGTTTACAGTCTACAGTTTACAGTCTACAGTTTACAGTCTACAGTTTACAGTCTACAGTTTACAGTCTACAGTTTACAGTCTACAGTTTACAGTCTACAGTTTACAGTCTACAGTTTACAGTCTACAGTTTACAGTCTACAGTTTACAGTCTACAGTTTACAGTCTACAGTTTACAGTCTACAGTCTACAGTCTACAGTACAGTCTACAGTCTACAGTACAGTCTACAGTCTACAGTACAGTCTACAGTCTACAGTCTACAGTCTACAGTTTACATTACAGTCTACAGTTTACAGTCTACAGTTTACAGTCTACAGTTTACAGTTTACAGTTACATTACAGTCTACAGTTTACAGTCTACAGTTTACAGTCTACAGTTTACAGTCTACAGTTTACAGTCTACAGTTTACAGTCTACAGTTTACAGTCTACAATTTACAGTCTACAGTCTACAGTCTACAGTCTACAGTCTACAGTTTACAGTCTACAGTTTACAGTCTACAGTTTACAGTCTACAGTTTACAGTCTACAGTTTACAGTCTACAGTTTACAGTCCTACAGTTTACAGTCTACAGTTTACAGTCTACAGTTTACAGTCTACAGTTTACAGTCTACAGTTTACAGTCTACAGTTTACAGTCTACAGTTTACAGTCTACAGTCTACAGTCTACAGTTTACAGTCTACAGCTTACAGTCTACAGCTTACAGTCTACAGCTTACAGTCTACAGCTTACAGTCTACAGCTTACAGTCTACAGCTTACAGTCTACAGCTTACAGTCTACAGTTTACAGTCTACAGTTTACAGTCTACAGTTTACAGTCTACAGTTTACAGTCTACAGTTTACAGTCTACAGTTTACAGTCTACAGTCTACAGTACAGTCTACAGTCTACAGTCTACAGTCTACAGTCTACAGTTTACATTACAGTCTACAGTTTACAGTCTACAGTTTACAGTCTAAGAAATAGAAATTGGGTTGCACAGGCGAAAAAGATTAGATCAGAACGGTATTTTATTTCTTACTGCTGACAGGCCCCTTTATTGCTTTTGCTTTAATTAGTAAACGAAAACTTTGAATAATAGGTATATTTAAGGGCAAAAAACCAATTTCGACAAAAAATTCAAAGGGCTGTAACTTTTGATCAAGTAGTCCGATCTTGGAACTGTTTGAAATTATGGATTCTACAGGCCACATTCTATAAGAAAATATTTTTTTCCGGTCGATCTGAGACAATTTTTTTTTCGGGGCAAAAAAAGGCAGTGTATAACCTTCCTTTTTTTCCAAAAATCGACTGCCCCCCCCCCCCCCCCCACGTAACACCATAAGTTTGTGGGATAGGAAATACTCCTCAGGCGAGGAAGATTCACTAATATTTTATGGGGACCATCACTAGCGTTGTTAAGGCTGAACATTTTGAGAATGACCGTAGAACCGGGGGTCTGTGGGTATGGAATACCCCCTAGGAATGCAAGATTAAATGTATGGAATACCCCCGCAGTGCGCAAAAACCTTATGACTGTTGCAGAAAAATGAACATAGAAATCTTTCTCTTGTTGGGGGGTTTCCCTGCCCTCCAAACCTCCTGATTCGGCATTATTCCCCAAAATATTTAGATTCAGCATCTAAAAATGGAAAAGTCGAGCTAAACATTATTTTACGTGGACGCTACGTGTTTCGAGCGCTCCACAGTTCACGAACTTTTATCTCCAAACTATTAATCCATTATTCAACAAAGACACACCTTGATACCAGGAAAGCTGTCTCCGAATAAATCCGATCAGATTTCTTCAATCTGAGCGGAACATAAGGTAAATATATCTATATTTTGCAAGTCATTCTCCATTCTTGTCTGAATACGAGCTGCGACCTAGGGGGGCCCCGAAGAAAATTTCTACAACTCTAGTAGAAAATTTGAGAGATATACGTCTTTCGCTATAGAAACCGTTGCACGTCAGTGATTTGTGTATCAATTTCAGACATATGCTGCAACACTGCAACATGTACAAAAAAAAACAAGTGTGCGAAATCTATAGAAAACTTGTCTGAAATTGATTCATAAATCAATGACGTGCATCGGTTTTTATAGGGAAAGACGTATACTATAAAGCACTTTAATAAAACCATTGAATAAAAAATTAATTTTATTCAATGATAAAACATACTGTTTATACATACACCCAACTGATGGTAAGGTCAAAAGTCAGAATTGTTTTTGGTGATAAAGAAATCAGTCGCCCGACTGATCCTTTTTACCATATTTTCGTTAAATACACATGTCCATCCTCGCATAACTTGTCTGATAGTGAAAAGTCTCGTGCTGTTAGAAAACATGCGTGCGTTTTTTCTAAACCTGTTCCTAGCCGTAACCTGCACGAATGGTGCCCGAATTTTGGGATACATACCGACGCCGTCCTACAGTCACCAAGTTCCATTTCAAGCACTTTGGCGAGAACTCTCTCTGCGCGGTCATCAGGTAACGACGATAACCTCGCATCCGATCAACGATCACACTCTGACGAACCTGACCGAGATCGACCTGAGCCCGATGCTCCAAAGTGGTACGTCCTTCAACCCGATGGAGATCGCCCTATTAGGTGTGATCGGCGGATTCCGGATGTTCTTCGAGCAAATGGTCGACGTGCTCGGCGCGGAGCTCGCGTACGATCCGGTATTGGACCTCATTAACGGCGACGGTCGCTTCGATCTGGTCATCGGGGAGCACCATTTCGCAACTCCCTTCGCGTTTGCGCACAGATTCGGCTGCCCGTCGATTGGGGTGATATCGATAGAGGGCTGGAGTGCCCACTACGGGTTGGTTGGAAGTCCTAACCATCCCATCTTGTATCCGGAGTTCTGGAGCGCTTGGGACGATCGGCTCTCGATCGTGCAGCACGTCGAGAACTTTATACTTTACTTTTGGACGCGGATGCACCTTATGGATTACATGCTTGAAATGGATAAACAGCTCATAGACAAGCACTTCGGGTCGGATTACCCAAGTCCACAGGCGTTGATGCAAAACGTAAGCTTGCTCTTTGTTAACTCTGAGCCAGTTTTCAACCCTCTCAGAGCGTTGATGCCATCCGTCATACAAATCGGCACAGCACTTGCTCTGACTGCATCAAAACCACTTCCAAAGGTAAGTGCGGTATTACCGGGTAAGGCTGTCTCACGACTTTTGCAGGAGTTAAAAGCAACTTTGGACAACGCATCCAACGGTTTTATCTACTTTAGCCTGGGGTCAAACGTACAAAGCGAAATGTTACCTCCCGAACTTCTAGACGTATTCCTTTCCGTTTTCGCCGAGCTTCCTTACACGGTGCTGTGGAAATTTGGCTCGGACATTTTGCCAAATAAAACCGATAACATCATCATTTCGAAGTGGTTCCCGCAACCGGAAGTGTTGAGTTGGGTGCCTCAACGTTTCGTTTCACATTAACTGGACGCTTACTTTTAGAACATCCCAACATTAAGCTCTTTATAACGCAGGGAGGAGTGCAGTCTCTGGGCGAGGCGGTCAGCGCACACGTGCCGATCGTCGGCGTTCCTTTTCTGGTCGACCAGCCGTACAACGTTAAGAATTTGGAGCGTAAAGGCTGCGGGTTGATGCTCGACTACAGAAACCTTGACCGGGAACAATTTAAGCTCGCTATTTTGGAGGTTATCAATAATCCCAGGCGAGTATGCTTCGTTGTCCTTAGGGCTTGATCTGACAGAAGTGTTTAGGTATCGAAATACGATGAAGAGGCTATCCGAGCTAGCACTGGATCAACCGATGACGGGAGTTGAGAAGGCAGTGTGGTGGGTTGAGTACGTACTACGTCACAAAGGCGCTAAACACCTTAAGAGCCCATTTTTGGACTTACCTTGGTACCAGTATTTGCTACTAGATGTCATTGGCGTTGTGGTACTGACACTTTGTGCCATTGTACTCTCGCTGCGATATACCATTAGGATAATTGGGAAAATTGTTTAATGTTTCAGCAAATACGAAACCCGCTAACTGAGTATTTACCAATTGGAAGTGTGACACTAACCAACCATATTCAGATTCAATTAAAAATAAACTTACACGTTTCAATATCGAATAAAGGTCGTTTTTCGTTCGTTGAAGAATGGTTTTAAAGGGTCTAAAAGCAGCTAAAGTACCTTAAAGTGTTCTCCTCCCTTCTCGCATTGCTAAAGGCACAAGATCAGCAATCTGCACGAGCTGAGGAAGCAGCATGACACAGCGAAGAGTTGGTGAGGTACTTCCTCCAATGAATGAACGGTTAATCAAAACATACAAGGTAACATCACATTGATAATCAACTCCCACGTGAATACACAAATTAATACTCAATAAAATAAAGGGCTAACCATCTGGAGATAGAAACAAACGTGAGGTTCAGCAACGGTACTCAAAACAAAAGCTTGGGACACGCCGAGAAGGCTTAAAGTAGATATCGAGACGTCTCAAAAAGAGCACGAACAAGCTCAAAGAAAACAATTAAAGAGCAGCTTGAAAGAAAAAAGATTCAAAGAAGGAGCTCTGATGGTTAGAAGCAGGCGTCAACAAGGCTAGAAAAAAGAGTAAAACAGTCGCGGAGAAACGTCTGAAAGAAGCGTCGGACGGAGTCGAAGGGAAAGCAAAGAAGGCTCGAATGCTCAAAGCAGATGCTACATGGATCAAAGAGGGCGTCAAAAAAACCTGAAAGGTGTATGAAAATGGCTCGAACGAAGTGCCGACAAGATCCGAAAAGAGCATAGGAAAGGATCGACGAAAGAGTGAAAAGGGCTCGTAGAACGACGTGTTGAAAAAACCAGAAGGAGGCGTCGAGAACGTTCAGGGCAGGCGTCGATAAAGTACGACGGGTTGCGTTGAGAAAAAGCTCAAAGGGGATATAAAGGTGGATTGACGAGGGCGTCGGGAAAGCACGAAGACTGTATCGTGAAGGTTCGAGAAAACTCAAAAACGGAATTGAGAAGGTTCAAATTAGGGTTGAAAAATGCACAAAAAAGAAGCCGAAAAAGCTTGAAGATTTCGAGAAGGCTAAAAAAATGCTAAAAACAAACGGGAGGAGGCGCGAATAGATCTCGAATAAAGGGTCAAAATACTCGAAAGAGGAGTAAACGGAATTTAATGCATATAAGTTCCGTAGGCTAGAAGCGACAAGGCTCAAGAATGGTGCCGAGAAGGCTCGAAGAGGAATCAAAGAAAGGTCGAAGGATCAAAGCAGATCGAAAGAGATCGAATAAGTAAGAGTCCAGAAGACTTGAAGGGTGTATGAAGAAGGCTCGAAGGAAGTGTCGACAAGACTCGAAAGGAGCATTGTGAAGATCAAGTAAGGTGAAAAGAATGCGCAATTTGACAAGGCTCGAAGAATACGTGAAGAATGGGAGAAGAAATCTCGAATCAGAGGGGGAGAAGGATCGATGAAAGTTACCAGAAAACGCGCAGAATGATCAAAAGTGGGGTTAGAGTGCGTTGAGAAAGCTCGAAAAGGTAATGGAAGAATCGAAGAAACTTAAAGGATGTATCGAGAAGGTTCGAAGAATGTATCGAAGAGAAAATAGGCGTGAAGAATGTTCAAAGGGGATGCTGATTCTACTTAAAGAAAGTGTGAAGAAGACTGAAAGGGAGCTCGAAACAAACGAAAAGAAAAACCGAAAAGGAACATAAAAGACTCGAAGGAAGTGTCAAGAAGAAGGAGCCCAAACGAACGTCGACAAGGCTAGAAGGATGAGGTCCGAAGAAGAGCACCGAAAAGGCCCGAAAGGAGGCGTCGTGAAGGCTTGAATGCGAAAATGGTGAAGAAGGGAATTCAAAACACAGCCGCAAAGGCTTGAAGAAGATTTTGAGACGGCCCGAAGGAAGGTTGAAGCAAACGGGAACATGGTTCCGAAGGAGGCGCGCAGAAAACTAAATAGCCTTAAAGAGGACCCAATGAAGAAGCTCAGTAGGCTAGGAAAGTGAGAAGGTTCGAAGATGGCGCCTAGCAAATTCGAAGGGGAAGGTTCAAAGGCTCAAAGTAGATCTAAAACGTATCAAAGAACACGCCAAAGAAAATTGAAGAGTGTATAGAAAAGGTTCAAAGGATTTATCCGCGAGCGGCATGGGGAAGGAACAAAAAAAGGCATAATGAAGTCGCATAATAAAGCTGGAAGAAAGCGTCAGAAATGGAAGAAGAACAGAAGAAGAAATTGTGGGCTCAAGTGAAGGCTCAAAGCGAATTAGCAGACGTAAAACAGATCGAAGAAGGCCTCAAGGGAACTCGAAGAGAGACATAAAGGGCGTTTGAATGAAATATCGAGAAAGGGAGAAGGATCATAAGAGGCGCGAGGAAGGCCCAAAGGAAACGTTGATAAAGCTCGAAAAAAACGAAAGAATGGAAGAAGAAAACTCGAAACAGACGGGAAAAAGATCGTTGAAATATCCAAAGACACGCGCAGAAGTGTCACGAAGGCTCGAAAGCTGAGAGGATGGGTAAAGGAGAAGGCCCGAAGAAGATGCAAGGAAGGTTCAAAGGTGTAAAGAAAGCGCAAAAAAGGCTCAAAGCAAATGCGAAGGAGATTCAAAAGAAGCAGGGCGCAGGAGATGGCGATGGTACCGAACAGGCTCGAAGGGGAAGTGAAGAAGACTCAAAGGCTTAAAGCAGACGTAAAAAGGAACGAAGAAGGTGTCAAGGGTGAATGAGGAAGGAGGCGTCGATGACTTGGAGAGAGCGCCGAAAAGTGGAGGAAGACATCGAGAAGTTCAGATTGAATTGTGTGTTTATTTATATCTATCTTAAGGCTTAAATTTATCTACATAATGTGAGCAACTCGTGCCATCATTGGCTTTTTTTCATTCGCAACGCGGATAGTGCCGCCACCTTCCGCCTGACGAATCGAACTAGTGACCTAAGGACGAAAACTACTGTCAGTAGCGTGACCGAGACGACGAACAGCAATGTCCCGATTACGTCCAGTAGCAGATACTGATACCACGGTATGTCCAGCAGTGGACTTCTCAGATGTTTCGCTCCCTTGTGACGTATGACGTACTCGGTCCACCAGACCGCCTTTTCGAGTCCGCTCATTGGTTGATCTCGCGCCAGTTCCGCTAGCTCGATGAGAGTGTTTCGGTACCTGGTACGCAAATGTTAGCCGGAAAACGCCGTGTAGTTCCCTTACCTTGGATTGTTGATGACCTCCGAAATGGCCTGCTTGAAGCGATCTCGCTCTAGCTCATCGGGGTCGATGGCCAGTCCAAAGCCCATATTCTCCATCTTTCTCACGTTGTACTGCTGATCGCCGAGGAAGGGGATGCCGACCATTGGCACGTGGGAGTAAATGGCTTCGTCCATGGACTGTAGCCCCCCTTGCGTTATGAACAGTTTGATGTTTGGGTGCCCTAAAAAAGCAATTGGAGGAAATGGTGCCTAACCAAATCGATTACACTTACTTAGCACATCTTCCTGTGGAAGCCACTTGGAAATCTTCACGTTCGTGGGCTTGTCTGGGATTTCTTCCCCGAACTTCCACAGTACAGTATACGGCAGCTCGGCGAAAACGCCCAGAGGGTTTGTATGGTCTTGTTAGGAAGGTATTCGCTTTGCACGTTTGATCCCAAACTGAAGTAAATAAACCCGTTCGTGGCGCTGTCCAATAACAGTTGGAGATCCTGCAATTGGAGCATGTTTGAAAGCGACCTTGTGAGAGCTTTGGCTTACCTTTGGAAGAGGTTTGGGTGGGTTTCTGTGGGAACCTCCGCCGATTTGCACTACAGTCGGAACCAAATGGGGTCCGCATTGACGAATAGCATGCTGATATTTTGCGCCATCTCCCCAATTGGAGGGTAGTGGCTTCCAAAGTGCTTGTCTATTACTTTCCGTTGGAGTTTTCCCAGCACGTGCTCGTTGTAGAGAGTCAATCCAATATCGACAACGAAACTGGTAACGCGTTCAAACAGTGATAGCTTGTTTCCATACGGCAAAAGGGCGTCCGGGTATAAACTGGAGTGCACGGGATTGCCGACGTATCTCAGTATACCGCTCGGAGCATCGATGGAGAGCATCCCGATGAAAGGACAATTGAATCTCACTGCAAAAGGCAGAACGCTATCCCACAGGTGCTCCATGATTACCAGATCGAACTTGGCATTTTTGTCGTCGAGAAGCTCGCGAACAGCCGGATGCGCCAATTGCATGTCCACCATGTCGACGATGAGCGCGAACATGCGTCGTGTCTTCTCAAAAATATTCAATCTGCTATCCTCCATCATCTGCTTCAACCCTTTATCTGGAGATTTAGTAAAGACGCTCAAATCGATCTCCGTCAAGTTGGTCAGCTTCGGATCTTTGAGCGGATGTGTTGTGATCGTTGTCACCTGGTGACCGCGCAGAGAAAGCTCTCTCCATAGCGGTTTGAACACCGCTTGGTGGCTGTAGGCGGGAGTGAGGACGACTCCCAAAATTCTCGCGGCACTCGCACTGCCGACCAGGAGGCACAGTTTGAAGAGCCACATCTTGCTCGGTTGAAAGTGAATCGCTGTGGATTGCTGCACGAATTTAAACATAGAGATAACGCTCAAGTGCGGCGATAACACAATAGACTACCTACTATCTAAGCCTCTTGGCTTGTCATTGGATGACGATGTGCTTATTTTTCATTGGGAGTGGTGTAATTGAATGTCATTGCCATGACAATACATTTACGCGTGTAGCGATAAACGATGATGCGAATGCTTTGCTAAAAAGAGGAAAACCTATAAGGTTTTGGAGACATTGAGGAGCTTTTTAAGGCTCAGCTACTAAAAGAGGGACTTAAAAACCCTGTGAAGTTTTCGCAGGTGAACTTTGAAGATCTTAGGGACTGTTTTAGATCTTTATCGGCCCTTGAGGGCTCATCCATTAAAGAGAAAACAGAGAAGGAAGGTTTTTGAAAACCCTTGAGGCATTTTCGGGCCCTTAAAGGCTCTACCGAGAATCCAGATATTCTAAACGCCTTTACTGTGGCCCTTTGGGGCTCTTGAAAACTTTGGGATCCTGTTTTCACCCTTTTAAGCTATCAAAGGCTCGGCGATTGCAGAGAGATAAATGTAAAAGGATCTGAAAAACTTGGAAAGGCTATTGGTGCCCTTTGAAGCCCTTGCGTACTGTTCTCAACCCTCGAAAGCCTCTCATTCGTTAGAGAGAGGAGACCATGAAATGCTTATGAAGGCCCTTGGAAATTCTTTGGAAGCCTTTAGGTACTTTTTTAACCCTTAATTAGGAGAATCTAAAACTTTAGCCCTCTTGAGGATTGTTTTCCACTCATAAAAGCTCGTTTGAGGTCAAACTATTAGAGACAAGAGAAGCCTTCGCGCAGATTTTGGAAACTTTTGGGATCCTGGAAGCTCTTGAGGATTGTTATTTAGACACATCAAAGTTTTTAAAGGTTCAGCTTGTGCTGGCATGCCCCTACTCATAGGTTTCGAGGGTTTCGAAAGGGTTTTGGAAATCCTTTGATGCTTTCGGAGCTCTTACGGACTGTTTTATAATCTTTCAAGCCCTTGAAGAAATAAAGCCGTTAAAGGGAGAAGGATCTAAAAACTCCGAAAAGCTTCTGAAAGCCTTTGGGGGTCCTATAATGATTTTGAAAATCTTAATGGACCCTTTTCAATCTTTATAGACTTATAGAAAACCTCTAAAACGTTTCAGAAGACCCTTTGAAGTACTATGTGGGTTTTTACAAGTTCTTTAGGACTGTTTTAGGCGCTTGAAGCTTTTAAAGGTTCAGCTGTTAAAGAGAGTAGGATATAATAAGCTTCGGAAAATGTTTGGAAATCCCTTGATTCCCTTTGAATCTATTATAGGCATTGTCTTCGACTCCAACTGATCTATTAAGGAGATGAGGATCTTAAAAGAATCTTGAAAAACATCTGAAAACCCTTGGAAATCTCTTGATGCCTTTGGAAACCCTCTAAGTTTTAACTCATAGGGATTCTCTTTCGACATCTGACTCGAGGCTCAGTAATTAGAGTGAAGGCAATAAACTGCCTGAGGTTTTCGGAAGTCTCTTGAACATTTTTTGAGGTTTTTAGGAACTGTTTTCGAGTCTTAAATGGTTTTGAAGGCTCATCCATTAAAGAACAGGAGAACTAAAAGACTTTGAAAGCTTCTGTGAAGAGCCTTGCAGATGCAGGTCCCTTAGGAACGGCTCTTAAATCTTAGTCATTGAACGCAGGGACCAGCTATTGTACAAACTAAAAATTCTAAAAGTCTATAATGCTTTTCGAGACTGTTTGGAGCTCCTGAAAGGTATTAAAGAGAGAAGAATATAAAAAGGTTGGAGCTCTTTTGAAGCTCTTATTATAGATGCTGTTTTCGACCATTAAACCAAAAAAGGCTTTAAAATCCTTCCGAAGGCCTTGGTAGCTCCTTTTTTGCTTTTGGGATCTCTTATAAGAACCGTTTTCTGCTCTTAAAAGTCACACAAAAAGAACTTTTAAGACCCTAAAAGAATTGAAAAGCCCACTGGGGTACTTTAGGGCTCTTAGAAGCTCATGGGAATGTTTTCGGCTAATAAAAACTCGTTCAAGACCAAATCTAAAATTCTACAGGTTTTTTTACAGCCCTTTGGGTTAACTTTTCGGGCTCTCTTGGAAGCCTACTGTTTGCAAAAGCTCAGCTATTAAAGAAAGAGGAATACAAAGGGATAGGGAGGCCCTTGGAGATCTTTTGGTGCCCTTTGAAACTGTTAGGTGCTGTTTTCGACTAATAAAAACACTTGAAGGCTCGTTCATTTGAGAGAGGAATATCTAAAGGACCTCTGAAGACCCTTGGAGAATCTTTGGTAATTTTGGAAGCCCTTTAAGACTGGTTTCGGAAGACGGTTTGCAGTACCTACTTTGGGATAGAGATGAGGATCTAAAAGATCCTGAAGGGCCCTGACCACTATTTTCAACCCTTTAAGACCTTTAAAGCGTAGGTAATTATAACAGACAGGAGGATATTTAAACCCTAAAAAGATTGGAAGCCTCTTCGAGGTACTTTAGGTCCCTTAGAGACACCCGAGGAATGTTGTTTACTCATAAAAGCTCATTGGCAAGCCCAGGTATTAAGACAGAAAGCTTTTACAAGGTTTTTGGAGGCTTTTGGCAACTGATACCAAAGAGTATTACTCTTTACTGATAAAAGTGTTGAACCATTGCTTTTCATGATGGAAAAAACCTCCCTGGGCTCCTACAACCATTTAGGTTCCTTCCAACACTTTGGGCCCCTAGGCTAGAGTCAAATTTCTGATCGGTAGAAAGCACGCATCCGTTCAAGAGCGGGTTGTTCTTGTTTTTCAAATTACCCTCTAAACCTGTAGCTAGGAACTACCACACCTAGATGGCGCTCCCGACTAAGGTAGTCGCTGTTAATCTATGGTTACTGTTGTTCGTTATTGATTGATAAAAATTTAGGTGAGAAATTTACCACATTCGAATAATTCGTTTTACTGGATAACCGGACGTTTTGGGGCCCTTACACCTTGCAAGCGAGACACACGTAACGTACGTACTTCACCGTTTTGCATTTGTTTATATTCCCCCTCCTTCCTTTTTTTTTGTTTATAAACAAATCCAGGCTATCCTTGACTAACGTTTCGTTGTTATCCCTCAGGGGACCCCGCTATGAATCGGGACATCGTCGGCCAGGAGTCGCAAATAAAGGAGTCGCTGTTCGGCTTCGTCAAGTCGCACATACCGGACGCCGACTTGAATTTAATCGACGAGATCGTGCTGTCCTACGTTGTCGCCATACTCGAAGATGTTAGCTCGGATCCGGTCTTCGATGTCGAAGGTATGTGGGCACACATTTCGATTTCGTGGACCAGATATGGGTCCTTGAGGTACCCCAACATTGATTCGACACAGTAGCTTCGAAGTTGGACACCCCTTATTGGGCTATTGATGAGGGGGATGGAGGGGTGCAAAAGTGTGCAAACTTAAACTATTTTTTGTTCCATAACTCTTCGCTTTTTCTCTTGTCTCCTGCCGTTGTTCTCCTTTCCATTTCATTTTTTCCCTTCTCCATCACCACCCATCTCCTACTCCATTTCCTTCCAACGTTTGCCTTCCCCCTATTGTCATACCTTGCTTATTTTCCCTCATTCTTTGGGAAATCGCAGTAAATGTGTATTTACACAGCAGTAGGTAGGATATCCGAGATTTTCACAGATTTCCAATGATATCTACGGATATCCAAGGTTGTCCGTGGATATCAAAGGATCTCCGTGGATATCCAAGAAATTCAAGTGAATAGGTCAGGACTGTTTTGAGTAATTCTGTTAAATATTTTTGAATCTTTTTTTAATATTATCTTTGGTGCGTTACCTATGTAAAAATTTAATATGGTATTTTAGATCAAGATATACAGGGCGTTCCATTCAATCCAAAAATTCTAGCAAATTCTAAAAATGCTAGTAGTGTACACCAAAATTCTACAACGATTTTCCCCTCAGCCTATTGATTTTCTGAATAAGCGTGAGATAAACTCGTACCGTGGAAACTGCTTGAAACTTCAATTTTTTGAGTAACTAACGACCTTTAGAACCATCCGAGATTGGTAGTACAAAAGACACTTACCAATAGAAACATTAGGTATCACCAATTTCCGCCATTTGGGGGCGTGGGAAACATTAAAGAGGGGACCATTCAGTTTTGAAAACACGAATAGATGAAGTCTCTCAGCAATCGAAGAGAGATAGCGAGACCCACGATACCTAGAAGGCTAGCGTGTAACCAGTTTATGAAGGCTTTAATAAATCAATAAAAAAAAGCAACCAAAAGATAGAGAAAATTTACTTATCTTAATAGGTTTCTATGTTAGCTCTCCCAGTGACGCGACAAACGTTTAACCGATAATCGACCTCTGTCCCAAGAGGCGGAGGAGTCACAATTGCATGCCCATACACTGCGCGAAAACGTCACTGCATAGGAATCGCGCACATTCAGCAAGTTTGATTGCACGCTCCCCATGACTGACCGGTCTACTACAATAAGGTTGTGCGCGTCAAGATAGTGCAAGCGCATGCGCACACTTACAACTTCAAGGTCGGGCCAATGACCAGACTAAACCTACAACCACTGTTCAAAGTCTAAAGGTAGGTCGCCGTTCAAAGTCCCCCCCCCCCCCCCCCAGTATATATGATGCAGAAAACGTCCATGAAAGTACAGACGGCTATAGGAAAAGGAGTTATCGAATCCTCCTTTGCCGAGAGTACCCGGTACCAAAAAAATATTGTGAGAGCCATCAGGCCAAATGTTTTTTGAGAGAAAATTAACGGCGCCCCAGTATATGATGGTTCCATTGTCATTTCCAGAATTGTCCATGAAAGTACAGAGGGTTTCTTTGATCTTATGTTTTTTTTTCTTTTGCTTCCTTGTTTTTTCATACATTACCTATCTGCGGCCCCCCTTCCTTTTTTTGCTCATTTGTCCTGTCCGTTTTTCTTGTTTGCTATTTTCTTCGTTCCTCCATCTTTTATCTTTTTTTTCCTTGTTTTTGTTCATTTTTTTCTCTTCTCCTTTTTTCATTTTCATGGTTTTATCGTCGCATTTCACCGTTGAGTTTTTGAGTGTTTAGGCCGCCATAGTAGAGTGCATCTGAAATGGTTGCCCCATTCTTCAATTTAAGGTTTCTGCGAGATGATGCGCGCCTACTTCCCCGAGTTCGAGTCCATAAACCACTCGACTATCTGCCAGTGGATTTTCGAGCTGGCCGCCAAACTGCAGACCGACGAGCCGCACGAGAGAGATATCTCCCTAATCGAACTGTCGCTACCGGAAATCCTACCGAAGGCAAAGCCAAGGTTCGCCCCCCCCCCCTCCTCTCACGCTCGGAAAACGTTACGATTCCGTTGCAGGTATCAGATAACGTCAGAAAGCTTCGATCGGCCGAAGCGCATCTACCACCTCTCGGAGACGAGCGACGGCTCGACGGACGGCTCGTGCGGCGACTTCCTCGAGGAGGTCGACACGCTCCAGGAGATGTTCCCATCCGTGTGTTCCATTGAGGTGCGTATTTTCGGCGTAAGCGGCGACGTAAAAAGCGGTCTGCTCCCAGATAAAGCACTGCGTCGCGATCGCGTGCGGCGACGTCGAGAGGGCGTCGCAGATCCTCATCCATCGCCAGGAGAACGGACAGTCGGTGAACGCCAACGGCGCCGTCACCCTCCACCTCTCCAAGCAGCCGACGATCGACGACCAGGAGCTCAAAAATCGGATAATCGAAAGGTACTCGTACATCGACCGCGAGTCGGACATAAAGGAGCACAGGCCCGTCGCGCCGAAGGTCGAACCGAAAAAGCTCATCCGCTATCGCGACAACAAAATCGTCAGCCTCAAAGGGGAACGGTACACCGAGGTCAAGAAGGGCGAGGACGTCGATGATGTGTCACTAAAGAAACAGAAGAAAGGGCAAAGTCCGTAACCAGAAGTGATACTCACACTCACCGCTTATTTTATTATTACAATTGCAATTTATTTGTGTAATACTCGTCTACTTCTCGTCTTGGTCCTCTACGTTTGTAGATATTTTAGTTGTAAGAATCTCAAAATTCCGAATTTACCTCTAGTTCCTTGTTTCGTAGTAAATTATTTATTGTGTAGGAGGCTTAGGTTCGCGACCGGGCCCCGGTACGGAGGAAGAATCGCCAATTCGCTCACCGTAATCGGAAATTTAATGGACGTTGCGGCGCTCCGAAGATGTAGCTTTCAGTACGTTAGTGATCCAATTATAAATGTATTTAGTAGAATTTCCTCAATGTTGGAGTATTTCGATGTGAAACATGTAGTTATAAATACACAGTTCATGAACTAGCCATAAGGGGGCAAGTGTTGAGCGAATCTTGTCTGCTTTAACACGAGGGCGTGTCTCACTCAAAATTGCGTACACGCCTTCGTCGTGCTCAAAGCACACAGTGACTGCGACTTGACGACTTGCTCCAGTAGATGTCATGCCGTTACAAGTATTACTATATATATAGAGTTTTTAAGACTAGTCAAGCTTTATGTTTAACGTTCTCCCTCCCCGTTACATTAACGTAATGTAACCAAGCAGTGACGTTCTTCGTACTGACCAAAATGTGGGCACCAATTTCACTGCTTTTATTTTGTTTAAACTGAAGTCCGACGGAGTGTGCAAGTTTGTTCACTTTTATTTAACTGTGATTGAGTTTCGAATCGGCACAATACGAATTGTATATTATTTAAGATTCTCCACGTGTTACAAATTTAGAGTTTTCGTTTCGTTCGTATTTTTTCTATTGTGAGTTATCGATGAAGAAAGTTTCAGTTCAAATCTCATTAAATATATGCTAATCGATTGGTTTTTAATTGCGGAACCTGCAGACTTTCTGGGTTTATAATATGCAAGAGCCTCTTTTATTGGAATGGCCCCCTCCTCCATCCTCAAAATTTCCTCAAACTCGGCATCCCCCACACACCAACTTCTCCTTCATGAAGAGAAGCGTTCCAACACTGATGTTACAGTTCCCAGTCTGAATTTTGTGAAATAAAAACGCAAGCTACGCCACTGCATAATTATTTGGCGCGAATCTAACAATTCAAATTACTCTAGGACGAAGGAGATGCGCGCTATGCGTTTCTTCGAGCGAAAATGAGAAAGCTGCGGGTGCGGAGTTCTAGTTGAGGCAGCAGAGAATAGCTGGGATTGTATGTAATTCACAAAATATAGGTAAGTGTATCCTTTATTTTCCTTTGTAATTAGCATAGGACGTAGGGTAATTGTTTTGTATTCTTTGCTTGTCTATTAGTTATGGTGGGGCTTTTTGAAATAGTTTTTAGAAGGATGCAGAACCGGGGGGTGTGGGGAGTATGAACAAAAAAAGATTTCAATGTTTTTTCCCTATAACTTCCATAAGGTTTTCGTGCAGATCCCCCCCCCAGTGCTACAATCTTCTTCAAAACGTTCAGCCTTAACTACTCTCGTGTTAGTTTTCATGAGACCACTGAGTCTTCCTCTCCTGGATGCAGGACTTCCATAAGGCTTTCGTGCACCTGGGGGGTATTCCATACCCCACAGACCCCCGGGTGCTACAATCTTCCTCAAAAGGTTCAGCCTTAACTACTCTTGTGATAGTTTTCATGAGAGACCACAGAATCTTCCTCTCCTGGATGCAGAATCGGGGGGTATGGAATGTCCTAAGAAAGATTTCAATGTTTTTTCTTAGAATTCCATATGGTTTTCGTGCACCTGGGATAGCTGGGGGTATTCCAGACCCCCCGATGCTACAGTAGTCTTCCTCAAAACGTTCAGCTTTAACTACTCTCATGATAGTTTTCATGAGAGACTACCGAATCTTCCTCTCCTGGATGCAGAATCGGGGGGTTTGGGGGGTATGGAATACCCTAAGAAAGATTTCAATGTTTTTTCTTAGAACTTCCATAAGGTTTTCGTGCACCTGGGATAGCTGGGGGTATTCCAGACCCCCCGATGCTACAGTCTTCCTCAAAACGTTGAGCTTTAACTACTCTCATGATAGTTTTCATGAGAGACTACCGAATCTTCCTCTCCTGGATGCAGAATCCGTGGGTTTTGGGGTATGGAATACCCTAAGAAAGATTTCAATATTTTTTCTTAGAACTTCCATAAGGTTTTTGTGCACCTGGGATAGCTGGGGGGTATTCCATACCCCCCAAACCCTCCGGTGCTACAGTCTTCCTCAAAACGTTCAGCTTTAACTACTCTCATGATAGTTTTCATGAGAGACTACCGAATCTTCCTCTCCTGGATGCAGAATCCGTGGGTTTTGGGGTATGGAATACCCTAAGAAAGATTTCAATATTTTTTCTTAGAACTTCCATAAGGTTTTTGTGCACCTGGGATAGCTGGGGGGTATTCCATACCCCCCAAACCCTCCGGTGCTACAGTCTTCCTCAAAACGTTCAGCTTTAACTACTCTCATGATAGTTTTCATGAGAGACTACCGAATCTTCCTCTCCTGGATGCAGAATCCGTGGGTTTTGGGGTATGGAATACCCTAAGAAAGATTTCAATATTTTTTCTTAGAACTTCCATAAGGTTTTCGTGCACCTGGGATAGCTGGGGGGTATTCCATACCCCCCAGACCACCCGGTGCTACAGTCTTTTTCAAAACGTTCAGCTTTAACTACTCTCGTGATAGTTTTCATGAGAGACCCCTGAATCTTCCTCTCCTGGATGCAGAATGGGGGGGTTTGGGGGGTATGGAATACCCTAAAAAAGATTTCAATATTTTTTCTTAGAACTTCCATAAGGTTTTCGTGCACCTGGGATAGCTGGGGGTATTCCATACCCCCCAGACCCCCGATGCTACAGTCTTCCTCAAAACGTTCAGCCTTAGCTACTCTCGTGATAGTTTTCATGAGAAACCCCTGAATCTTTCTCTCCTGGATGCAGAATCGGGGGGTTTGGGGGGCATAGAATACCCTAAGAAAGATTTCAATATTTTTTCTTAGAACTTCCATAAGGTTTTCGTGCACCTGGGATAGCTGGGGGGTATTCCAGACCCCCGGTGCTACAGTCTTCCACATAACGTTCAGCCTTAACTACTCTCGTGATAGTTTTCATGAGTGACCACTGAATCTTCCTCTTTTAGCTGGATGCAGGCTGCAGAATCGGAGGTTTGGGGGGGGGGGAGGGTGGTATGGAATACCTTAAGAAAGATCAATATGTTTTTCTTCCAATTTCCATAAGGTTTTTGTGCACCTTGTGATAGCTGGGGTGGGGGGACAATTTCTTTTTGCATGGTCAAGAGAAAACGTTCCAAAGGAGAATGGTAACAGTTTTTCTTGACCTCAACTCTTTCTTTCACTCGCCTAACGCGTGGATGATATATTTTTGTTGATGAAGTATAATAATAATCGTTGATTATTGCTTTTAATTGCTAATTGCTAGAAAAGTTTAGTGTGCGAATGTGACCTAACATCAGCCATCGTGTAAACACAGCTTAATCATCAATTGTTTAGTCAACAAAAACTAGGCGCGGTTAAATGTTGTGAAAAAAAAATAAAAAACCACATTTTGGAGCTAAAAAATGGGCCCAATTTTCGTACTAGGTTTCTTACTGATCGCCCAAAGCGGTAAGCGAGCTCCTTAGATAAGATAATTTTCTTATCTTTGAAGGTTATGTCATCGCCGTTTATCATATTTATCACGGCCATCTTTGCAGCGTACGCGCAAAGATCGCCGACAATCTCCTACATCTCGCAGGAGCAGATAAAAGACATCGGCGGCACCGTCGAGCTGCACTGCTCCGTCCAATACGCCCAGGAGTACCCCGTCCTGTGGATGAAGGTCGACCACACCAGCAACTCCTACATTCTCCCGATCTCGACCGGCAGCTCCCTCATCCTGCACGACTCCCGCTTCGCGCTCCGCTACGATCAGGCGAGTTCGACCTACACCCTCCAGATCAAGGACATCCAGGAGACGGACGCCGGCTTCTACCAGTGCCAGGTGCTGATCTCGGTGAGCAACAAGATCGCCGCCGAGGTCGAGCTGCAGGTACGTCGTCCGCCCATCATTTCTGACAATTCGACCAGGTCGATCGTTGTCTCCGAAGGCGAAGGTGAGCTTTAACCAATTCGCACCGATTTCGCACGTTCGTTTTTAGCCGTTCAGCTCGAGTGCTACGCGGGCGGCTACCCGCCGCCGAGAATCTCGTGGCGACGCGAGAACAACGCCATTTTACCGACGGGCGGCTCGATCTATCGAGGCAACCGGTTGAAGATCAAGCAGATCCGCAAGGAAGATCGCGGTACTTATTATTGCGTGGCTGAGAATGGGGTCGGACGAGGGAATAAACGTAAGTACTCATACAGGGTGATTCTCAAATATTGTAGACCCTCCCCCGCCCCTCCTACTTGTTAACAACCCCATTGAGGTGGAGTATACTGGGAATATAGTCATAATATTGCCGGATTAATGACTTTTTCTGAATATAAATGACTCCCCCCCCTCGGCAAAGGAGGTCTTGATAGTTCTCTCACCCCTAGTACTCTCCCGGTAGCCTTTGCGAGGGTAATTCGGCTGGGGGGGTATGCATTAACGCGCAGCTCCCGGTACTAAGTTAATTCAAAATCATTATGACCTTAACATCCTCATGTTACGGGTGGGGGGGGGGGGTGGAAACCCTCCCAGCAGTAAGTACCCTCGGCTAAGTACTCATACAGGGTGATTCACAAATACTGGAGACCTCTAAAAATAACAGAAAGGGTAATCGAGCTGGGGGAGGGGGTATTGGAATACCCCCACTACTAAATTCATTTTCCAAAATTGTTTAGCTTTTAACACTCATGATACTGGGGGTGTTGCTCCCCCCCCCCCCCCCCCCCAAAGCAGTAAGTACTCTCAGATAAGTACTCATACATGGTGATTCACAAATACTGTAGACCTCTAAAAGTAAAAGAAAGGGTAAGCAAGGGGTGAAGGGGAGGGATTCCATATCCCATACCACCTGTCCCAACTTCAATTTTAAAATCATTTAGGCCTTAACACTCTCATTATACTGGGGGATATGGAAACCCCCCCAGCAGTAAGCACCCTCAGCAAAAAAGGTCTTGATAGTTCTCTATCTCACCACTAGCACTCTTCTGGTAGTCTTTGCAAGGGTAATTGGGTTTGGGGGGTATGTAATACTATGCGGCCCCCCTGGTACTAAGTTGATTTCCAAAATCGTTCAATCTTAACACTCTCATGATACCGGGGGTATGGAAAACCCCCAGCAGTAAGTACCCTCAGCAAAAAAGGTCTTGATAATTCTCTCTATCTCACCGCTAGCACTCTTTTGGTAGTCTTCGGAAGGGTAATTGGGTTGGAGGGTATGTAATACTATGCGGCCCCCCTTGTACTAAGTAATTTTCAAAATCGCTCAGACCTTAATACTCTCATGATACCGGAGGCGCGGGGGGTTATGGAATACCATTCAGCAGTAAGTACCCTTGGCAAAAAAGGTATTGATAGTTCTTTGTATCTCACCCCTAGCACTCCTGGTATTCTGTGCGAAATGGCAATGGGGTTGGGGAGTATTCCATACCCCCAGACCTCCCGTTGTTAGTTTGATTTCGAAAATCGTTCACCACTCTTACGATTTTTTTAAAAAGACAGGCGATCATAGTACCGGGGGTTTGGGTATTCCCCCCAGCAGTAAGTACCCTAGGCCAAAGGCTAAGTACTCATACAGGGCGATTCACAAATGCTGTAGCCCTCCCGAAATAAAAGAAAGAAAGGGCTTGAATATCCCCCAGATCTCTTGGCACTAAGTTCTATGTCAAAATCGTTCAGACCTTAACACTCTCATGATACCGGGGGTATGGAAAACCCCCCAGAAATAAGTAGCCTCAGCAAAAAATGTCTCGATAGTTCTCTCTATCTCATCCCTAGCATTCTGGGGGGTAAGGAAAATTCCCTCGGATAAGTACTCATACGTCATGGTGATTCACTTAACACTTAATATGATACCGGGGGTGTGAATACCCCCATCAGTAAGTACCCTTTACATTTTATTTGTGTTTAGCCCACGAACTTATAAATTAAGAAGTTCGTGGATTCGCCACTTCATTCCCGTGAGTCCCAAACGATCGCCTTCAGCCGGTACAGGGTAGTTTTTAACAAAATTAAATTGCTAGTAATGTAATGTAAGTAATGGTAAAAAACAATAGCAAGCTATGTTGCATTTTTTACCTTTCTTCTCGCTTCGCCTCCTTGATCTTGTCCTTTTTTTCAAATTTCCCGCTAGTTACTTTTCTTGCAGTTGCTTAACCTGAGCATGAATTTGTCTTTTTCGATGGCGTCGTTTACCTACCCACGCCGTACTTTTATTAAATAATTAATTTTACAAAAAGCGACTTAAAGACTATTTAAAAAGAAATATATTTATAATGTTATCGATTAAAGTTGTCATGGATTTTCCCGTAAGTAAAAACAAGGTCTTTTTCTGTGGTAAAAACTAACTTTGATCATATAACTTAACCTAACTTTTTCTGCTTCCCTCTTTTTCAAATAGTTTTTACAATGTCCCAATTTTAATCTGTAATCTCCACAAAATTAGTGTGAAGATCTAAATTAGTGGATTCTTTTTAAAGGGAACATTGCCGTCGAGGTCGAGTTCAAGCCGGTCGTCACCGTACCGAGACCGCGCTTGGGCCAAGCGCTTCAATACGACATGGACCTCGAGTGCCACATCGAGGCCTACCCGCCTCCCGCCATAACGTGGCACAAGGACGGCATTCAGCTCTCCAACAACCAACACTACAGCATCTCGCACTTCGCGACCGCCGACGAGTTTACCGACACGACGATACGCGTGATCACGATCGAGAAACGCCAGTACGGCAACTACATGTGCAAGGCGGCGAACAAGCTCGGATCCGATGAGGACTACGTCGAGCTGTTCGGTAAGGCTTTTGTTTTTTTCGAGTACGGAATGTCGAGTTTGCTGCAAGATTTTGTCGTATGCATGTCGTACGTAGTCGGTTATAGCTAGTTGTTGTATTAGAAACCGTCATTCCGGTATGCCCACCCGCCTGCGGACAGACGCCCAGCGGAGAGACGGCGACGCCGACGACGAGTTCCATCGTTCTACTCGCGACGATGGTCATGTATATCTTCAGGTAAGTCACTTTCGCATTGATCTGTCTGTGGCTCATTGCATCTTTTGTCGTTCCGCAACTGTTCGTATTTGAACAATTAAAATCAGTCCTCAGCAGGACTATCGTTTAGACCGAAAGGCACTATCACTATGCCAACTGTAATTTTCTCGATATACGCGCTTGGCCCTTTTTGGGCGAGTTTTCGTTTGTGACCATTAACTGTTCGTTTTCGAACTCCATCGGGGTTGCTACCCCAGTTAAAGTTGGTGTTTGTCCAACTTATGTACGTGCTTTCCTAATCTCAAGAAAACTCCAGAGAACAGTGACGATTTCTAGGACGCTGCTTTCTTTTCATTGCCGACTCAAAAGGACCAAAGAATCTGAATACTGTTAGTACTTGATTGCTCATTAAAGTTGACAATAAATCGCTTTTTGTGTGCCTGCGTGTGTTTTTTTTTACTATCACGTTGTTTTCTGATTCTAGAAATTTCAACACCAAACATTAATTACTCAGGTTTAAGGTGGCTGAACGCGTCGACGCAATTGTCATGCTCCATGACTCTGATAGCTATATCACTCAATTATTTTATACGTCCATTTATGACTTAGATTTAAGCTTTACGATGTAAATAAAAATATTCTTTGTTGTAATTTTGTAACTTTACGATGCTAGGTTTATTGTGCATTCCTCGATTAATGTTTTACGGATATTTTTGTAAATTTTTTTATTGTATACATGTCTGCTTTTTTAGGGCTCTTAAAGTACAATTTAGGAATAGAAACTTCAAAGGCATGCAGCGATTTTTGAAATATTTTACACACTTTTGTAATAAAGCTTAAAAAACACCCTGTGTTTAACCGCATCAAGAATGAACCTCGACCAACAAGACGGACATAAAACCAGGAGACCGATCATCTCTTTCAGAAATCTGGCTGTGTAATAGTAAAATATTTTACTTTCTAAACTTGTTTTATTTTTTTTACTGTACCCTTTCCCCATTTTTACTGGTTTTTTTACCAGCAACATTTTCGAAGTAGGGTCATATAAACATAGCAGATTGTATTGCTGTGTTTAATGTGCCCTCCTTCTCATTGTAAGATTATTAATTTTTTTGTTGCTGGCTAATGTTCCAGCTAGAATGTCCATTACTATAACTGCTAGAATTAGCGTAATTTATTCCATTTCAACAATATGTTATTGAAATATGTGTTTTACAATTTTTGTTGCTGATCAGCTAACATTGATATGCAATAAATTCTCAAATATTTTTTGCTGACTGATTTCAGCAGCAATTTTGAAAGCGAACATTTTAGATGCAGACTAAATACCCGTATTACTACGTCAGTGTTGCCGCATTGCTACCGTCATTTTTATTTCACCCTACCATGAGTTAGGTTTTTCAATTTTTGTTGCTGGCGTTCTCCGCAACACTGCTTTTAAACACGTATTTACTTTGCATCAGATTTTATTTAATCACACGTTCTGGAAACGCCCCGTAACACTTGGACAAATTGGTTCTCTTTTTCCTGGGGGGGTATTCAATACCCCCCAAATCCTCCGGTTTGCTTTGTTCATTCTTAACACGATTTTTTGAAAGACTAAGAAAGAGCCCTTAGGGCTGAACGTTTTGATGCAGAATGTATCTGATGGTCCATACCACCTAGGGAAATTGGTTATTTTTTTCCTGGGGGGGTATTCTGTACCCCCCCCCCCCCGGTTTGCTATTGTTCATCTATAACACCATGATTTTTCGAAGAAAGAGCCCTTAGGGCTGAACGTTTTGATACAGAATGTATCTCTGGGCCGTAACACTTAGGGAAATTGGTTCTCTTTTACCTGGGGGGGGGGGGGTATTCCAAACCCCACAAGCGCCATGAAACTGGGTTTTATGGTGCTTTGGTATGTGAAGAAAGAATGGGTTACGGAGATTACGATCGTGAATCTACTTCGAAATTTTAACTTATTATACAAATATAAATGTTCACCAGATTTTCGAAATACAAACTTTTTTGTTGCTGATTGCTGTTCCAGCAACTGGAAGTATATGCTTACCTGCGCGCTTGTATGTAGTAGTGCATATGAATTCTAATTTTTTTGTTGCTGAATTCTCATTCAGCAGTGGGCACTACGCATTTTAACGGTTTGAATTTTTCTGTTCCGTTTGCTGATTTCTGACGCAGCAACAATTGGTGATTTTAAATTCAGCAAGTCTGGCCTAAGTGTTGCTGGGGAGGAAATGAGCAACAAAAACTATAAAATTACTACTGTAAAATGCGCGCATTTCTTCCGTGGGTTTGAAATCTCGGCCGCACTTTGTTTAATTCGATGGATACGGGGGCCATTCGACAACTACACGTGCGCGAATCGACAAAACTGACGAGATTTGGAGTAAAATTTTATTTTACATCACAAGTGCGTTACTTATTTAACACTGTGAAAGTATTACAAATTACGGTATTTTCTGGTATCGCTCGGGCGCTTCACGACCATCGTGTCGCGCTCGACTCTGTTACCCCGGCGGGCGTCGTTGTAGTCTCTAGAAAGATTTTCTTTTGCGAGCATCTTCAGGTAGGCCTTCATCGGTAGGTGTTGGCGATTTTTGAGGTTAGTGTCGTATTCGTCTGAAAACCAGTTGTCAAATAAGCTTTCTAGGGAATCTGTTTGTTTGGTTTCATGCTCTGGATTCGCCTGCGTTACGGGGTTGCTTTCAGAAGTGCTAGCGACATTCACTGGAGGCGCTGCGCTAGGGTCAACTGTTGGAGGCGCTGCGCTAGCGTTATCTACTAGAGGCGCTGCGCTAGCGTCAACTACTGGAGGCCCTGCGCTAGCGTCAACTACTGGAGGCGCTGTGCTAGCGTCGTTTACTGGAGAGGCTGTGCTAGCGTCATCTACTGAAGGCGCTACAGTAGTAGGCGTTGGCGCATGTGTAACATCAGCGCCATCTTTTATGGTGGCCGAGTTCTCTATGCGAGGGCCTTTTATGACCCAGACGTTAGGAATATAACCGCCATCTTTTGAGTTGCGAACTGAAGGCGTTGCGATGGCAGTGCCATCTGTGATCGAGTCGCTGGTATCATTGGCGGGTGTCCCTTCTGAAACATTTGGGTTTGTAATCGTCCCGCTTCCAGCACCTGCGCCATCTACTGAGTCACCCGCTGTTGACGTTGGGTTGGTATGTGAAGGTGAGAACGCATTGTTATCCTCAACATTTGCAGCGTTATTTAAATTCGCACTTTCTTGACCTGTTTCTATCCCTTGAGTTTCATTCTTTCCTTGTCTATTTTTTTTCTTGCCCACATTTTCTAGGATCTTTCGGAAAGCATCTGCAACTGAAACGAAATCTGCATTCGTTGGGCCTTCGCGCTCTGACGGTGCTCTATTGGCAATGGGGTCTACATCGGTCCACAAGGATCCTGTTTGAATCGCACTATCATTGTCTAATCGTGGACCGGGAGGCTTACTAGTCGAATTCGCATCGATCCAATCGCCTGCTCGTGGACCAGGAGCCTTACTAGTTGAATTTGCATCGATCCAATCGCCTGCTCGTGGACCAGGAGCTTTACTAGTCGAATTCGCATCGATCCAATCGCCTGCTCGTGGACCAGGAGCTTTACTAGTCGAATTCACATCAATCCAATCACCTGCTCGTGGACCAGGAGCCTTACTAGTCGAATTCGCATCGATCCAATCGCCTGCTCGTGGACCAGGAGCTTTACTAGTCGAATTGACATCGATCCAATCACCTGCTCGTGGACCAGGAGCCTTACTAGTCGAATTCACATCAATCCAGTCGCCTGCTCGTGGACCAGGAGCTTTACTAGTCGAATTCACATCAATCCAATCACCTGCTCGTGGACCAGGAGCCTTACTAGTCGAATTGACATCGATCCAATCGCCTGCTCGCGGACCAGGAGCTTTACTAGTCGAATTCACATCAATCCAATCGCCTGCTCGTGGACCAGGAGCCTCACTAGTCGAATTCACATCGATCCAGTCGCTTGCTCGTGGACGAGTCGAATTCACATCAATCCAGTCGCCTGCTCGTGGACCAGGAGCTTTACTAGTCGAATTCACATCAATCCAATCACCTGCTCGTGGACCAGGAGCCTTACTAGTCGAATTGACATCGATCCAATCGCCTGCTCGCGGACCAGGAGCTTTACTAGTCGAATTCACATCAATCCAATCGCCTGCTCGTGGACCAGGAGCCTCACTAGTCGAATTCACATCGATCCAGTCGCTTGCTCGTGGACGAGTCGAATTCACATCAATCCAGTCGCCTGCTCGTGGACCAGGAGCTTTACTAGTCGAATTCACATCAATCCAATCACCTGCTCGTGGACCAGGAGCCTTACTAGTCGAATTCGCATCGATCCAATCGCCTGCTCGTGGACCAGGAGCTTTACTAGTCGAATTGACATCGATCCAATCACCTGCTCGTGGACCAGGAGCCTCACTAGTCGAATTCACATCAATCCAGTCGCCTGCTCGTGGACCAGGAGCTTTACTAGTCGAATTCACATCGATCCAATCACCTGCTCGTGGACCAGGAGCTTTACTAGTCGAATTGACATCGATCCAATCACCTGCTCGTGGACCAGGAGCTTTACTAGTCGAATTCACATCGATCCAATCACCTGCTCGTGGACCAGGAGCTTTACTAGTCGAATTCACATCGATCCAATCACCTGCTCGTGGACCAGGAGCTTTACTAGTCGAATTCACATCGATCCAGTCGCTTGCTCGTGGACGAGTCGAATTCACATCAATCCAATCGCCTGCCCGTGGACCAGGAGCTTTACTAGTCGAATTGACATCGATCCAATCACCTGCTCGTGGACGAGTCGAATTGACATCGATCCAATCGGCTGATCGTGGCTCCACAGCTATATTTAATGCATTGAATTCGAGCCAGCCTTGTGATTTTGGAGCGATAGCAGAGTGATTAACTAAGTCTACTTTCGGTGGTTGAGTGATGGCTTCCCTTTTACGCGCATGTGCGTGTGCGCTCTCAGTTGTATCGCCTGTGCTTTCTGCAGTTGGCGACGCTGTGATTGTGCCTGTTTTCTTCTTGGCTGCCTTCCTGCTCGGTTCCGTTGCTTCTTCGGAGGCCATTGCGGCGTCGTATTCGGGATACCAATCGTCGCCGAAATTTTGAAGTTTGACGACCTTCATCGAGTACGGATTTATGGGTTTCCTGGGCGGGCTTTTCGTGGACGGGTCGGCATCCGGCACTTCGATAGTATGGAAGGAGTGTTTTAAACTCGGATGCATGGGATCGTAATCGTAGTTTATCACGTCCTCCTCTTCTGGTGTCGTACTCCTTGTGGAAGTTGTGCGGGTTCTGGATGTAGTTGCCTGGGAGGTTGTGGAGGCGGCGGTTGTGATTGTTGCTTGGGAGGTTGTTGTGGGGATAGCAGTTGTTGCTGTGGTCGTTGTTGTAGTTGCTTGGGAGGTTGTCGTGGGGGCGGCGGTTGTGGTTGTGGGGATGGCAGTTGTAGGAGAGGTTGGTGCTGGAGTAGGAGTTGTGGTTGCTTGGGAGGTTGTCGTGGGGGCGAAGGTTGTGGTTGTCGGGCTAACAGTGGTAGGGGTAGTTGTTGCAGGGCTCGCAGTTGTGGTTGTCGTGGGGGCGGCGGTTGTGGTTGTCGGGATAACAGTGGTAGGGGTTGGTGTTGCAGGGGTAGTAGTTGTAGTTACTGGTGCGGTTGTCGTGGGGGCGGCGGTGGTGGTTGTTGGGATAGCTGTTGTAGTCGCTTGGGAGGTTGTCGTGGGGGTGGCGGTTGTAGTGGTTGCTTGGGAGGTTGTCGTGGGGGCGGCGGTTGTGGTAGGGATAGTAATTGTGGATGCTTGGGAGGTTGTAGGAGCCACAGTTGTGGTTGGCGGGATAGCAGTTGTAGGGGTAGTAGTTGTGGTTGCTTGGGAGGTTGTCGTGGGGGCGGCGGTTGTCGTCGGGCTAGCAGTTGTAGGAGTGGTCGTTGCAGGGGTGGTAGTTGTGGTTGCTTGGGAGGTTGTCGTGGGAGCGACGGTTGTGGTTGTTGCTGGGGTAGTCGTTGTTGCTGCTTGAGTCGTTGTGGGGATGGCGGTTGTGTTTGTCGGGATAGGAGTTGTAGTGGTGGTTGTTACTGGGGTTGTAGTTGAGGTTGCTTGGGAAGTTGTCGTGGTAGCCGCGGTTGTAGTTGTCGGGATAGTTGTGGTTACTGGGGCGGTTGTGGTTGTTGCAGGGCTAGTCGTTGTGGTTGCTTGGGCAGTTGTCGTGGGAGCGACGGTTGTAGTTGTCGGGATAACAGTGGTAGGGGTTGTTGTTGCAGGGGTAGTAGTTGTGGTTACAGGTGCGGTTGTCGTGGGGGCGGCGGTTGTGGTTGTTGGGATAGCTGTTGTAGTCGCTTGGGAGGTTGTCGTGGGGACGGCGGTTGTGGTTATAGGGGTGGTTGTTTCAGGACTAGTAGTTGTAGTTGGTTGAGAGGTTGTGGGAGCCACAGTTGTGGTTGTAGGGGTAGTAGTGGTGGTTACTGGTGCGGTTGTTGTGGGGGCGGCGGTTGTGGTTGTTGGGATAGCTGTTGTAGTCGCTTGGGAGGTTGTGGTGGTTGCTTGGGAGGTTGTCGTGGGAGCCACAGTTGTGGTTGCTGGAGCGGTTGTCGTCGCCTCTGCGGTTCCTCCACTTGTCGAATCACTCACTGAAAATGCGCTTGTGGTCGTGCTTGGTTGGGCGGCCGTTGTGGTTGCCGGAGTGCTAATCTCATTCCCTTTTCCACCCAGTGTTGACCAAATCGTCTCGACATCCTTCGGATACATTGAGACGGCGTCGTTAGTCGTCGGCGAGACGGTTTTGGATTTAAGCGACTCGTAAATATCCGCGACCGCCTGGCCCGGTTTTACAATTTTGTCGACGACGAGAGGGTACAGGTGGGGTATGTATTCTAAAACTTCCTCTTTAACTTCATTGGTCGTGCCCGTCTCGATTAATTTAGGTGACGGTCCGGTCTTTACAAACGAGCAGTTGCCAAAAGTTTCTTCGATGACACTTTCGTGTTCGTCCAGATCCGCGGAGTTTATGGTGTTGATGTTATTGGCCGAAATGCGTTTGTATGTGGTGGCCTCGTTCATTACGGTATTCGCGATCAGGTGATCGATCGATGTGAAAATATTCACGGCGGCCGAACCGGGGGCTGCAGTTTCCGTTGCTGTTATCGTGCCGTTGGTTAGGACGATTGTAGTATTGGCGAATGAGGCGCTCTTCTTTTTTGTTGAACAGCGTGCAGGCTTGTCGGCTGGCAATGGCTCAGTTGTGGTCACCGTCCTTTCTTCAACTGAAGTGACTTTCTCCGTTCTTGTTAGCGTCTGCTTTGCCCTTATCCCTTGGCGGTCGTTCTTACAACTATCCAAAATTGTGGACTCTTCAACCTGGTCCGTGGTATAGCTTTCGATCGTCTCAAATGATTTCTTTTCGTTAGTTTTCATGTCAATTATCTCAACCACGCGCCTTTCCCGAATCGTTTTGACTAAGGTGATGGAGGTGGTGTACGTCGTGGTTGTTTTGATCGTTTTGGCACCGCTCGAAGGAGGAGTCGAGATGTAACCGTTTCCTCCATAGTACGCATTATAATTATACCCATAAGGAGCAGGAGGTTGTTTTCCGTATGGATATCCAATGGTATGGTATGGATCATAATACACATAAGGTACGTACCCACCTGGTGTAAGCCCTTGTATGTATTCCTGCAGGCTTATTCCTTCTAGTTTATTTTTTTGGACGTTGTCAAAATGGGGTCCGTTCTTTTGAGACTTAGGAGCGCGGTACTCCATTGGCTCTTCGAAAACAATATCACTTACATAATATGGCACCCACAACGATCTCATCTTCGGAGGCCATCTGTACACTACGGGATTCAGCTCTTTGATCGGCTAAAATCATCACTTGTTAGCACTCTACCTCAATTACGCACTTACGAACCCATCCCGAAGAGAGAAGCCTATTACGGAACTGCAAATTTCTACTCGGCGTAGCCTGTCGATTACGTTTCGTTAACTCTAAGCCATTTTGAAACTTGGTACTTACATTAGAAACAAATGACAGTAGTAGCACCGCAGCCAAGCCGATTTGGAACATGCTCGCTGTATGGTCGGCACTAGATGATTCCCGAAAAAAAATCCTGACACAGATTAGCTATTTTTTAATAGCGCACATTTCACAAGCGATGCGATTGGTTTATTATCAGATTTAAAGAAAACACGGCAATAAAAGAGTAATATTCGTTAATGAGGTGCGAAATTACGTCAATTTAATTACCCTTTGTGTTATGTCAACCGTTGTGCAAGTGCAATTGATATTACTTGATAAGCGAAACGGTCCCTTTAACGCTCCGCGATTTCCCACTGTTCTCTTAATCATCATCCTTTTTTTCTCTGTAAATTGAAAGTAGCAGGAACACAGGCCATTTCATTGTTCGATTCATGTTCTCCTAGTAGAGGGTTTCATCCAGATTAATATGAAACGAAAGCGCACATTTGTCCGTCCAATTTCGAAAGAAAACCTCAAAAGTATCAGGAGTACAGGTTTTGTTTCAGTAGCTAGAATACGAAAAATCATATTGGGAGAACATAATGCATTAGACGATGTTTTTTTGAAGTCATTAAAATTGTATCATCCTTAAAAATCCTATACAAGGGTGTTTTGAATTTTTGAACACCCTGTGTATACGGTAGCTAGATCATACTATATTGTAAAGAGGCACTTTGGTGAAAAAATGCGACCATCCTGTCAATGAGCAATCCGGAATTTTGCTAAACGTCCTATACAAGGCCGTTTTTGAATTTTTGAACACCCTGTATATACGGTAGCTAGATCATACTATATTGTAAAGAGGCACTTTGGTGAAAGAATGTGGACATCCTGTCACTGAACAATCCGGAATTTTGTTAAACGTCCTCTGTACAAGGCCGGTTTTTGAATTTTTGAACACCCTGTATATGCGGTAACTAGACCATACTATATTTATCCTACAAGATTGTAAGTAAAAGACACTTTCTTGAAAAAATGCGTTAAAGCTGCCATTGCGCAATTTGGAATTTTGTTAAAAAATCCCATATAAGACCGTTTTTGAATTTTTGAACACCCTGTGTATAGGGTAGCTAGACCATACTATATTGTAAAGAGGCACTTTGGTGAAAAAATGCGACCATCCTGTCAATGAGCAATCCGGAATTTTGCTAAACGTCCTATACAAGGCCGTTTTTGAATTTTTGAACACCCTGTATATACGGTAGCTAGACCATACTATATTTGTCTTACAAGATTGTAAGTAAAAGACACTTTCGGGAAAAAATGCATTCAAGCTGCCATTGCGCAATTTGGAATTTTGTTAAAAATCTCATATAAAACCGTTTTTGAATTTTTGAACACCCTATGTATACGGTAGCTACACCATACATTATTGTAAATAGGCACTTTGGTGAAAGAATGTGGACATCTTGTCATTGAGCAATCCGGAATTTTGTTAAACGTCCTATACAAGGCCGTTTTTGAATTTTTGAACACCCTGTATATACGGTAGCTAGACCATACTATATTGTAAATAGGCATTTTTGTGAAAGAATGTGGACATCATGTCATTGAGCAATCTGGAATGTTGTTAAACGTCCTATACAAGGCCGTTTTTGAATTTTTGAACACCTTGTATATAGGGTAGCTAGACCATACTATATTTGTCTTACAAGATTGTAAGTAAAAGACACTTTCGGGAAAAAATGCATTCAAGCTGCCATTGCGCAATTTGTAATTTTGTTAAAAATCCCATATAAGACCGTTTTTGAATGTTTGAACACCCTGTGTATACGGTAGCTAGACCATACTATATTGTAAAGAGGCACTTTGGTGAAAAAATGCGACCATCCTGTCATTGAGCGGAGAGGGAATTTTGTTAAACGTCCTATACAAGGCCGTTTTTGAATTTTTGAACACCCTGTATATACGGTAGCTAGACCATACTATGTTTGTCCTACAAGATTGTAAGTAAAAGACACTTTCGTGAAAAAATGCGTTGAAACAGCCATTGAGCAATTGGGAATTTCCTATATAAGGTCGTTTTTTTTAAATTTTTGAACACGCTGTGTATACGGTATCTATTTTTCCTACAAGATAGTAGGTAAAGAGACACTTTGAAAGAAACGCGGCCACCCTGTACATGGTAGCTAAGTCTTTTTTTTACAAGAAAAATCATTACTTACCCTCGAAACTTGTGTTTTGCAAGGTATCCGAAAGAGGTAATCAAATCTCCCTTTGCTGGGCGTGGGGATATTGGTTGGGGGAGCACCAAGACCCCCCCCCCAAGGTACTACATTATCATTTAGCTCTTAGAACTGTCCATATGGATTACACTCCCCAGAAAAAAACAATTGAGTCTCTTGAAAAATCAAAACTATTCTCACTTTCCTAAATATTTGTGCGGTGAGGGGGGGGGGGCCGTAGCACCGGGTGCCTACCCTCTAGTGCAGAAGTTCGTCATTACCTTTTCCTGGAAAATCACAGTTTCTACCGATATAGTCATCAAATACCTCTGCTGGGCTCGGGGGTATTAGCCCCCCCCCCTTACTCCTTTTTCTGGGCTGGGGGTATTGGTCGGGGGGGGGGGGTATACTTAGAACTCTCGTGCATGGAAAACCCCCCAGAAAAAAACAATTGGTATTGATGATACTCCCTTGAAAAATCAAAAGTATTCTCACTTTCCTAGGTATGGGGGGGGGGCGTAGCATCGGGTGGTTTGGGGGAGTATAGAATAACTTCTCAGCTTGGAAAGATATAATTACAAAAATAAAAAAGTAACCAATTTCTAAGTCTACAGGGGATACAGCTCGTTCTTCTCCAATTTCCTCTTGGCCTTCTCCATATGCGAGTAGGCCTTATTAATACCACTCAACGCCTTCTTCGTCTTGTGCACCAGGTGCTTCACGCGCGATTTCTTTCCGACCCTCTTCGCTCTGTTCTCCACCGAACCTTGAAACGTACCCATAACCTTCGATATCAAATTGAGAAACGTCCTACTTTCCTTGTCCTCCTGCCGGTTCAGCATTTTAAACGCTTGTCTGCAAAATATCAAAACGTGACACTTCGCCGAGAAACACCGCAATCTCACCTGTCTTCGGGTCGGTCAGGGATTTCGATCGAATCCGAACTCTCCTCGCTGTCGAAGGCGAAACTCCAAAGCACACTCACCAAAAGGAAGCAAAGGACGAGGGACCACGACGTGCCGACCGATGGCATTGCGTTTGGAATGTGCAAAATAAACTTCCTCGGTTACTCAAAGCGTTTTATTTGTTTTTAATAACAATCGATGTTTACTAATTATTGCTATTTTGCTGAGGTGTCGAGAACGGGCCGAACTTCTTGACGTAGTGCAGCCACATGTCGAAGTCGTCTTCGTTCGCGAGCTTCTGCCGTTCCTCGTACCTGCAGCTGGCGTTGGTGGCGAGGATGTCGCTCAGTTTCACCTTGATAAACTCCAGGTTGTCGCTGAACTTCCCTTTGGTGGGGGTGGTCGGGCAGGGGGGCGATTTTTCGATGATTTTTATGACGATATCATCGTTTGGAGGTGGTTTTGTCGTAGTCTCATACTCGTCATCATCTAAGTAATCGGCCAAAAACTGCAGGTCGCGCTCCGTTAAGTCGCCGTTATCCTCCGTGCAGAAGATCTCCAACTTGGAGGTCGTCGTGGTCGGCTTCGGCGTGGTTGCCCCCTTGTGTATCTCGACCACGATCTCGCGATCGCGCTGGTACGGATTCCAGCAGTTGAACGTGGGAGGGGCGAAGATAACCGGGTAGTAGACGAGGCGCGGATGACCGTCCAACTTGCGGTCCTCGATTTCCGCCGACGCGAAGCCGGACCGTTCCAAAATTTCGAAGTCGTCGAGCTTCTTTAGCCTCTCCTGGTGTTCCCGGGACGGCGACCTGAAGGTCTTCTGGAAGCTAAAGTCCTCCTCCAGAGTCCAGATCTGAAATTGTTATTGAGCGCGTGCGAGATGGAGGTGGCCACTTACCCTCTGAATTACGCTCCCAATTAGTACGCACGCCAGTAACAGTTTGGGTAACATTCTCGAATGAATGGCGGCTGGTGACTGGTAATTATTTCAATTGGAGATTCCAGATTGTTTATTTATTTGGGCACGTTTTCGTGTGGATTTGCGACAAACTTTTCAAAGAGGTTCTTGACATTATGACGCATTGGCCTTCAATTTTTATGCGAAAATACGAGATGATTCATGGGCTTTTTGGAGAGGTAGGGGTCTTCAAGGTCTTGGGGGCCTTTGTAGACTTCATAATATCCACCCTCCAGCGGTTTTAGGGTTCGTCAAGATTTTCATGATACCCAGAATCTGCGTTGTCTTATTTTAGAGTTCTCAAGTTTCGGTCTTCTTAGGGCGTCCAAGGTTTTCAGGATTTCCAGGGTTTCTAGGTCTTTCAAGAGTCCTCAAAGCTTAGGGGAAGGTTGTGGCTTTCGGAACTTTTCGTCTGGCTTCGGCGCTTTTCTTTTGGCTTTCCTTTTGGAGTGTTCAGGATGGCGGCCAAGGTTTTCAGGATTTCAAAGTCTTTCAAGGATCTCCAAGACATCTGAGGTTTTTGTGGCCTTCAGAATCTTTAGTGTTTTCAAAGTTTCAAGTTAAAATTCTTAGTCCCTCAAATTCCAGTATCCACAAAGTGATCTGAGTCCTTGTTCATCAGAAATTGTTTGGAATCTTGGGTATTTGGTTTACCACAATCTTCGCGGTACCTTACTGGGCATTTACAAACTTTGTATCAGGAGAATATAATCTATCAGGAGGCATTTCTGCTCCTAATACATGTCTCTGGCTAACAGCTGAGCATGATGGCCGACGAGGGTTTCCTTCTAGCACCCACAGAAATTTGTTTGGTACCTTACCTTGGCTGAAATCTTGTATCAGGACAATAAAATACGCGAGAAGGTGTTTCTGCGCCTGATACATCACCTACGATCTGTGGGGTACTTAGGCGAAGATAATCATGATAATTCATTCCCAAAAACCATCATGGGAGTGTTACCTGGGGGGTTGTGGGAGGGTTGTGAAGTTTTTCTTTGTTGGGCGGTTGTAAACCCTTGCCACACATTAAGTCTTCTTTTAGCTGGGGGGTATTCCAGACCCCCCGGTGCTACGGACTTTGCAGGCGAAGTGAATCCTATACTTCATTCCCAAAAACTATCATAAGAGTGTTACCGGGCGGTCGAGGGGGTATCGAATACCCCCCAGCAAAAGGAATTCGCGCGATAAGTCTTCTTTTTGCTGGGGGGTATGGGGCTATACACCCCCCCCCCCGGTAACACTTTCATGATCGTTTTTCGGAATGAATTAAGTATAAGATTCGCTTCTCCTAAGAAGGGGGGTTTAGAAGACCCCCCAGCAAAAAGAATTCGCGCGTTAAGTCTTCTTTTTGCTAGGGGGTATGGGTCTATACACCCCAAACCCCCTCGGTAACACTTTCATGATCGTTTTTCGGAATGAATTAAGTATAAAATTCGCTTCGCCTAAGAAGGGGGGTATGGAATACCCCCCCCCCCCCCCGCAAAAAGAAGACATATTGCCATCCCCAAAAAACCACCATGATGTCACTGAGGCCTATATCGATTAAGGGTTGTGAACTCTTTCTTTATTGGGTGGTTGTACTATGCGTTAAGTCCTCTTTTTTGCTGGGGGGTGGGGGGCATGGAATACCGTAGGTGTACAGAAGTATTTGATACCTTACCTCAGCTGAACCTGCGGCTAATACATAGCGTATCACATCGCAATTTTTTGTAAAATTTTTCTGAGTAACAGGAGAGCATAATGGCCGTGAAGGTTTTTTTACCACCCACGGAAATGTTTTGATACCTGACCTTTGCTTAAACTTTTAAAGGTGTTGTATCGGGAGAGTATAATACACAATACATTACAGCACAAACTTTTAATTTTTCTGGCTAGCAGGAGATCATGATGGTCGAGAAAATCTTTTTTAAACACCCACTGAAGTTTCAACGCTTATCAGGAAAACATAATCTCTGAGGTGTTTCTGCTCCGTGCACACTTGCATAGTTAGTGAACGTTTTTGAAATTCCTTTGGATACCAGGAGAACAGAATTATTTCTTCTGCTGTTTTTGATGTTTTGGTTATCACCATGGATATGACATCGGTATTCATTCATCAAATCAAATTTGATGCTGTTTATGAACTTGATGCTTTTGTGTTTTTGATGTCATGAAATAGGAAATTAAAACCTCCACTATGTTAATTTGTAATTTTTATTAACACATTTTCTCTACAAGAATCGCATTTCAAGCCGTTTATCCACCGGATATTCGCGAACCCCCTCGTAGGCGAGAAGTTATCGCCTGCAACAAAAAGAAATCTTCATTAGTATTCGATAAGATAAACGACTCGAAATACTTTCATAAAAGAACAAATTATTTGGGGCCCTCAACCTCGCTCAGCAGCGACCTCTGCTTCTCCTCGCACAGCTCGAGCTGCCGCTGCAGATCGAAGAGTATCTTCAGCTCGCGACGGATTCTCAACTTCTTCGCCACCTTCTCGGCCATTTCTTTGACCGAATCCCGTTGCAGTTTTCTCAAGTTGTTCGACTCCCAAAGGAATTCCGCCTCCTTTTTGATCTTGTCGATTTCTCCGCTCGCCATCAGCATCTTCAGGTTGCTCACCGACTCGACGTCGCGCTGTATTCGTGCAGCGCGCCTTTTCTTCAAAAACGCGAGGAGCTGCCTGTTGTTTTTCGCGTTGACGAAGTTAATTTTGCTCAAAACCTCCTCGAGATCGTGCTTGGGTTCTTTCTTCAGCGTCTTCAAGACGCAATGAAACTTCTGGAGATGCACCAGGGTTTTGATCCACCTACCCATGTCCTCGTCCGGATTCTCGCCGATCTTCCTGGCGATGTCGCCCAGAATTTCCTCTTTGAGACGGAGACTTTCGTCGATCTTGTCCGCATTTGCGGTCTTGGCGATTTCGACCTTGAGGGTTTGTAGCGCTAGTAGCTTCTTGTAGATGTCGAAGTCTTCGTGGAACGTGCTCGCGATCATCTTCTGCAGGTCGGCGGTTAACTGAGCGATTCTTTCGTTGACGGTTTGCGTCTCCGGGTTGGCGGCGGATCTCTTTGGGCGCGGTTTGGGTACCAAACGTTCCGCTTTGAGCATCTTGAGGATGGCTTGCAGCAGGCCGACTTCGCGTTTGGTTCTCGGGGGAGATTCGAAGAGTTCGCGTCGGTCGTCTTTGTTTCTCGTGAATCGGTTGTAGGTGCTCTTGACCGCCGCTAGGAAAGTATCGGGCTCGTCGACTGCGCTGACAAACTCTTCGAGTAGCTCTACGTCGCCGGCCCCGCGCTTGGTCCTAGTTTCTTCCGCTTGTTGATCAGGTGCACGTTCCACCCTCAACACTTCTTCGAGTTCTTTGACGAGCTGCTCCCAGGAGAGGGTGCCGATGTCTTCGTACTCGTGCTCTCTAACGCTCCTCTTCTTTCGCCCGATTTCGATGTGGTCGTGCGACTTCTTCATGTTCCGTGCCAGAGCCTTGAGAATCTCCGCCAGAAGTACACTCTCTTGGTTGTACGCGAGCTTGTTGTCATGGTATTGGTCGGGCAGCTCTCGTCTGTATCGCCTGGTGTCGCAGTCACACCCGATCTCTCTCTTGGTGAGTCTCCTTCTGCGCTTCGATTTCCTGTAGTCCCCCATGAAAGACTTGACGAACTGCATGAAGAGGGTGTTGGAGACGCGCATCATTTCGCCGAAGAAGGGGTTTCGCTGTAGCTCACCGACGACCTTCAGAGGCACGCTGAGCATTTTCAAGAAGGGGGCGGCTTGAAAGAACGTATCGCCCGGTTTTGATTGGACCTCGATCTCGTTACTCTCCTCGAACGAATCGAATTTGGCCGAACGTTTGCGTCGGTAATGCGGGCCATGGGCGTAGTAGCGGTGGCGTCCGAGCATCGGTCGTCTGTGCGGCAAAATGTTGCGCATGGCAAAGCGGCGGTCCCACGGTCCCGTGACGTAGGGGGAATGCGTCAGTCCATTCCTGTTCTTGCGGAAGGTGAACTTGTGGAAGTTGATGTTGCTCTTGCTCGGGAGGAGGGAGGTTTTCGTGTTGAGGCCTAACATTTTGTAATTGATGGAGCGCTTTAGGCGGTTGTGGTCTTCGGTGGTGATTTCGGCCGTGGTGCTTCTCAGTAGCAGCTCATCGCCGAGCGGATTTGCTGAATTGGAGACCTGGAGGCTCTCTTTCTTCATTTGATCAGGCTCCACTTCAACTAAATTCGTATCAACTTCTGGCCGGATATCTGCGTCCAGACTTTTCGCTTCTTGGGGAGGCTCGGTGATCACCAACTCGTCCTCGTTGCCTTCGGTACTCACCTCTCGACTTTGGTTGGTCGCAAACATCGTGGCCGTTTTGCTGACCACGTTAGTTTGCGGCACCAGGAAGTTTTGCACGAGAAACTGGGGCGCCCAAATAATTTGCTTATACACGTTGACACACGGGGACCTAGAATCGTACCTTTCAGCCCGTGGGTACGGCGATCGACCGCCGAGCTTCTCCAGGATGGGCGGCGAACAGACTGAAACACTGAAACGTTAATGTCACGTCGCGGAAACTTCCGATTTACCTTTCGGCAAGTGGTGACGTGGAGGTTCGCAGATTATGACACGATCGGTGTGCGCGTAGAGGTTCTTAAGGTAGGTGGGTCGCCGCGGCGTCTCCTCGTCGGGGATCTGCAGCTGCGCGTCGTACTCTTCGGGAATCGGGCAGTATACGTGCGGTTTCCTTACCACGAGCCTCTCGGGGTGTATCTAAAATTGATCCCCATCACTCACCCAACATCATCCCGCCTGGTTACTCACTTGGTAGCCGTAGCTGCGCGCCCAGTGCGTTTCGGCTTTGGGCGCCACGGGAATTTCGACCGTGTACGGAATAGCCGTCGGGCACGTGCAGTGGTGGATCTTCTTGTGGATGATCTGCACTTTGGCACCAGGTGGCGAAATCACGTGAAACTGCTTGTTACACTGCAAAAAATTCACTTCGTCAAATCAACCCCTTCCTTACCAACCCGCCCTTACGTTTAGACACCCGCAGTTGCAGTACGCCCCAATGGCGAACATAAGCAGAGCGTAAAGTGCGACTTTCATGTCGAGATTCGTTGTGATTTGTCCAGCTCCGCAATTCTCTTTTATACAGCTCGAGATGACGGCGAGCAATGCGAAAGGTTGCACAATTTATTGTTTTTGTTTGCGAGTGCATTAACACTTTAACCTCCGCTTTAACGTGCTTTGAGCGTGCTACGTGGAGTTTTAGCCAAAATACGTTCATCTGAAGGCTGCTTGCGTAAGGAATTTTTGAATTCCAATAACTGCTTTTGGTCTATGAATTTATCTTCATCTAATGGTTTCACGATCTGCACCCAACGATGGAAATTTACCCATTTTTAAAGAAATAGCCTTCTTCTATCATGAGAGTGTTACCGGGAGGTCTGGGAGTCCCCAGACGACGACAATTTTCTTGCGATCCCCAAAAAAAACACCGTAAGGTTACTGACGCTTATAGAGAAAGAGTTATGGAGTCTGTCTTTGTCGGGTGGCTTTACACCCTCGCCACGCTCCTTTTGCTGGGGGGTATGGAATACCCTATATCGAAAGGGCTGTGGAGTCTTTCTTTGTTGAGTCACGCGTTAAGTCTTCCTTTTGCCTGGTGGAAGGGTGTCAGATTCCTTCTAATGACCTTCAGACTATTTTCACAGCCTTGGAAAATATTTTAAAGAGTCTAGAAGGAAGTAAGTGCATTCGGAGAGATTTTTAGAACCTTTAAGGGCAATGCCATAGGTTTTTACGCCATTTTTAAATTCTTACACGAGCCTTATGAGAGGTCAGATCCCTTCTAACGACTTTCAGACCATTTTCAAAACCTTAGTAACCATTTTAAAGAGTCTAGAAAAAGCTAAGGGCAATCGAAGGGCCTTTTAGAGCCTTTAGACCCTCTAGATCTTCGAATCTTAGCATCATTTTGAAATCTTAAGAATAGTACTAAATTGGCTATCGAAACAAATTAGCATCTCCTCCCCATCCCCATATACACATGTCTCCAACAACTACCTTATGCGCTTTGGAAAAATTTCCTTTGCATTTTTGAGGTAGCAATATTTTAAGTTTGAAGTCGCATGCCTAGAAATTTTGGGAAAATTCTTTGAATAATTGTACAAACATTTTGATTCAACCGTACCCAAACGCCTGATCAACAGTTGATTTTATTAAAATCTTTTTCTCTTTTCAGAGGAGGTCTGCAGTGTGTCCCCTCTACTTTGGCTGATGGATCTTCCCAGGAGAGACTGGATTAATAAGGCTACAGGGTAAGTTTCTAGCCCCCCTTACCCCACTCTTTGTTTCTATGGTTCAATTCCTTTAAGAAAACTGCCAAACGCAAATTAATGATTTACTGCGTTGGGCTTAAATTAATGAAACTTTTTCGAAATTTTAACGTAAATTTCTTCTTTGTTACAGATTCCAGAAGAGCAGCCTTATAAAGGTAGGATTTTTTTTCTATGCATGGTTGTATTTTCTTTCTTGTGTATGTGGCAGTGGGGGAAAAGTGATCTTAAATTCGAAATGGGTCTTTTGAGGCATCAATCGGTTTACGTGATATCAGTATGAATTCATAGCCATACCGATTTTACGAAGCGCAATGCATTTGTTTCAAAGATATGGGATTTCGGACGTAAAATCAGTTGATTTTTCGGACGAATTCCCATTATTATTATCGCAAACATATTTTTTTCAAAATAATTTTTCGGCTCAAATTTTTAAATCTACTGATCTTTGTTTACAAAAGAAATGTGTAGATTTCTTGGGCAGAATTCTAAATTTGCTACTGAACGTTCATCGTTAGAAGTACCGTAACTATCATTTTTTAAGAAATAACTATGCATCTACGTTGCTTTTTGCTTTATTTTTTGAATTTTTATGTTTGATTTTTATTAGTTTTGTTAAAAGAAATTGGGTAATTTCACTAGCTTAAGTCGTTTTTTCGTCCTGAAAAGCAGTGTCCTAAAAATAATGTTTTTAACAAGCATACGTCAGCGCGATGTTTTTAATTCAATTTTTTAATTTTTATTTCTGGGTTGAACGGCGATTTTAGTAGCTGAATCCCTTTTTAATGTTGCCTATGAAAGGTGGAGTGTTGTAAAAATAATTTTTTAACAAGCATACGTCAGTGCCGCGTTTTGATTCACTTTTTGAATTTTTATTTCTGGATTGAACTGTTTTTTTTAAAAAGATCTGGTGATTTTAGTAACGAAATACCTTTTTAATGATTCCTATGAGTGTCGTAAAAATAATTTTTTAACAAGCATACGTCAGCGCCGCGTTTTGGTTCATTTTTTGAATTTTCATTTCTGGGTTGAACTGATTTTTTTAAAGAAATCTGGTGATTTTAGTACCTGAATCCCTTTTTTAATGTTTCCTATGAAAGGTGGAGTGTCGTAAAAATAATTTTTTAACAAGCATACGTCAGTGCCGCGTTTTGATTCACTTTTTGAATTTTTATTTCTGGATTGAACTGTTTTTTTTAAAGAGATCTGGTGATTTTAGTAACGAAATACCTTTTTAATGATTCCTATGAGTGTCGTAAAAATAATTTTTTAACAAGCATACGTCAGCGCCGCGTTTTGATTCACTTTTTGAATTTTCATTTCTGAGTTGAACTGGTTTTTTTTAAAGAAATCTGGTGATTTTAGTACCTGAATCCCTTTTTTAATGTTTCCTATGAAAGGTGGAGTGGCGTAAAAATAATTTTTTAACAAGCATACGTCAGCGCCGCGTTTTGATTCACTTTTTGAATTTTCATTTCTGAGTTGAACTGGTTTTTTTTTAAAGAAATCTGGTGATTTTAGTAACTGAATACCTTTTTAATGATCCCCATGAAATGTGGAGTGTCGTAAAAATAATTTTTTAACAAGCATACGTCAGTGCCGCGTTTTGATTCACTTTTTGAATTTTTATTTCTGGATTGAACTGTTTTTTTTTTAAAGAGATCTGGTGATTTTAGTAACGAAATACCTTTTTAATGATTCCTATGAAAGGTGGAGTGTCGTAAAAATAATTTTTTAACAAGCTACGTCGGTGCCGCGTTTTGATTCATTTTTTGAATTTTCATTTCTGGGTTGAACTGATTTTTTTAAAGAAATCTGGTGATTTTAGTCCCTGAATCCCTTTTTTAATGTTTCCTATGAAAGGTGGAGTGTCGTAAAAATAATTTTTTAACAAGCATACGTCAGCGCCGCGTTTTGATTCACTTTTTGAATTTTCATTTCTGAGTTGAACTGGTTTTTTTTTAAAGAAATCTGGTGATTTTAGTAACTGAATACCTTTTTAATGATCCCCATGAAATGTGGAGTGTCGTAAAAATAATTTTTTAACAAGCATACGTCAGTGCCGCGTTTTGATTCACTTTTTGAATTTTTATTTCTGGATTGAACTGTTTTTTTTAAAGAAATCTGGTGATTTTAGTAACTGAATACCTTTTTAATGATTCCTATGAAAGGTGGAGTGTCGTAAAAATAATTTTTTAACAAGCATACGTCAGTGCCGCGTTTTGATTCATTTTTTGAATTTTTATTTCTGGATTGAACTGTTTTTTTTAAAGAGATCTGGTGATTTTAGTAACGAAATACCTTTTTAATGATTCCTATGAGTGTCGTAAAAATAATTTTTTAACAAGCATACGTCAGCGCCGCGTTTTGGTTCATTTTTTGAATTTTCATTTCTGGGTTGAACTGATTTTTTTAAAGAAATCTGGTGATTTTAGTACCTGAATCCCTTTTTTAATGTTTCCTATGAAAGGTGGAGTTGTCGTAAAAATAATTTGTTTAACAAAGCATACGTCAGTGCCGCGTTTTGATTCATTTTTTGAATTTTTATTTCTGGATTGAACTGTTTTTTTTAAAGAGATCTGGTGATTTTAGTAACGAAATACCTTTTTAATGATTCCTATGAAAGGTGGAGTGTCGTAAAAATAATTTTTTAACAAGCTACGTCGGTGCCGCGTTTTGATTCATTTTTTGAATTTTCATTTCTGGGTTGAACTGATTTTTTTAAAGAAATCTGGTGATTTTAGTCCCTGAATCCCTTTTTTAATGTTTCCTATGAAAGGTGGAGTGTCGTAAAAATAATTTTTTAACAAGCATACGTCAGCGCCGCGTTTTGATTCACTTTTTGAATTTTCATTTCTGAGTTGAACTGGTTTTTTTTAAAGAAATCTGGTGATTTTAGTACCTGAATCCCTTTTTTAATGTTTCCTATGAAAGGTGGAGTGGCGTAAAAATAATTTTTTAACAAGCATACGTCAGTGCCGCGTTTTGATTCACTTTTTGAATTTTTATTTCTGGATTGAACTGTTTTTTTTTAAAGAGATCTGGTGATTTTAGTAACGAAATACCTTTTTAATGATTCCTATGAAAGGTGGAGTGTCGTAAAAATAATTTTTTAACAAGCATACGTCAGTGCCGCGTTTTGATTCACTTTTTGAATTTTTATTTCTGGATTGAACTGTTTTTTTTAAAGAAATCTGGTGATTTTAGTAACTGAATACCTTTTTAATGATTCCTATGAAAGGTGGAGTGTCGTAAAAATAATTTTTTAACAAGCATACGTCAGTGCCGCGTTTTGATTCATTTTTTGAATTTTTATTTCTGGATTGAACTGTTTTTTTTAAAGAGATCTGGTGATTTTAGTAACGAAATACCTTTTTAATGATTCCTATGAAAGGTGGAGTGTCGTAAAAATAATTTTTTAACAAGCATACGTCAGCGTCGCGTTTTGATTCATTTTTTGAATTTTCATTTCTGGGTTGAACTGATTTTTTTAAAGAAATCTGGTGATTTTAGTACCTGAATCCCTTTTTTAATGTTTCCTATGAAAGGTGGAGTGGCGTAAAAATAATTTTTTAACAAGCATACGTCAGCGCCGCGTTTTGATTCACTTTTTGAATTTTCATTTCTGAGTTGAACTGGTTTTTTTTTAAAGAAATCTGGTGATTTTAGTAACTGAATACCTTTTTAATGATCCCCATGAAATGTGGAGTGTCGTAAAAATAATTTTTTAACAAGCATACGTCAGTGCCGCGTTTTGATTCACTTTTTGAATTTTTATTTCTGGATTGAACTGTTTTTTTTTTAAAGAGATCTGGTGATTTTAGTAACGAAATACCTTTTTAATGATTCCTATGAAAGGTGGAGTGTCGTAAAAATAATTTTTTAACAAGCATACGTCAGCGCCGCGTTTTGATTCACTTTTTGAATTTTCATTTCTGAGTTGAACTGGTTTTTTTTAAAGAAATCTGGTGATTTTAGTACCTGAATCCCTTTTTTAATGTTTCCTATGAAAGGTGGAGTGGCGTAAAAATAATTTTTTAACAAGCATACGTCAGTGCCGCGTTTTGATTCACTTTTTGAATTTTTATTTCTGGATTGAACTGTTTTTTTTTAAAGAGATCTGGTGATTTTAGTAACGAAATACCTTTTTAATGATTCCTATGAAAGGTGGAGTGTCGTAAAAATAATTTTTTAACAAGCATACGTCAGCGTCGCGTTTTGATTCATTTTTTGAATTTTCATTTCTGGGTTGAACTGATTTTTTTAAAGAAATCTGGTGATTTTAGTACCTGAATCCCTTTTTTAATGTTTCCTATGAAAGGTGGAGTGTCGTAAAAATAATTTTTTAACAAGCATACGTCAGTGCCGCGTTTTGATTCACTTTTTGAATTTTTATTTCTGGATTGAACTGTTTTTTTTAAAGAGATCTGGTGATTTTAGTAACGAAATACCTTTTTAATGATTCCTATGAGTGTCGTAAAAATAATTTTTTAACAAGCATACGTCAGTGCCGCGTTTTGATTCATTTTTTGAATTTTCATTTCTGAGTTGAACTGGTTTTTTTTAAAGAAATCTGGTGATTTTAGTACCTGAATCCCTTTTTTAATGTTTCCTATGAAAGGTGGAGTGGCGTAAAAATAATTTTTTAACAAGCATACGTCAGCGCCGCGTTTTGATTCACTTTTTGAATTTTCATTTCTGAGTTGAACTGGTTTTTTTTAAAGAAATCTGGTGATTTTAGTAACTGAATACCTTTTTAATGATCCCCATGAAAGGTGGAGTGTCGTAAAAATAATTTTTTAACAAGCATACGCCAGCGCCGCATTGTGATTTAATTTTTGAATTTTCATTTCTAGGTTGAACTGATTATTTTAAAGAAATCTTCTGATTTGGTAGCTGAATCTCTTTTTAATATTCCCTGTCAAACATGGTGTCGTAAACATATTTGTTTTAAGTATCATTGGTCGGTATGGTCTTTTTTGCAATTTTTGAATTTTTTTAAAGAAATTTACTGATTTTACTAACTCAATCTTATTTTAATATTTCCTGTGAAAGGTAGAGTGTGGCAGAAAGAATTTTTTAAGAAGCTTAGTCGGTATGGTTTTTCTGCAATTTTTGAATTTCTGATTTTTTAAATCAAAAACGAAATAAAATTCACTCGTTTATTTTACAAATTCCGTATCAGTTCTGTGCAATTTACAATCCACAAGTGGCACATCCCGTCCCTCTGTAATGCGAACTTTGACTATCCGAGCTGCTGCTGCTGGTAGACTTCGAGTAGGTGTACGTAGCTCCGCTGGAGTACTCCGGGTTTCCTTCATCTCCATTGCAAGTCACTTCGGAACCGTCCGAAGAGATCGGCACATTTTTGATGATTACCTGTCCGCTTTTGTAGCCATCGCCGCATGATGGCGGCCCTTCTACGCCGCACGACGGTACGATTTCCTCGTGAATTGGTTCGACGTGATGATGGGGCACCACCGGAGTTATGAACTTGGGGGGTGGCACTGAAACGTGGCATTGTTAACGTTGTGGCGCTAGTGAGCGCACTTACCTTTGCACGGAACAAACCCGATCGAGTGGTAGGAAATCGGCTGTATTACGACCGGTTCCGGTTCGGGTTCCGGTTCCTCCTCCTCCTCAATTTCGACTTCTTCCACCGGTGCCGCGTGATAAACCTTTGGCAATTCTAACGTATGACCGTTGAGCTTGTAGTAGCTTTCCTCGGGGAAGAGCTTCTTGTGCTAAAAACAACCGGTTAGATTAGCACCAGGTGCATTAGTACTTACGGCCTCGACGTAAGTGCTCGTCTCCTCTTTCGGAGGTGTGCGCGAACCGAACTGGAGATGCTCAACAGCCGCCTGCTTGCTTTGGAGTTCCTTGCGCACGATCGCCTTGGAAATCGCGTCCGCTGGCACATGCGAGGTGTGAATCTGGACTTTGGGCTGGTGCAGTACTGGCAGGCCGCAGATGGGGTAGTCGATAAGGGAATCACCGACATGACTGCGTTGGGTGGGGTAACCGTGTTCCTAAACTTTCGTTAAAATTCTGCACGTTTGCCATAGCGAGACGCTTACCGGGGCGTATCTTTCTGGACCGGTCCCCCCGACTTGGTAGTAGGTCGCATCTGCATCGCCGCTATGGTGATGGTGTGAGTCAGAGTGCTGGTGGTGGCTTCTGATGTGATTGGGGCCGTAGTGATCCGTCTGCAATTTGAAGGTTAAAGAGAGACAGTTGCTTCTTATGTCAACTTACATCAACGGGTAAAACAACAGAATGGCCTTGTTCTCCTTCACCGTATCGAATGCCCTATAGGTGACGTGCAGTAAGAAACCAGTGACATTTTGAAAGTCAACTTACTTGATTATAGTCGTTGTGATGGCGGTCGTGTAGATTGTGATGATGACCGTCGTGACCACTACCGTGGTGATGGCGGTCGTGGCGATAATTGTCATGGTGATCGCGGTCGTGACGGTCATGGTCGTGGTAGGTACGGCTGTGGTCACGGTGGTGGTGATCGCGGTCGTGACGATCATGGCCGTGGTGATCGCGGTCGTGACGATCATGACCGTGGTGAATACGGCTGTGGTCACGGTCGTTGTGATCGCGGTCGTGACGGTCATGGTCGTGGTGAATACGGCTGTGGTCACGATCGTGATTATCATGGTCGTTGTGATCACGGTCGTGACGATCATGGCCATGGTGATTACGTTCATGATGCGAGTGTGAAGTATGCGAGAATCCGGAAGCGTAGTGGTGGTGGGAGGACGTGCCGGTGCATCCGGAGCAAGCCGGTTTGGGAACGTTGGCCGGTTTCACTATTGTTTTTCCACATGTGCATAAATCCCCAACTGGTTTGAGGGGTGCAATGTTGCTGTCGTCCGTTTCATAATTGCTTCTCGGCCCATGGTGATGAGGTGGGCTGTGAAGGTGATTTGGACCATGATGATGATGAGGGGATCGTCCATGGGGATGGTGTGGTGAGAGGGCTTCGATGTCCACCTTGGGCAAAGTGTGCGGACGAACAACCAGAGGGTACCGAGACTCATCATCCTTGTCGGTGTCGTCCTTCACTGGCGTGCATACGTCAACTCCGTTCCCCAGCCCGCAGTTACACGGAACGCCAAAGCCAAAAACCTAAAAAGATAATCAATTTCCTCTTCTCACAAGATCTGTCCACTTACCAAATCTTGGCACATGCCAAACACTGCCAATATGATACCAATGTTACGAAACATTTTTCGGTAATGTGACTCGAAAGGTCTTCGGGCCCATTTTATAGTCCCCGATTCTTTTAGCGGGATGTGATTTTTTGCGTAAATAAATCGAACGCATATGAAACTTTCTTGGAAGGCAAAATGTTTAAACAAACGTGCGATAGCTTAATACAAGTATTTGTGTTATTAATAGAAACATTTTTTGAACAATAAGCAACAATAATTTCTGTGTCATTACTCATTAGCTTCAAACATTCTTCGGTGCGGTCAGTTACGGCCAAGGCTCTCAAATTCTGCACGCACATGATTCCTAATTAATTAAACCATAATTTGGAACGTGGTGACATAAATTTTTAAGAAAACTTCGATCTCTCGAATCTTAGTCCATTTTTATTAATGACTAATTAATTAATCGTGCAAAACGCACAATTTAATTAAATTCTGTACATTTGCAAAGGCTCTCATGATGCAATTTTGCACTCCTAATTAATTAAACCCCGTATCGTTTGGGAATTAAATTCTGGTGCCGTAATTTGGAACGCGGTGGTGGAAATTCGGTCCACAACTTCTTGAATCTTAGTCCGTTAAAGATCAATAATTAATTAATCGTGCAAACCGCACAATTTAATTAAATTCTGGAAATTTGCAAAGGCTCCCATGATGCAATTTTGCACTCCTAATTAATTTAACCCGGTATCGTTTTGGAATTATCTTTTTTTGGGACAATTTGGAATGTGGTGGTAGAAATTCAGTCCACAAATTCATCGAACTTTAGTCCATTTGTTAATGACTAATTAATTAATCGAGAAAACGCACAATTGAATTAAATTCGGTACATTTGCAAAGGATCCCATGATGCAATTTTGAACTCCTAATTAATTACACTCGGTATCGTTTCGGAATTATTTTTTTTTTGTGACAATTTGGAATGTGGTGGTAAGACTTCAGTTCACAATTCATCGAGTCTTAGTCCATTTATTAATGACTAATTAATTAATAGTGCAAACCGCACAATTGAATTAAATTCTGTACATTTGCAAAGGCTCCCATGATGCAATTTTGCACTTCTAATTAATTAAACCTTTTATCGTTTGGGAATTAAATTCTGGCATAATTTGGAACGCGGTGGTGGAAATTCGGTCCACAGCTTCTTGAATCTTAGTTCGTTTAAATCAATAATTAATTAATCGTGCCAACCGCACAATTCAGCTAAATTCTGTACATTTGCAAAGGCTCCCATGATGCAATTTTGCACTCCTAATTAATTGAACCTTTTATCGTTTGGGAATTAAATTCTGGTGCCTTAATTTGGAACGCGGTGGTGGAAACTTCTTGAATCTTAGTTCGTTTATAAATCAAAAATTAATTGATCGTGCAAAACGCACAATTTAATTAAATTCTGTACATTTGCAAAGGCTCCCATGATGCAATTTTGCACTCCTAATTAATTGAACCTTTTATCGTTTGGGAATTAAATTCTGGTGCCTTAATTTGGAACGCGGTGGTGGAAACTTCTTGAATCTTAGTTCGTTTATAAATCAAAAATTAATTGATCGTGCAAAACGCACAATTTAATTAAATTCTGTACATTTGCAAAGGCTCCCATGATGCAATTTTGCACTCCTAATTAATTCAACTTTTTATCGTTTGGGAATTAAATTCTGGTACCGTAATTTGGGAGCGGTGGTGGAAATTCGGTCCACAACTTCTCCAATTTTAGTTCGTTTATAAATCAATAATCAATTAACCGGTCAAACCGCACAATTTAATTAAATTCTGTACATTTGCAAAGGCTCCCATGATGCAATTTTGAACTTCTAATTAATTAAACCGGGTATCGTTTGGGAATTAAATTCTGGTGCCGTAATTTGAAACCCGGTAGTGGAATTTCTGTCCACAAGTTCTTGAATCTTAGTCCGTTTATAATTCAATAATTAATTAATCGTGCAAACCGCACAATTCAATTAAATTCTGCAATTTTGCAAGGCTCCCATGATGCAGTTTTGAACTCCTAATTAATTAAACTCTGTATCGTTTCGGAATTATTTTTTTTGTAATAATTTAGAATGTGGTGGTAGGAATTCAGTCCACAATTCATTGAATCTTAGTCCATTTGTTAATGACTAATTAATTAATTGTGCAAAACGCACAATTTAATTAAATTCTGTACATTTGCAAAGGCTCCCATGATGCAATTTTCCACTCCTAATTAATTAAACCCGGTATCGTTTGGGAATTAAATTCTGGTGTCGTAATTTGGAACGCGGTGGTGGAAATTCGGTCCATAACTTCTTGAATTTTAATCCGTTTATAAATCAATAATTAATTACTCGTGCAAACCGCACAATTTAATTAAATTCTACAATTTTGCAAGGCTTCCATGATGCAATTTTGACCTAATTAATTAAACTCTGTATTTCGGAGTTTTTCGGTTTTAATTAAAAAAAATTTAATGCACTTTGGAGCGCCATTACGAAATCATAATTAGGTAATTAAAAAATTATTGAATTACATAAGTATATATCGGGTTCTTGAACGTGTCGGTTTGTGGATTTTGGAGGACTTTAGGATAGCTCGTCGGTGTTTCCAACTGATTCGGCCACCACGTGCTGGAAATTCGGCTATCCGATTACAAATGAAGTACTTATAATAAGTACTAAAAGCAAACACAGCGCCACCTGTGGTTCTAGTGCGTGTAAAATTGACGTAAGCATAAGCACAACCCTACAGGATACGCCATCGAAAAGAAACATGAAAGTGAAGTGAATCGGTTACAGTTGGCAACACCGTTGCTTGTACGCTCGTGTGAAGTCGTGTAACGCCGCCTTTATTTGACGTCACCGACGGACCTAGCTGTCAGAATTCACTGTTAATTCGTGTTCGCTTTGCTACAAAAATGCCAGGACGGCGATGTGCAGTTTTCGGCTGTAATAATAGCCGCATTTCCACCAAGGATACGGAACCGGAAATCATTTATCACAACTTTCCTAAAAAAAGCGATGATTCCATACGTAAAGAATGGATACGGCGCTGCAAACGAGTAATGAATCCGAGCACGAGCCAAATGTGCTCTGCTCATTTCACTGCCGAGGATTACGAACGTGACATGAGGAACGAATTATTAGGTAATTGCCTAATTATTATTACGTGTATGGGAACTTTTAATGCATATTTATTCTAGGGTTACCGTTACAAAAACGTCTCAGGAAAAATTCCGTTCCTACTTTGAACTTGCCCGAGTCGTCAAAAGAGACAACGCACAGTTTAGCTCGGAAGGAACGGTCTTTAAAAAAACAAGAGGAAAGACAAAGGATAGAAGAAATGAATGAGTTAATTGATGAGCCCCTAGCGACCTTGCCTATTTTAAATGAGCAGTCTACAGCAGCGACACATCCTCATGAAAGTTAGGACACTACGGATTCCAAACAGGATTTACACGAATGAAGTGGACCCAGAAAACCAAGCATTGGGGGCTACGAATATGGCTGATTATGGTGTTGTGTGCAGGCGCACCCTCCTGTTGAATCCGACAGTTTCCAACTTTTGTTTCTTTGTGCCGTACACCATTGAATTCGTAATAAAAATTGCTACTCAATACAGTATGTACTTTTTTTAGGGGGCATAAAAAAAATAAAATTGATATCTCCGAAACCAAACGTATTCAAAATCTCTACGGTTACTGAGATCCCCATGGGGCTTACACAGAGCAAATAAAAAACAGATTTAATTTTACAAAAACTTCCAATATTTACATTTTTGCCTGTACACTTTACACTAACGATAACCTAAAAATAATCGGACGCCTTCTGTCTTTTCTGCACGCTAATATTCAACAAATCGTCGGTCAAATTATCGTTGGGCGCCTTTTTAATTCCCAAATTCAGTTTGGGCGTCAGAATCCGTCGAGGGGTAGAGGGCGCGTTCCGCCGATCGGCCGGGCTCGGCGAATACGTCGACGTAAAATCGCCCAGTTTCAGTTTGGAGGTCGCAAGCCGTCGGGCCGCCGGCGACATCGTCGCGAGGCGGTCGATCGTCGAGGTGTTCGGCCGAGGCGAGGGTCTACAATTGAGCGGTTGAGCGTGGATCGGAATCAGTTTCATACTTACGAGGCGAAGTGACGTCGCGCCGCGTCCATCGCCTTCTTTTTCTGGTCGCGGTGACGTTCGCCCACCTTCTCGGCGAGCGCGTGGGCGATCTGTTCGCGACGAGGCGGCTCCGACATTTTAAACGACGGTCCTGGCGTCCTAAAGCATAACACACGTGGCAGAATATTTGTTACAACTGTACTATACAAATTTGCGCATGCGCGGTGTCATATTCCGCGATTAGAGCATCAACAACTTACCTTGGCAGAGGTGTATCACTTCCATCGAGCCGAAACGGCGTCCCCTCGATCTCACCCCACGTCATCAGCGGCGTGTCCGCGACGCCCGGCCTCGGCGACGGCGTGCGCATGAAGCTAAACCCGTTCACGTTCGGACCATCGGGCGGCATCAGCTCCTTACCGTCGACGCCAATCTTCCCGTCCAAGATCTTGGCCTGGGATTTTGCCAGCTCATTGATCGTCTCCTTGCTTTGGTCCTCGTTGAACGGATTGACTTGCAGGCGGGTGTTCGCGTGCGTCACCTCCTGCCGGCGTTTACTCATTTCGATCTGCTCCTGAGGCGTGAGATCGACGCCGTCCGGAATGTACATGATGTAGTTTTTGTTCTTGTAGTTCCAGGTGTCGATGTTGAGTTTCTTCTCGGGCAGGGCGCACTGTTGCTCGACCGAGGGCAAGGTGAGCATCTTGAGCTGGTCGTCGTTGCTCTTCCCCTCCTCGTTATACAAATAGGAATACTTCTCGCGGTGCTTCTTCTCGGACTCGATCATAATTTCCTCGAAACTTTCATTGTCTTGCGACGTGTGCGAGCTGAGGAACTGATCAAGACTTAACCGTGTCTCTTTGCTGCTCTGTCGAGACTCGGAGGGGCACGCGATACTTCTCGGCGTTTGCGAGTTGTGAATGTTGGCAGGTGTTTCGAACGTAGCCGGGCTCGGTACTTGAAACATACTTAGCATTACACGTGCAACCTAGTATCATGTCAACTTACTTCTCTCCAACGGTGGCCTTTGCCCGCTGTACTTCGCGTACAGCTCCCGCAATTTGGCAATGTCGTTCCTCTGCATCGCCTCCAGATAGTCGTGCTGCGCCTTCAGCTTTTCGAGGTCGGGAAAGAAGTCCCTCTGGATGATCTTGCCCATCTCCTGCAATTCGGGGGGTGAAAATCGAGCAATCAAAAGGGAGGGGAAGGACTTACCTCAATGTAGGTTTCCTCGTCCAGAATTTTTTGTTTTGTCCGCTTCCTGGGTACATTTGAAGGCTTTTTGAAAGTAAGGTCGGTTTGAATTAGCGACTTCGAAGCCAAATTTGGCGAAGACATGACTTTATTTAAGATTAATAAACAAATATTTTAAGGTTATGTCTATTTGACGTTTTAAGTTAATGTTCTCAACGCAGAGATGGCGCTGGCGTTCAATAATCGAGGTACTTTACATACAGGGTGGTCTACGATGCTTATGCCTACAGAGGGTGTGAAAATGACTTTTAAAGACAAAATAATGCTATTTGTACAAGGGTAAAGACTATTCGGAGCCTTCTTTTAAAGCCTCTAATGGATTCTTAAAGGGTTCTCAATAATTGAGAGCCACTAATGTGCTTTTAATGACTTTTGTTTTTTAAATGATCTTGAAGGGTATTTAGCATCTGAATCTTAAAGAACTCTTCACGAATTTTAGCTTTCTCTAAGGGCATTTAAGATCCTCTGACAGTTTCCAAAGGTCTATAAAAATGTTCTAAAGGTTTATAGGTCATCTAAAAGTTTTAAATGTAATTTAAAGTAATCGTATGATAATCAATCCTAGGAATTTTGGGTTAGCGCCCATTTTCATCTGCAACTTTCCAGCTCACTTAAGCACTCTTTTAAGATGTTTGGGAAGCACAACGAGCCATGCAATCTTAATGTAATCATATCATAGTCGATCCTAGGATTTTTGGGTGAGCGCCCATTTTTACCTGCGACTTTCCAGCACACATGGGTAATTTTTTTTAATGATTTTTGCCAAAAATAAAGTGCCTTAAACGCAGACCAAGCCTTGTACCTTGAATGTAAACGTATTATAATCGATCCTAGGAATTTTGGGTTCTTGCTCACTTTCATCTGTGACTTCCCAGCACACGTGAGCACTCTTTTAAGATCTTTCCGCCTTAGAAGCAAATTATGCCTTGCAATCTAAATGTAATCTTATTATAAGCGATCCTAGGAATGTTGGGTTGGCGCCCATTTTCATCTGCCAGTTCCCAGCTCACCTGAGCGCTTTTATAAGATTTTTGGGAAGAATAAAGTGCTTTAGAAGCACATCGAGCTATTCAATCTTAATGTAATCGTATGATAATCGATTCTAGGAATTTTGGGTTAGCGCCTATTTTCATATGCGACTTCTCAGAACATAATATTAGCAATTTTTTATGAGTTTTGTGAAGAATAACGCGCTTTAAGGCCAGAGGAAGCCTTGTAATTTAAATATAATAATCATATCATAGTCGATCCTAGGAATTTTGGGTGAGCGCCCATTTTCATATGCGACTTCCCAGCACACAATAGCAATTTCTTGTAAGATATTTGCCAAGAATAAAAAGCCTTGCTATTTAAATGTAATCTTATAATTGAACCTAGGAATTTTTTCTGGGCGTTCATTTACATCTGCGGCCGTCAATGACCCGTTATAGTCTCTTTTATAGTTTTTCTAAGAGTAATCTGCCTTAGACCAATTTGACTGTAATCTTATTATAACCGATCTTACGATTTTTGGGTGAGCGCCCATTTTCAACTGCGATTTTTCAAAACACATTAACATTTTTTTTATGATTCTTGTGAAGGATAAAGAGCCTTAGGTCCAGACTAAATTTTGTAATTGAAATGTAATCGTATTATAAATAAATCCTGGGAATTTTTGGTGAGCGCCTATTTTTACCTGCGATTGTCCAGCACTAGTTACACTCTTTTAAAGTTCTTTCTAAGAGTTACTGCTTTCAGGTTGTCTTGCAATTTAAATGTAATCGTATTATAACCGATCCTAGGAATTTTGGATGAGCGGCCATTTTTATCTGTTACTTTCCAGGACTTTTTAGACTCTTTTATGGTTTCTTCTTAGAGTAAATTGTTTTAGAACCAGATTCAGTCTTATAATCGATTCTAGGAATTTTGGGTTTGAGCCCATTTTCATGTGCAATTTCAGAGAACACTTTTGCCATCTTTTTATGACTTGCGAAGAATCTAGTGCCTTCGAGGCAGACCAAGTCTTTCAATTTAAATGTGATCGTATTATAATCGATCCTAGGAATTTTGGTTAAACCCCAATTTTCATCTGGGCTTTCCAGCACCAAGAATAAAGAACCTTAGAAGCAGAACGAGCCTTGTGATTTGATTGTGACCATTTTATAATCGAGCCTAGGGATTTGGGTTAGCGACTTCGAGCCTCGGTAATCCGACAGCGAGCTATGCAATCGTATGATAATCGATCCTAGGAATTTTGGGCGCGCATGCATTTTCATCTGCGGCTTCTCAGGACACATTACCATTTTTTTATGATTTTTGTGAAGAATAAAGTGGCTTAGAGTCAGACCAAAGCCTTTTCATGAAAATTAAATCGTTTTATAATGGACACTAGGAATTTTGCGCCTATGTTCTTCATCTGAGACATTCCGGCACACATTAGCATTTTTTAAAAAATTTTGCAAAGCATAGGTAAGTGCTTTAGAGGCAGACCAAGCCTTTCAATTCAATTGTAATCGTATTATAACCAATCCTAGGAATTTTGGTATAGCGCCCATTTTTATCTGCGACTTTCCAGCAGACATGAGCATTTTTTAAATAATTTTTGCCAAGCGAGTAAACTGACATAGAAGCAGCTTGCAATTTAAATGTAATCGTATTATAATCGATCCTAGGAATTTGGGGCGAGCGCCTATTTCATCTGATTTTTCAGCACTCGCTAGCACTTTTTTTTATTATTGCTGAAGAATAAAAAGGGCCTTACGGGCAGACCGAGCCTTGCTTAAATGCAATCCTATAATCGATCCTGTCGGAGGTGAGCGCCCATTTTCTTCTGCGACTCGTTAGTACTTTTTTGTCTTAGAAGCATTATTTGAATGTAATCGTATCATCCTAGGAATTTTCGGTGAGCTCCGTTTTCATCTGGGATTTCCCAGGATACATTAACTATTTTTTATGATTTCAATAAAATGCCTTAGAGGTAGACAAAGCTTTGTAATTTAAATGAAATCTTTTTATAGTTGATCCTAGGAATTTTAGGTGAGCGCTTGTTTTCATCTGCTACTTTCTAGCACTCATTAGCAATTTTTTTAAGGTTTAGGCGAAGAATGAAATGCCTGAGAGGCACATCAAGCCTTTCAATTTAAATGTAATCTTATTATAACCGATCCTAGGAATTTTGGGTTAGCGTCCATTTTGATCTGCGGCCGTCCAGGACTCGTTAGACTCTTATATAGTTTTGCAGCGCTTGTAAGCACCCTCTTAAGGTTTTGTAGAACGCAAAATAAGCACTGCGAGTACAATAATGGGCTTTAGTGAGTGACCAAGTCTTGTAATTCAACTGTAACTGTATTATAATTGTCCTAGGAATTTTGGGTTAGCGCCCATTTTTATCTACAACTTTCCAGTTCTAGTTAGCACCTTTTTTAATGATTTTTGTGAAGCGTAATCTGTTTTAGAAGCAGATTAAGTGTAGCAATTTGACTGTAATCGTACCATAATGCATCCTAGGAATTATATTGGATTAGCGCCCATCTGCGACTATCCAGCACACAATGGCAATTCTTTATCATTTTTTGCGAAGAATAAAGTGTCTTAGAGGCCGAGACTTTCAATTTAAATTTAATCGTATCATAATCGATCCTAGGAATTTTTGGTTAGCGCCCATTTTCATCAGCAGTACTTCTAAGCATCCTCTTAAGTTTTTACAGAACGCAAAACAAGCAATGTAGGAACAATAATGGGCGTTTGGGCCTGTAATTCAAGTGTAATTGTATTTATAATTGACCTAGGAATTTTGGGTTAGCGCCCATTTTTATCTGCAACTTTCCAGTTCTAGTTAGCACCTTTTTTAATGATTTTTGTGAAGCGTAATCTGTTTTAGAAGCAGATTAAGTGTCGCAATTTGACTGTAATCGTACCATAATGCATCCTAGGAATTATATTGGATTAGCGCCCATTTTCATCTGCGACTATCCAGCACACAATGGCAATTCTTTATCATTTTTTGCGAAGAATAAAGTGTCTTAGAGGCCGAGACTTTCAATTTAAATTTAATCGTATCATAATCGATCCTAGGAATTTTTGGTTAGCGCCCATTTTCATCAGCAGTACTTCTAAGCACCCTCTTAAGTTTTTACAGAACGCAAAACAAGCAATGTAGGAACAACAATGGGCGTTTGGGCCTGTAATTTAAGTGTAATTGTATTTATAATTGACCTAGGAATTTTGGGTTAGCGCCCATTTTTATCTGCGACTTTCCGGCTCTAGTTAGCACTTTTTTATGATTTTTGCGGAGCGTAAACTGCCTTAGAAGCAGGTTAAGTCTTTCAATTTGACTGTAATCGTACCATAATGGATCCTAGGAATTATATTGTATTAGCGCCCATTTTCATCTGCGACTATCCAGCACATAATGGGGTCCGTTAACTTGGCCCCCCCACTGAGAGATTTCATAGTCGTATTATTTTGAAATGAATGCGCTCGTTATGCGCTCATATGCGCCACCGATAGTAACTCTTGCGCCATTATCGTTTTTTAGAAATCCGAAAAAACATTTGGGGGGGCCAAGTGAACGTAGCCCCCCCCCCCAGTACGTATTTTGTCCCTTGTAACTAGGTCACCTGATACATTTGGTTATGCGCTCAATTGCGCCACTTGAATTAAAGCTAGCGCCATTACGGTTAAGCCGTGACAAATTTTCAAAAAGTGGGGGGGCCAACTTAACGTTTTTAAAAGTTACTTTTTTTTAACATCTTTTCATACGAAATTGTACTCTCAGGTATGCGCTGAAATGCGCCGTAAAAAGATATCTTTGCGCCATTATTGTTTTTTGGTTATCCTTAAATATATTTGGGGGGGGGGGCAAGTGAACGGAATCCCCCATAACGCATTTTGCTACCGGTATTTGTGCCACTTGATACATCTGGTTATGAGCTCAATTGCGCCACTTGAATTAAAGCTAGCGCCATTACGGGTAAGCCATAAAAAAATTTAAAAAAGGGGGGGGGGGCTAACTTAACGTTTTCAAAAGTTACGTTTTTTAACATGTTTTTTCTACTACATCGTACCTTTTATCATGCGCTAAAATGCGCCGTCAAAAAAAACTTTGCGCCATTATAGTGTTTCAGAAACACTATACAGGGTGTTTTTTTGGGACCTT